TTTCCATATCTAAGTTGCCTGTTCGATTGGACTGTCTCTAGGCCACAAGGCTCCCTGAGGAGGTGGCTTGCATTGAAGGGAGTTGAGGGGTAGGGATGAGGTAGGGTGTAGGGTAGTAAATTGGTGTATAATACCTTTGGCTATTCCCACGTGGGACAGCCCACTTCGCCCTTCGGCGAAATAGTGTTGGATTTGGTTGTACTGAGTATAGCACTTGGATCCCTGGGTGGTTTCAGGTGTGGCATCCGAGAAAGATGCACTCGCCACATGCGCATCTATAAACAGTCAGTAGCAACTTTGTACATTCCCACCCGACACAAAAATAAACTATATACAAATAAAACATTATAAAAATCCTGTATAGTACAGAATATAACGTTAAACATTTCCGTATATAATACCTCGCTGTTTCCGCTCCCTCTCAGTCCGGAAGGTTTGCCCCATTAACTGAGTGCTGAAGTGACTGTGTGCACTATGGTGTTGTGGACATTGAGGGTAATGTAAGCAAGGAGAGTGTGGAGCAGTCTACAATCTAATTGACACCATGGACTCCTAGTCATGGTAGTGTTACCTTTTTTCCACACTTGTGCTTCCCCTGAACCTCCCCCTTCCTTCCAATCTGTAACCTATCATAGATGTGTTCACTCCAATGCTCTAGTAGTCCGGTACCCATGCCAAGCATATACCTGAGCCAGAGTGTCTCACAGTTAAAGTCTTTACCCTGTGCAGGGAAAGTATGTCCATTGGCCTTGACTGGACCAACCGGGACGTGTTGGGAGTCGGAAGGTAAGTCCATGCCAAGCTGTTGTCTGTGGCGCCGCTGTTCCCATGGTTAAGTCCCTGGTGCCTGCCATCTACTCTGGGTGCACTTGTCATTTGGGCTCCCATAAAGTGCCAGAATAAGGTAGTTGGCCTGTAGGTCCCCCACTTGTACCGTTTCGGGAATCCCTCGCAACCGCAGGTTATTCCGGCGATGTCAGTTAACTTTGCGTCAGCGCATAGCCAATCTAGTCTATATATTTTGCATTTGGGCTGCTATCAAGCTATGGGCTGCTGCCTGCTTCTCTGCTCTACTTTCCAAAAGCACAGTTCTGGTTCTGATGTCGTGGGTGTCTTTTTCTAGGCCTGATATGGAGGCCTGGAATTGGGATATCAATTGTGCCGATTGCGCGTCCAGCATTGAATGGATCAGGGATGTTGTCAATTGGCTGTCTTGCTTTCACAAGTTAGGTAACGTGGAGTTAAGGCTGTCTTAACTCCCAGTCACCATCTTCCTCAAGACTATTATGCAGGTTCAGAAGTTTAGTCTGCTTTTTGGTGGCAAAAAAGGCTGATTTGTCACTTTTTTTGTTTAGGTTTGTGATGAGACATAGTTTGGTTAAAGTCTGTAGTGGGGTTAGTGCCATTTGTGTTGGGCTGGAGTCTCTCGTTTTGTCCGCCTGATAAGGAGCTCTCAAATCATGCAACCATTCCTCATGGTGTTCGGCTCTGCATCCCACCCCCCCAAGTGAAGTTACACTTTATTGGTCATTGGAGTCTTATTAAAAACCTCCAGTTATTTAAATGTGCATAAGGATTGGGGATGGTGCGCAACAAACTTTTTTACAAAAATACTGTTTCAGTATTTAGCTGACTGAGTCAATTTATTATATAAATGCAAACAGACCTAAAACATAGTGAATATACTGAATGTGGTACAACGTACAATAAAATGTAACATGCAGCACCATTTAGTGGATAAATAACAACAATACTTACATGTTTATTGTTGTGGGTTTCTTAGTTCCATAACATAATTTGAAACGAGAAAAACATGAAAAATACAAAACTCTAGTGCGCTCTATATAACACTGAGACTACCTTCTGAAAACATGTATTGCTCTGTTTTTTTAAGCAGGTTGTGTGCTGCCCCCTTATTCTGCCACCATTATTATTATTATTATTATTATGATATTTATAGAGCGCCGTCAAATTCCGCAGCGCTTTACAATGGGTGGACGAACAGACATGTAGTTGTAACCAGATAAGTTGGACACACAGGAACAGAGGGGTTGAGTGCCCTGCTCAATGAGCTTAAATGCCAGAGGGAGTGGGGTAAAATGACACAAAAAGGTAAGGATAGTATTAGACTAGTGACAGTTGCAGAAGAGGAATCAGTCAGGAGCTATTTACAGTTTAATTGATACGCTTTTATGAAGAAGAGGGTTTTTAACGATTTTTTTGAAGGAGTGGAGACTGGTTGAGCATCTAACGGAGGAGGGAAGCGAGTTCCACAGGAAGGGTGCAGCCCTTGAGAAATCTTGAAGGCAAGCATCAGAGGTGGGAGTAAGGACAGAAGATAGACGTAAGTCTTCAGCAAATCGTAAGGGCCTAGACGGGACATACTTGTGTATAAGGGAGGATAGATAGGTGGGAGCAGCATTATGTAGAGATTTGAAAGCAAGAACCAGAATTTTAAATTGAGCTTTATATTTTATAGAAAGCCAATGTAGGGACTGACAGAAGGGTGAGGCATGGGAGGTGTGGGCGGACAGGAAGATGAGCCTCGCCGCCACATTCATTATGGACTGTAACGGCGCAAGTTGGGAGCACGTAAGACCACTGAGAAGTGGATTACAGTAGTCAAGGCGAGAAAGGAGAGTGGAATGGACCAACACCTTAGTCGCATCTGGCGTTAAGTAGGGGCGGATGCGCGCAATGTTTTTAAGATGGAAATGACAGGATTTGGCGATAGATTGAACACGAGGCTTGAAGTAGAGGTCGGAGTCAAAGAGAACACTTAGGCAGCGAGCCTGCGTGGTGGAGCTGATGGTAGCACCGTTGACTTGAAGGGAGACAGACACAGGAGTAACAACACTTGAGGGAGGTAAGACCAGAATTTCAGTTTTGGTCAAGTTTAGTTTAAGGAAGTGGACAGCCATCCTGTTAGAAACAGCAGAGAGGCAGTCAGAGACACTAGTCAAGAGGGATGGGGAGAGATCAGGAGAGGACAGGTAGATTTGCGTGTCATCTGCATAGAAATGATATCGGAAGCCAAATGAGCTAATGAGTTTACCAAGGGAGGCAGTATAGATGGAGAACAGTAAGGGACCAAGGACTGAACCTTGGGGGACACCAACAGAGAGGAGTTGGGAAGAATAAGCAGAGCCAGAGAAAGAAACACTGAAAGAGCACTGGGAGAGGTAGGAGGAGCACCAGGAGAGAGCAATATCTTGTAGACCGATATTGCGGAGGATGAGAAGAAGCTGTTGATGATCAACAGTGTCAAAAGCCGCAGACAGGTCAAGGAGAATTAAAGTAGTGACCACTAGATTTTGCAGCTAGTAGATCATTGGATACTTTGGTCAGTGCCGTTTCCACAGAGTGATTAGCGCGGAAACCAGACTGAAGCGGGTCTAGCAGAGAGTTGGACTCGAGGAAGTCTGTCAATCTCGCATACACAATTTTTTCAAGGATCTTGGATGCAAAAGGCAGTAGCGAGATAGGACGATAGTTGGATGTGGAGTTAGGGTCAAGATTGGGCTTCTTTAGAATTAGGGTTACAATTGCATGTTTGAAGGGCATTGGAAATATACCAGAGGAGAGAGAGAGATTGAGAATTTTAGTGAGAGGTGGAGAAAGAGAAGAAGACAGAGTACGGATGAGATTTGAGGGAATTGGATCTAGGGAGCAGGTGGTGGGGCGGGAGGACTGGAGCAGAGCAGAAACCTCTTCCAATGTATCAGGTGTGAATGAACAGCAGAGGGAGTGAAGTTATTCAGTCTATATTGTACTTCTCTATTAGATTTGCACATCTGAATCCTGCAATCTCTCTAATTGGATGCATTCTGCCAGGTTGGATGGGGTCAGCAGGTAAACTTCAACCTTTAAATCTCTCCGTAGATTCTCTAATCTAAGACTTTGGTTTACGCCACCCCAGTGTTGCTTTTTTGTGTGTTAATCGTCCCTATCCCAATAGAAAGGAAAACCTCTGCCCAAGTCTAAGATGTCATGCAGACTGTCATGCCTCACAAATTTCAGATGTTTTTTGTTTTGCTAAAATGTGAATGGTTAATTTCATTAGAGAAGTGAAATTATTTCCACATGATTTTTATTGCAATGGCTTTCTTGTCCCATATCTGTGAAGTCCAGCTTTGTGGAGCATATGAGGTTTTTTTTACCATATCAATTCTAGTTCTTTTCAGCTTCTTCAGACTTACGATAAGCCTCTTGGTTGCTTCTATGAGTATTCCCTGAAAGGTCACTGAGTTTGGGTGATAGCCTTCTCTTCTAGGCAGTGTCCCAATTATTCCTACAATTCTAAATTGCCATCATTTATTGATGACCCAAGTTAATATTTGGTCTTACTTGGAGTTTGCGTTCCAAACGAGGCTATAATACTGTATGCTTGATTGCATCAGATGGAGAGCCATCATTCAACACCACCCAATAAAACAGATTCTAGAAACCAAGAATCACTATAACATGTAATTGGCAAATATTTATTAAACAATAGGGAACAAAATAACTATTAATCCAACTACACCAGCACTTTACAAGCCGTGGACATTGCTCTGTAAAATATCCCAAAAAGATTATGACAACTGTAAAGACTATAAAAGTGTAGATACCAGATATGTCTGAATGTTACTCTATGGAAGGTCTCTAAACATAACCTGTTTATGATATATTTGGGGACCAGGACTACTAAGAGCAAACAGTCACTAATTCTCTGAAAACAATAGAGGCAGGGAGGAGTAAAAAGGAATGTTACAAATAAGTAATTAACTGAAAAACAGACACAAAGAATAGCAAGAATCAAAGCATGAACTAGAAGAAGAATATAAAGAAGATTATAGAGTTAATGTATAGTTCAAGTATAGTAAACGAGGAGCAGTCAGAGAGAAGATAAACAAAGAGAGGAGATGATCTCAGTCAAGAAACACACAGGAAAGAACAATAGCAAACCAGGCAATAAATAGAGCAGGAAGAGGAACTTCCATCAGCAGTTCTGGACAAGTCTTGGACAAGTGGATCACAACATCGTGCAGCTTTACTTTATAGGAATATCTATCAAAATCCATTTAGGAAATGGGGCTTCTTCTTCTTCTTCTTGTTCTCTGCTCCAGCCTCTGGTCCAGCCTTGGAGATTCTTCAAAAATGTAAGATTTGTCAATTTAACTATTTTGAATACATTTTAAGCATAAAAACAATCTGGAGGAACAGCCTTTCATAACATACAGCACACCTTTAACTATATGGTTTTCTTTGAGCAAAAAATACTACAAGATTGTAAGTAAGTAACCTTCCAGTGCCCCTATAACTCTAACATTTTAACCCCTTAATTACACATGACGGAAATATTCCGCCATGATTCCATGTTATTCCAGAAGCTGTGTCCTTAAGGGGTTAATTTGTGTTTACCAGGTATGAGGTGTGCTTTAACTATTTGTTAAGTTTGTGTGTTTTTCTGCTTTACAGAAAAAGTATTTCAAGTTTTTTAAAGAAAGACTGGGATATAGTTTTCATTCAGCCTTTTTAAGCTACATGACCTCACTCATATAATGTGTATAAACATATAATCACTCAAAAAATATTATCACTTATTTTAAAAAAACAAGGTTCATAATTTAGCAAACAGTACGCTGCACACATTCCCATTAATGTAAGTTGCTTTCCTTGTTGAAAAATGTGTTACATGAAAAAGTCAATCAACTCTTAAATTTTGTTTTATAATTATTTTTTCAATCAGCTTAAACATAAAGTTTATGATTTTAAAAGCTACAGGATCATGGTGGGTGGGATATCTTTCCCTCTCATACTATGCTTTTTACTTTCGTAAACAATTTTTTATTTTTTTTTGTGAAATATGGACTAGACTTGTGTTTATTTTATTTATATTTTATGTATTACTTTTGTAGTCCCCTGCTAAATATTCATATGAGAATTGGCTGCATACTATCTGTTCAAAATGATATATTGATCTAATTATGTGCCTGATTTAGCTTTTATGGAAAGATGACTGCTGTATGGTGTATCAATACATAGACAGCAGAGATTCACTCTGTATGTCTTAATGTTTGTACCAATGTAAGATTTTAACCGATTTTCCCATTAGTGGTAAAATGACAAAGAGAAAGAAATACCCAAATATTTTCTACAATCAGTAATCCTTAAAAAATATTGGTTTGTGTTTACCTTTAAACAGGATATTTGCTTACATTTTAAATATTTGTCTCTTGATGGAGGTTCATAAGTAAAGACTTTTCTATTTTATATGATGAAAACCAGGGTGAGATAGCATTAGGAAAAGTAAAGAAAAACGGAAAAGAATACCCTGGAACACTCAAAGGATTCCATGAAATGGATGAGAAGAAAGAAACAAGAATGTTGTATTTTAAACCCCAGTACAATAAATTTGAAGTCTGAAATTCAGTTCGGCAATACAGCTCAGTCATAACAACTCACAGTTTAGTAAATAATCCCCTCTGAGAAATCTAAGTGGTAATATAATGTCAACAGTGTGTCTAAAGAAGGATGGAATGTACAGGTGCAGCTAAAAGTGTAATTAGTTTAATTAATCGCTGAAGCCAAGAGACAGCCTGGCGCCAGTCATGGAACGAGACTCAGCTGAATGAGGACATGTGAGGAAGGAATTGTAAGTTAGAAAATGAAATAATAACATTAAAACTGAAGTTAACATCATATTCACACATTATTGCAGGTATTACGTATTGCTGGTACCAGCTGAGGTGCATTATCCCTCCACAGAGAAAGCATGTGTACATGTGATTGGAGCTCGAGAAAACCTGACTCTCACAGTCACCTTACAGTCCGAGAGTGAGGATATTATATTACACCAGCAGGACATGACTGGTCCATTGCTTCATCACTGTATAAATTTCCAGGTACTCAACCTTCATTCTGATAAATTTGTATTTGTACAAATAAATTTGTATTTACCATATTCCACCACTCTTTCTTTCGCTGGTAGATCCCTGCCCCAGCAGATGATGTGGAGGAAGTTGTATCAATCCATATTTCTCTGCTGGGCAAATTCACTGACGTCTCAGAGAGCAAAAATATACAGATACGTCACATGGGCACGGCCACCATGATTGAGACTGATAAGCCAATGTACAATTGTGGAGAACAAGGTAAGTTTAGGGTACATATTCGTTGTGTTTCAGATATTTCCAACACTGGCCCAATAGCTGTAAGGAAATTATATAAACTATATTTCAAAAATAGCAAGAGGGCAAAAGATGGATATACTTGTTCTACTTAGTGTAACACTCAACGAGTTTGGTTGGCTGCTTTCAGTATAAGGCGAGTCGTAGATATATCTTTGAGAAACTCATTGTGTGTTGACCAGTCCTTTCCAACACACCTAACACTCAGCTATAGGCTGCACTGTAGAAATAATACAGTCTGAAGGGGGGAAGATGCCTCCTACAGATAATGAAACATTTTATTGGAGAATACACAGCTAGCAGGTAACTCTTCACACACTGTAAGTGTCCGTTCCATCACTTGCTGCTTTATCTTTCAGTGAATTTCCGGATTCTGAGATTTAACATAGACTTCCTTGCTGCCAATGACATGGTGAGTGGGAATGTTCCATTAATAGGGGACAGATAGCAAAATGTCACCGTATCAGTTTAATTTTAAATGTATGTCATATGAAAATGAACATTTTGTGCAAACCTCTTTTCCTTGATGGATATTTACCCAATGATCTTGTGACCACATTCACTGTTTCCTGTGCTATGACATTTATTTCATTACTCTCAATTTTGGCTTGTTTCACTAACACAATTCTCTTTTTGCTTCATTCTCTCTGCTGTTTCTTTGCAGGTATCACTAGTGCAGCTGAAGGTAAGTCACAGTTCTGGGTTTGGAATCTAAGCGATGTCTTGAGGGTTTAATAGTGATTTTTCAGAAACAAAAATAGGGAAGTCTTCCTTGCAGCTATCTCTGCTTAGCGGTTCTGATTTTAAAGGACCACTATAGTGCCAGGAAAACATACTCATTTTCCTGGCACTATAGTGCCCTGAAGGTGCCCCCACCCTCAGGGTCCCCCTCCTGCCGGGCTCTGGGGAGAGGAAAGGAGTTAAAACTTACCTTTTTCCAGTGCCAGGCGGGGAGCTCTCCTCCTCCTCTCCGCCTCCGATCCTCCCCTTCGGCTTAATGCGCACGCGCGGCAAGAGCTGCACGCGCATTCAGCCGGTCTCATAGGAAAGCATTTACAATGCTTTCCTATGGACGCTGGCGTCTTCTCGCTGTGATTTTCACAGTGAGAATCACGCAAGCGCCTCTAGCGGCTGTCAATGAGACAGCCACTAGAGGATTTGGAGGATGAATTAACCCATTTATAAACATAGCAGTTTCTCTGAAACTGCTATGTTTATAAAAAAAATGGGTTAACCCTAGCTGGACCTGGCACCCAGACCACGTCATTAAGCTGAAGTGGTCTGGGTGCCTAGAGTGGTCCTTTAAGGACTTTCATGGAATTCCTACTGCGAGCATTACTGTTGATTGTTAACAAACGTAATGTAAACTCTGCAGAGTATGGAACAACAGAGCAAAATATAAGGAATTTGGCCTCGTTCACAGTGGCACTTATTCTAATATTTTATTTAGCATATCTTTAAATCAAAAGTAGTTTTTGTCCTCCTGAGACCCAGCCCATTAACTTGTGTCCTCTGTACTGGACATTTCGTTTACATGAATCTCCTTTTATTCTTTGAGCTACTCTATCAATCCCTGCTGTATTGTAAAGAGCACATGCTGGGTTTTCCAGTGATATGTCATGTGATAGGCTGGAATGCTGCGAACTTCCTCTTACTTTTCATCACAAATGGAAAGAAATTGGAAAACAATATTTTTCCTTGGTTCCCAGGACGTTATTCCACTTTCTCCCATGTAAGGAAATTACAAAAAAAAATGGAATTGTCCATTCAATAGAGATTTGCTTCTTTCCCAAAGGATCCAAAGGAAAATTTAATTTCTCAATGGATAAACCTGAGCCCGCAGCAAGGGATCATTGACTTGTCCTTCTCTCTGAGTTCTGAATGCATAGAAGGGATGTACACCATAAAGACACCAGATGAACAGCAAGTGTTTCAAGTTCAAGAGCACGGTGCGTCATAATACAATTAGTAAATACCCACATGTACAGAATCCATGTAGGAGCAGAATTGACCATGACACAGATATGTTTAGATGAAAGAAAGGGAAGATTACTGAAAGACTAAAAGACAACAAGAGAGTCAAGAAAAGTGATGTAACAAATATACATGATTAGAGTTGAGCGAACCCCAACTAAAAAGTTCGGGTTTTTACCGAACATTAAGTTTTTTGGACCCCGGACCTGAACACAGACATATCACTGTATGTTCGGGTTGGAGTTCGGAGTTTGGCAATTTAATGACGCATTTTGAAAGGCTGCAAGGCAGCCAATCAACAAGCGTTTGACTCGTGTGCCCTTAGAAGCTATCACAGCCATGCCTACTAATGGCATGGCTGTGACTGGCCAGTGCAGAAAGTGACCCAGCCTCTATAGAAGCTGGTCACTTAGTATTAGTAAATTATGCCCCTACTCACTATACCGCGAGTAGAGGCATGTCTATTAAACAGTGAGCAGCCTGTGGCGACGCACAAGTGGGGGCTTTTAAACTAAAGGGGGACCTATTATCCCCCCAGCCCCCACCCCTGAGCGGTGGGTGGGGGCCCTAAATAACAATAAGGGGGGGGACCTTGTGTCCTCCCTCCTGGCCCCCACCTCTGAGCGGTGGGTGGGGGCCATAAATAAAAATTGGGGGGGGGGAACCTAATGTCCTCCCCCAGGCCCCCACCCCTGTGCGGCGGGTGGGGGCCCTAAATAACAATGAAAAATGTGTTACAAAATGTGTTACAAAAATGTGTTAATGTCCTCCCCTCGGCCCCCACCCCTGAGCGGTGGGTGGGGGCCCTAAATAACAATAGGGGGGAACCCACTGTCCTCCCCCTGGCCCAAAAAAGAAAATAGACTTACCATTTGATGTCATCTTTCTTCTAAAATCTTATTTTTTCAGCCCCAAAAAAGGCCAAATAAAAATCCAGAATAACCGACGCAGTTTAAAAAAAAACGCAAAAAAATAACAATCCTTCTTCACCCTGAAGGGCTCCATGCAGACTGAGCTCTGCAGGGCAGGGGAAGGCTTATAAAGCCTCGCCCCGCCCTGCAATTAGGCTCAGAGCACTCTGGTTGGTGGGTTTAAGCCATCCAATCAGAGTGCTCTGACAGGTAAAGGAAGAGACTGACAGGTAAGTCTCTACATTTCTTTGGAATTTTCCCACGCTGTGTAAAATGACACAGAGCACTCTGATTGGTGGATTAAGTAACCATTCAGAGTGCTCTGTGTCATTTTACACAGTGTGGGAAAATTCAAAAGAACTTTCCCACGCTGTGGAAATGACACAGAGCACTCTTATTGGTGGATTTCAAGCCAACCAATCAGAGTGCACAGAGCACTCTGATTGGTTACTTAATCCACCAATCAGAATGCTCTGTGTCATTTTACACAGTGTGGGAAAATTCCAAAGAACTTTCCCACGCTGTGTAAAATGACGCAGAGCACACTGATTGGTGGAATTCAAGCCAACCAATCAGAGTGCTCTGTGTCATTTTACACAGCATGGAAAAATTCCAAAGAACTTTTCCACACTGTGTAAAATTCTTTGGAATTTTCTCACGCTGTGTAAAATGACACACAGCACTCTGATAGGTGGATTAAGTAACCAATCAGAGACTGTTAGTGTAACGGAGCACCCCGTATTCCGACCGACTACCTTCCATTGATGGACGCTTACTAGCTTGCGCCGAGGACCACAAGCACCACACCGGACACCACAACCACCGCAGACTCCACAACCACCGTAGCTTAACTCCCCGCAGCTTGGTTGGGGTCTCACCGTCTCCTACCCACCCTGGACCTACGACAAGACTCTAGGTTCCAGTGGGTGAACCTCTCCTCCAAGAGAGTGAAGCAGGAACAAGCTCTTAAAAGAACTTAGTAGTGATTAGCTAAGGGAGTATGCAGAGCATAGCAATCACTTGTAGTGATATAGCAATTCCCCCAATAAGAGACAGGACTCATATTGAGGATGAAGAAGAACTGTCTAAAACTTTATTTTACTTGGGACTAGCCCATATGGTCATTACATTAGCATTGCTGTGAAAACTCAATAAAATTACAAACAGTCAAATCATGGCAGGCAACATACAGTGACTTATTATAACACAATTACATATTTTTAAAGATGTGGGGAGACAATAATTAACAGAAAATGTCTCACATGCCTGCAGAATTAGCAATATGCAAATCTACCTGAATATGCAAATGAACCAGTCTTACTATTCAGGTAGTGCATATTGCTGTTGCTACCAACAGAGGGCACTAGACAAGCTCCATAGCCAAATCCACCTAGTTGGTAGCAAACCTCAGCAGTACAGGAGAGCAGGCAATACATCCCAAGGGCTATAGTCACATGGTAGGAGGCTGGCAATTGGTCTTCTCCAATGCCCAGTGGCGAGGCTTGTTCCACCACAGTCAGTCTATTTATTTACCTGTCAGAGCTCTCTGATTGGATGGCTTAAATCCACCAATCAGAGTGCTCTGAGCCTAATTGCAGGGCTCAGTCTGTGTGGAGCCCTCCATGGGTGAAGAAGGATTTGTTTTTTTTAAAAGTGCATCGGTTATTCTGGATTTTTATTTGGCCTTTTTGGGGGCTGAAAAAAAAAGATTTTAGAAGAAAGAATATATCAAATCGTAAGTCTATTTTTTTTTACAGGTATTTAGACAAGGGTCCCCCCTCATTATTTTTAGGATGAGGGGGGTAGGTAGGGGTATTTTTTTGGGGGGGGGGGGGGACTAGGGGTTTGAGGACCCTGTAGTCACCTGGGGTGGGGGATTTTTATTTATGGCCCCCACCCACCATTCAGGGCCAGGTCCCCCCCCTTATTGTTATTTAGGGCCTCCACCCACTGCTCAGGGGTGGGGGCCAAGGGGGAGGACATTAGGCCCCCCATTTTTATTTATGGCCCCCACCCACAGCTCAGGGGTGGGGGCCGGGGGGAGGACAGTTGGTCCCCCTTCAAATTCTTATTAATGGCCCCCACCCACCGTGCAGGGGTGGGGGCCGGTGGGGAGGACAGTAGGTCCCCCCCTCCACATTCTTATTTAGGGCCCCCATCCATCGCACAGGGGTGGGGGCAATAGGATTTTTTGTTTTTTTTACAGTGAGCAGCCACTGGCTGTTTACTGTTTATTACTAGACACACCCCTACTCGCGGTATAGGAAAAGTTAAAGGATCTTAACATGTATAGCTTGGAGGAAAGACGAGACAGGGGGATATGATAGAAACATTTAAATACATAAAGGGAATCAACACAGTAAAGGAGGAGACTATATTTAAAAGAAGAAAAACTACCACAACAAGAGGATATAGTCTTAAATTAGAGGGACAAAGGTTTAAAAATAATATCAGGAAGTATTACTTTACTGAGAGGGTAGTGGATGCATGGAATAGCCTTCCAGCTGAAGTGGTAGAGGTTAACACAGTAAAGGAGTTTAAGCATGCGTGGGATAGGCATAAGGCTATCCTAACTGTAAGATAAGGCCAGGGACTAATGAAAGTATTTAGAAAATTGGGCAGACTAGATGGACCGAATGTTTCTTATCTGCCGTCACATTCTATGTTTCTATGGACCAATGAACGTGTTTTCTTATTTAAATGAAGGTCGATGTGATGTAATGTGTGCCTACTCATTCCTATGTTGCATCTTACATGAGTGCATTTGACACCCATTCAATAGCAACACTTGCAGGACCATAAGTTCTATCAACCTAATAGATGCAACTAGGAAAATCCTCTGCTTTAATGGTAAATTGGGAATTTAGTGAACCTACTTGGATTTAGAAATTCATATAAATTCCATATTTATAGGAATTCTATATCCATCTTACATTTTACAAGTAATGTAAACCGACAAGTAGATAAAAATAATTGTAACTATTTTACCTCAGTGGTTAAATTGTAGTTCAGGTTTATTAAACATTGGAAATCACATTATCAACAAGAATAGTTTTTTTTAAAAAAATAACATTTACATCATCCCATAAAAAGACGTAGCCAATCCCACAGATATTACTGAGTCATAATGCCAGAGGCTCAAAGTGGACGGAAATTATTTTTTCAAATGAGACTGTAACACACATTCTTTGTGTTTTTTAATGCTATTCTTCTGAATTTGTTCTAAAATTATACATCCCTATATGATTCTATCTTACAGTGCTACCAAGGTCTGAAGTTCTCGTGATGCTTCCTTCTGTGGTAACTGTTTTGGATGAAAATGTTAAATACAAAATATGCGGCAGGTATTGTAAAGCTGTTTCTCACGTGTTTTTCCATAACGTAATATATCACTAGATCGAAAGATAGAAAAGGGAAGGAAGTGACATCACTATTTACTATGTAACAAAGCAATACTCACTAATACAACCAAGTTCATAGCTTCATCCCAAATGTAATAAAAATGTTGAATTTTGTAATTATTATTCGTGGATAATTGACATTTGATCCAGTCACTTATGTGAATGAATCTCTTATAACACAACATAAGTGATATATGACCTTGGCTTAGATTGTATAGGTTTGGATAAGATTTTCCAATAAATTAATATTTTTGGATAAACTTTTAAAATAATTTTATCAAAATCTTAACATATCCAAAAATGTATAAGTCTACACTGCACTTACTTGAAACACACACCGAAGCCCCTGGAAGCAATCACCACAATCATTGAAATCACCTACTTCACTAACTGGGAGCACATCCCGCACTAACTAAAACCACTCACTGCAGTGCTTTTGGTAAAAAAAAATGTAATATAACGCATGTGAGTGTTACAAGGGCATTCATGGTGGCACACATGCATGCACGTAAATTGACACAAATATATGTTGCATATGAAAGGTTGGTTATAAAAAGTGAGACTGACTGATTTACTTAAACTCCTGGACTTCTGCACCATTTAAGCTATAGACTTTATAGATGACACCAAAAATCCAGATTCACGGAAAAGCAGGTACACATTTAACACACAGGGGAGAGTATGTAGGTTTCTAGAAATGGGCTAAACCTGTGCTACTGTTTGCTGACCTTCCTTCCCTCTTTACTTACTTCCTATGAATTTTGGGAACTTGCACCATTTAAACCAGAATACCTGAGCCGGTAATATAGCATGACAAAAAAGGAGAATGCACACCAGAAACCACAAGTAATATATAACCCGGTTCAATAAACTAACAATTGGTTTAAGCATATAAATAACAATAACATGTAAAGTGACAAAAAACGGGCAAAACATAAATAATAAACAATAATAGTTTACCAAATTCCTCCCAAGCCTAACAGTGCAGAAACATGAATCCAAAATAAGCCCCCAACGTTTCGGCACCACCTGGCTGCCTTTATCAAGGGTGTATATGATAAAGGCAGCCAGGTGGTGCCGAAACGTTGGGGGGTTATTTTAGATTCAAGTTTCTGCCCTATTAGGCTTGTGAGAAATTTGGTAAACTATTATTGTTTATTATTTATGTTTTGCCCGTTTTTTGTCACTTTACATGTTATTGTTATTTATATGCTTAAACCAATTGTTAGTTTATTGAACCGGGTTATATATTACTTGTGGTTTCTGGTGTGCATTCTCCTTTTTTGTCTTACTATTGTTTATATTGGTATTGGAGGGAGTACCAGTGAGGAATAGCACCCAGGTAGTTTTAGTCTTTATTAACCAGTTGTTTCTCCATACTTTATTCATTATATGATCGGTAATATAGCATAACATTTGAAAATCCTCAGTGTTTTCCTGACAATTTCACAGTTTAGTGAATTACCTTTTTCTCTCCTAATCTCTTTCTCTTTGACAGATATAGCTATGATAAGCCTGTTTCAGGCACAATCACTTCCAAACTGTGCCGTAAAGTTGTGCCCTATCACTGGAACTTTTCTAGTCGTCCTACAGATATTTGCACAGCTCACACAGGACGGGTGAGAATTAATTTTTACTTATTAATAATATGGGAAAAATCCAATGAACTCCTCTTCATCACAAATCAATTCCCAGAAGCATGATGATCTTCTGACAGCCACAAGCTATTTCTACATATGACGAACTGTCAGCATTTATTTTTTTAAAGCACCAGTGAATTTGATAAGTTTCTTGTCTGTAAATGCTTCCACTTCTGTTGCCTTTTAACCCCCCCCCCCCACCACCACCACCACCACACTCAATATATTGTCTTCTATGTATTTGATTGTATTGTTATCTCTTCGCTCTTTTCTCTTTGACCAGACGGACAAGACAGGGTGCTTAGACATAGAGGTACCAACTGCATCACACCAGCTTCGATCTTATGATTACCAGATGAAGTTTGTAGCTGAAGCAACCCTTGAGGAAGATGGGACCGGTAAGCATCATAAAACAAATCTTGTACCAGAACTGTCCAAGCAAACATCCCTCCCCAAAACAATAAATCTGACATCATCTTCAGTTGTACTGATTTGTTTTACACTATTAAAGCAGAAACACAATTAGAATTTTGCCTTATTCAGAAGAGCAGCAGGTACAATTAAAATTAATTGCAGCTTTAAGTCTCTATAAATGAAAATTGATCTCAGCTATCTTCTCATCTTCACAGTCATCTAGACGTGGAGATTCATTTCACTCCAAAGTGCAATCCATCTGAATTTGGGTCAACCAGCTGATCTTACGTATTCCAGAACTCCAAGCCAAAATTTATCTAAATCACAAACAAATCAAGATACGCAATGGAATATCATGTTCATTTTTATTCATGATTCAGAATTCCGCTAGCGGTGGAAAAAAAAAGAAAAGATGATTGATGTGCAAAAACAGCTGGTTTATGGCTAGGCGACAGTCACTAAATGTTGATTTTTTTTTTCCACAGATCAAGTGAAAAAAAAGTAACCAATAGAGGGAATAAGAAAGGGAACAGTAAAAAAATCTATGTTTATAAATGATATATTAAATAAACATATAATATATAATTAAATAAATATTGTGAACCACATGACAGGGAAATGCTCCTGTCAGTGTACTGCAAATTATATAGATAATATTTGTATGCAAATTCTGATTGAATATAAATATATACTGATTGATCGCACACTTTTGGTTCGTCTAAATCGCCATACGGCTGAAATTCGTCCATCCCAAAAACGTGTTTATTTTTGGATGAACATCTTGTTGATTGTTGACACGATTGACCTAAATATAGCCATTGGAATGTATTTTCCAGTAATTTCTTAAGTTCCTTTTCTCGATGAGTTCATCAGATGAAATGTTTCTTCATTTTACACAATGGGAGACAATAAGCAAAATAACACACCTGTACACTGCTGTATGCTTGTTTTTAGGGCTGCAAATGAATGCCACTGGCAGCTGCCGAATAACAGCTGTGATCGCGAAGGTGACCATTGAGGATGTAGAAATATCAGATTCCCATTACAAGCCTGGACTCAGATACAAGGGGAAGGTTAGTAGAAACACAATCTAGTTTTGCTTATCGGATTTCAACTTACTCAACATTTTTACATACAACAATTATTTATTGGGGAACAAAACAATTGAAGAAACAGTGAAGATACACTCACTCTTAATTAAGCCATACGTTGGTATTAACAGTTATAAGGAGCTTGTTTAATTCTATAACAGCTTTACACATCTGGGTTCCATAACATGATATTTACACATCTGGGTTAAGTGGTATGACCACAATATTTTGATTAAAGTGCCTTGTGGTCCATTAGTTTGGATGTGGAACTTGGGCATACAATAGTTGAAATCTGTCATGTTTTCTGATTGATAGTGAAGACGGTTTTAATCATTTCCAGGTTCTTGATTCTAAAACACTCTAGGGACATGAAAAAAACAGCAAAAACAATCATAAAAAATCAACTATGTGTAAAAAAAAAAGTCACGAAGACCGTGTCTAATTTTACTTATTTGGAATGTGACCGCTAAAAATTTATATAGACAAAATCATCCCTCTGTCACAATAAGCGGTAAAGAAAAACACACACAGATAATTGCTACTCCCTTGTCTGTGTCCCTCCAAGTCAATCGCGCTACCATCTGCTCTACCTCTAAGGCTCGCTGCCTAGGTGTTCTCTTCCACTCCGACCTCATCCCTCATGTCCAATCAATCGCCAAATCCTGCTGCTTCAATCTCAAAAACATTGCATGCGTCCGTCCCTATTTAACCCCTGATATGGCAAAGATGCTTGTCCATGCTGCTGTCCTCTCTCACCTTGACCACTGTAATGCACTTCTCAGTGATTTTACGTGTTCCCAAATTGCCCCATTATAGTCTATAATGAATGTGGTGGTGAGGCTCATCTTCCTGTCCTTCCACACCTCCCACGCCTCCCCCTTTGTCAGTTCCTCCATTGGCTTCCCGTAAGATATATGGCTCAATTTAAGATCCTGACACTTGCTTCCAAATCTCTGCACAATGCTGCTCCCACCTACCTATCCTCACTAATACACAAATATGTCTCGTCTAGAAACTACACGGCCCCGGTGAAAAAATTGTCCTGGGCCCTCCCCCCGCCCCACCATTTGTATAATATAACACATACAGATACATACACAGACACACATGCTAATACACAGCCACACAGAATGACACACGTTCAGATACATAGAATAACACTTCTACAGATACAAAAATGACACACATACAGATACACAGACACACACTGACATATGTGGATACACAGACACACATACAGACAGATACACATATAGACACATGCAGACACACATACACAGAATGACACACATACAGATTCAAACAGTGACACACATACAGATACATAGGGACAAACACAGACACATATTCAGACAGATACACAAACAAACAGATACACACGTAGAACACACATGTGGATACACAGACACACATACAGACAGATACACATAAACACACACATGCAGATACACAGGCACACTTAATGACAAATATTCAGATACACAGAATGACATGCATTCATTTATAAACTGTGACACACATACAGATACATAGGGGCACACGGTGACACATGCAAACAGATACACATACAGACATGCAGATACTCATACAAACAGGTACACATACAGACCCACATGCAGACAGATACAGACAAAGATACACATACAGACACACATGCAGACAAAGATATACACATACAGACACACACATGCACACACACACAGATACAGACACACACCTCCCCAGTGATCTCCACCTGCACGACTCTCTTAGCTGGTGACGACTTCCTCCCAACGGGCACTCTGACATAATTACTGGGGTCCTGTCATGCTCTTAAAGCGTCCTAGTGATGACCAGGCCCCAGGTAATTCATTGCCATCGGGTAGTCTCAAGAGCATGGGCCATCTGATGGGCCCCTTCAATGCTGCCCCCTCAAATGACCCCTGCGACCGAGGTAGTTCCGCCACTAGCTCTGCTAGAGTCCTACGTCTAACCTCTGTTCGTACTCCTACCTCTAATGCTCACCTTAAAGACTTCTCTAGGGCTGCACCGTTTCTATGGATGCCCTTCCCCTCTTTGTTAGACTCTTACCCAATCTCCACTCCTTCAAAAGATCTTTAAAACCTTCCTTCTTTAGGAAAGCATATCAATTAAACTGTGAACAGCTTTCCCACCCCGCTCCCTGATTCCTCTCCTGAAACTGTCATCAAAGCAAAACACTAAGCCCTCAATTAACACTATCATAGCAACCTACCTTTCTATGCTACCCTTATCTTTTGTGTCACATTACCCCACTCCCTCTAGCATGTAAAGTCAATATGCAGGCCCTCAATTCCCCTGTTACTGTGTCACTACACCCCACTAACTCTAACATGTAAACTCACTGAGCAGGCCCTCAATCCCTCTGTTACTGTGTCACTACACCCCACTCCCTCTAACATGTAAGCTCACTGAGCAGGGCCCTCAATCTCTCTGTTACTGTGTCACTATACCCCACTCCCTCTAACATGTAAACTCACTGAGCAGGGCCCTCAATCCCTCTGTTACTGTGTCACTATACCCCACTCCCTCTAACATGTAAACTCAATGAGCAGGCCCTCAATCCCTCTGTTACTGTGCTACTATACCCCACTCCCTCTAGCATGTAAACTCACTGAGCAGGCCCTCAATCCTTCTGTTACTGTGTCACTATAACCCACTGCCTCTAACATGTAAACTCACTGAGCAGGCTGTCAGTCCTTCTGTTCCTGTGTGTCCAACTGGTCTGGTAACAAATACGTGTCTGTTAGTCCACCCATTGTACAGCGATACGGAACTTGTTGGCACTTTATAAATAATAATTGTGACAAGACCAATCTCACCACATTGCATTGGAGAAGCCTGGTTGCTCATCTGCTGCCTTTGGACTATGGCCCCCATATTAAAAGACTTTGTTTCGCCTGCAGAAAATCTTTATTCGTGCTTTTCTGCCGGGTGTTCGGTAGATTCAATCTACCGAACAACCGCACGAATGAATAGACCACCTAGGAGCTGGACTGTGCCGGCAATTAACCTCCCTGAAGCTGCGGTTAACCGCAGCTTAATTGACGAATGCTGGGTGGCCACCATTCGTATCCGGAACACGAGGTCGCGGCCATTTTAAACATGCAAATGCACAGCGATGTTCGACGTTTAATTCATGGAACTAAAATCGGACACAGTTTTGCGCGAACACCGCTGAAGCCGCCGACCTCCCTTCTTGTGTGGTGAAAGTACACGAACGGCCAGTGTTCGGTAGTTTTACTTGTCTATGTTATACCCCAGATAGGAATCCCATGGAGCCCATTTGCATGAAACTGACTGTGTAAAGACTTTAGCTCCATGGCGATTAAACTGTATTCCTGTGGTCTGAGTGCCATTCACTTAATAATGTGCGCTCAGACCTGAGCTATCTGGGGACATGTTAAATGTATAAGTTTATTGTAATGTGTCTTACATGGTGTATTTTAACAGTAATTCGTGTTTTAGTATCCCCACGTGCATAATGGCGATTTGCCTTTGTCTTGGGAGATAATTGAATTACTTCTCAATTATCTCCAAGGCAGAGGGGAGGAAGCCAGGATGCATTGTGGGAATATAATGTGACTGTCTGTCCTATTTGTCAACTTGTCTGTCTTTTGTCACCTTCTCCCATTTGGTCCCCTAGGGGAGTGTCCACCAGGTGGGAGACCTGCATAAATACTGGGCAGGTAGCCCTCATTAAACAGACCACTGCTTGACCCCCAACACAGAGCCTTGTCTCGTCTTTGGGGGGATTTACTGAATGCTGATAGACTGATTGCTAGGAGTGTAAGCCGCTTGGAGGCTTTTCCTATTCGTCTGCTAGCAGTGATTCGTATGGTTCCTGTTCGTGTGTTTGGAGTGCTATATTGGATGCCGTTCGGGAGTTTGGAGCATTCACTTATTGGCGGTTCGTGTGTTTGGTGTTCTACAATAGCTGTGCCTGCATCTCTGGAAAGGGGGACGATCGCCTAAACGGTTTTTACCCCTTGTGTGCAAAAGGGTCCGTTACAATAATAATAATATCCAATGAAGGTGTAGTGCATCAAAGGAACAGATTATGATACATGTTTAATCTGAAATAATTCAAAATACTCAGATAGTTCTAATCTGAAGATATTTTGTGTGTCTATGAAATATGCTAGTAACTCCCCACTTGGTTTGTAAATTACTAACAGCTGTAAATGCAAAACTTGAGTGTTTGGGCCCTGTACCAATTAAATCTGGTGGACAAATTGGTCCCTTGCACACTAAAACAAGTTCTTTTATTTATTTAAACACAAAAAGCACATAAAGTCATTTCATACAAGTTTATCTTAAATCTTAACTTTTCTTTTGAGCTTGCATGTTGCAAGGAACTGTGATGGATTATCCTCACAGACTTAAAAGAAACTCGTAAAAATCTGGCAAAAACTGCAAAGTTGTAAATTCATGAATTTTGAGAAAATATATTCTCACTTACTACTCATTGCAGATACGTTTATTTTATTGTAATTCTCCTGGGTACTTTACTCATAAAACACTCCATCAGACAGTTACAGTTAAAAAGATGACAATTCTTCTTGTCTAATGAGTTGTGGTGTCCGCTTAGAATGCCATGTATATGGTCATGGATGCCATCAGATATTCTGAGCACCCTGCACAGCTCAAGGCCTGGGCCCACCCCTAACATCTGCCCACAGGGCTCACTCCCTATTCCACCACTATCTTGTAGACATTTAGAGCTGTGATAGGGGATGTAATATGGGTTTGTAGGAGATATATTGTGTGTGTTTAGGGAATGTAGTGTATATGTATAGGCACCCCATATTTTTAAAAGTGGGTTATATATATATTGTGATGCTCCATATATGGGGATTACAAGTGTATGGCCTGTACCCCCTTGATGGCAGCCCTGTGGTCTCTTATCTGTCTCTCCAGATGAAATTAGAAGGTGCAGACGGAACCCCCATGAAATCTGAAACTCTGCACCTCACAGAGGAATACAACAGGAAGAAAAAAGAACGGACGTACATAACAGACGAATATGGGCAGGTGACCTTTACCTTAGATACCAAGCCTTGGAAAAGTCAATTTGTCTATCTAACGGTGAGTGGGAATATCACATGATGACAACGGGTTACAAGCGAGATAGACTTATTGAAGGAACTGAAATAAACACTGTTAAATTAAGATATAATGGGGGATAGTAAATGTTAGTGAGTAACCCAAAACATAACGCTTTCATTATTATTGCCATACTTTTAGAAGGCAACATATGTATTGGCATTAACCATAAGTAAGGGAATGATTATTTTTGCAGGGAAATTTGAACAAACTGAGTTTAAAAACAAAAATTACATTAAAATGACAAAGCAGATTCAATAATAGACAAATTAAAAATGAGGACAAAAAAAATGAAAAAAACTGTCAAACTGCCCTATTTTTAGAGTTCTTTTAAAAAAATCATTATACAAAATATTTTGGGGGAATTTTTTGCTGTCATCTTAAGTCATAGTATGAGCCTGCAGTTAGCGAGACACAAGACTGGGATAAAAAGATGTATTTACTGGGCTTAATAAAATATCCATGTTTGGGGGCTGGGAAAACACTAGGTTCCACAATCTCATGGGTGAGGGATAAAGGGGACACTAGTATGTCTCCCCATTATTTTATTTTAAGCCCCGCCCGATGCCCATAGTAGCTGCCCGAGTTTTCATTACAGTGAGCAGCCACTGACTGCTCACTGTTTAGTAGACATGAATTAGACCTCCCTTATACTAATATGGAGGGTTATATTTATATTATTATTGATATTATTATTATTATTATTATATTATTTATAATATCAATATAACCCTCCATATTAGTATAAGGGAGGTCTAATTCATGTCTACTAAACAGTGATATATTTTTATATTATAATATTGATGTGGGTTTATTTTTTACATTTCTGGTTAGCCCAAATAATTTCATATAAACAAAGGGATTCTGCCAAACCAAAAACAGTCCATGGCCGAGATTCGATCTGACCAAATCTAATTTTATTTTTGCGTGAATTGATTCAGATGAACTGATTTGTTTTTAAAAAAAAATAGCTGTACACAAATCTGTCAATCAGTATCAGTCTGGATTCACCCAACGACGTGAGTGTTAACATGCAAACATGACCAACCAAAAGTTGCATCCCAATTGGGATGGACAATCGGCCAAGCAGAAGGCACCAAGTGGGATGTTTTTGTCTTCTTTCTATTTCTTTCTTTCTTTTTTTCTCACAAACAAATCACTTGTTGATTAGCACAATACTATGAATAGCAAGAGATTACATGTAAATTGTTAAATGGAAATATATCACTCTTGATACACACAGATGGATGTTTGATCTCTGTATTTTATTTTATTTTTGAGCACATGTTATTTTTGTAGGCCTCATACATGAAGGAAAAACCAGAAATAATCTACGGAGAGCTTAACCCTGTCTATATAGATGCACATATCACCCTGCAGCCCTTCAGCACCTTGACCAACAGTTTCCTAAAAATCCAACCTGCGGAGTTGCCCTTGATCTGCCACCAGGAGCACCAAATAGAAATCGATTACCTCATCCGGGGCAGTGAGTTGATGGGTAATGTGGAGACCTTGGAGGTGGTATATGTGGTAAAATTACTCTGTTGTACAATTAAATAGTTTATATTGAATTTAAAAATAATGTTTAGGGAAAAAACAACAATGGGATGGGAAACAAAAGAGAAAAAGGGGAAAATGGGGAAACAAATTCCACCTCTACCTCAATTATATATACAAGGGATCACAAGACATTTCAAACAAAAATGAAATTTGACATGAAACATAAAGAATGTGATCATTATAATTACGTTCCATGTAATGTATTGTTTTATTTTATGTTCTATTTGGCAGGAATATTATTCAGTGGAGTTAGTATTTTTACCATTTTTGGAGGTTAGATTTAGAATTAAGAATGTGTTTAGGGTTAAAGTTAAGCTTAGAGTAAGAGATATGTTTTAGAATTTGGAAGACATTTTAGGATTAGAGTTAAAGTTATTTTAAGATATTTGCTTAAGGATTAGGGAGTTGTTTCTTAGCCTATCACCAGCCTCTTGGAGGTAGAAGACTATCACCAAGAAGATGATGCTCTTGATTCAGATGTCTTCAGATGGAGACTGATGACTTTGGAGTTAAACATGTGCCAAACAGTTTAAACCCTGTTAGTAAAAAGGTGCCCGGACACCCCTGCCCCGCATAACAACTTCAATTTTGTTAAGATGCTATGTGGGTAAACTGGATGGTAAGAGATGTGTTTTAGTGTTAGGGTAAGTTTTACAATTAGAAAATCAGATCGATAATCTGTTCATATGAGTCACTCTCTAGGCTCCAAATAAAGTTGGAGGATCACCCCTATTTTAGTTAAAGCAAAGAAGGAGAAATAATAATGCACGCTGTCCTATGGTTTGCCTAAAACCAGTCTCATCTGCCCCCAACCATCCCCAATAAGCTTGTATTTAGCAAAACCCGCACTGGTTGTTAGATCATTAGGCTTCTGATCAAGTATTAGAAGGCGCCATCCCATATCTAGGACATATCTCGGACATTAGAGTTTTGGCCAATAATCAGCCCCCATGCCCCATTAAGCAGGTTTAAATGGATAGAAAAAAATTTTAATTTCTAGCGCCTGCGCAATGGCTGCTCGGACTTCCCAAACAAGAGTCTCATCCTTGTAATGTCCTCAAACCCAATTGCGTACAGGGTGATATGAAATGATAAGAAGACAATAAAATGAAATCTAGTGCACTATTTTCATTGCTGGTGATATTAGATGAAAAGGGAGAAATACACTAAAATCAGCTCCAGATGTATTCTCTTGGACGGTATGATCCGCGTCTATGGGTATGCTGGTATAGGTCCTGGTCCTTTGTTAGGAGATGTCCTCAGGCCCGTCAGTGGTGGGCAGCCATTACAAGTTGCTGGGGATGTTTTCTTTTAGTGCGTTGTATTTTAGCAGCACTTGTCTGTCCCCCTTTTTCTTTTCCTGAATTCATTTATATTTAAAATTCTCTTAAAAAGTAGTTCCTTATACTTTAACTATCAGGAAGGAGTTACTCTGAAATGAGAATATTACTTCATCCTTTGGTTTTCAGCTTTACTTTTTAAACTTCAAAGTGCAACCTAGCCTGCCATCTAGTGGTGATTTTTGAGACATTACTATAGTTTTTAGAAAAAAAGAATTTGTTTGCCTCTGTAGATATTACAGATTTATTTCAAAGTGAGCTTTTCACTCTATAGCATCATGGATTTTGTGGGTGTAAATTGTGTGAGCATCTGTTTCCCCTTCTTGGCTTTAGGCTTTATGGTTAGGATTATTCATGGATTGGAAGTCGAGAATGACTCTATACTTTGTGCCACTCATATTGTACAAAGTATTGGTTGTCTTGGTGCATGGTGTATTGAAGTTGAAAAATGTAGAATTAATACATCCTAGCTCTACAATCAGGGTGGTCTTACTTGGGACATAGCACATATAATATTATAAGTATCTCCTAGCCCATTTAAGTTCAATGACAGGTAAAATGTATGCAAAACAAGCAATGTGTTTTTCATCTTGTTGAAGACGTGGTCTTCGTAACAGCAAGGAAAAAAAATATTCTCAACTCTTCCAAACTCACTTTAGATAACTCTGTTCATACAGGAGCCAGAACACTGCCCAGACACACCAAGATTGTTTAGGCTTTGTTGTTATAACAGGGGTGCAGTGCTCTCTGTATCTTGGGGACCCTGGAATGGAAATCTGACAATATACATATTTAGCAGTACCTCCAATTGCACTCAAACACTTATCTAATTAAACAAATCACTGTGTACTTATGTATTTCATTAATGCAGTAAGCCACCATTTTGGTTTTAATGCAATCCATGTACTTAATTTAATTTGTTTGAATCAGCATCAGTTTCCAAAATGTTAGAAAAAAAACTTTCCAAATGATATATCTACAAAACTCACTATTAAAGCCCAGGGGTTTAGATATAGGAATAAGTTCTGATGCTGATTCAAACAATTAAATTGAGGTCTATGTTGGAAATATAAGTTAAAGTAATTGTTTTTCTTTTTTTTAAGGTGGTTGCAAAAGGGAACATTGTTTTAAATGGGCGGATGTCAATAAATGTCAGTAGGAAGTCAGGTAATAAAACATGAAAGCCATCAGAGATATGTCGTAACCATAGCCTGTATCAAAGAGCCGAGTGTGATGAATACTGCAATCTGCCTCTTGGTTGGATCATGCTAATGTCTCTGTGTCGATGAGATTTCATGTTTCACTTACCCTTGGATCTAGAAACCTAATGTGTCTATATTAAATAATTTAGATTTGGTTAGAAATTAGTTTATACTTAACTCCAACTCTCTTCCCAAAATAAGCCCCTCTACTCCTTAACCAGTGTATAAGGTGGTTATATATTTATTCCGGGGGGGGGGGGTTTCCTTAGGAAAAAGAAAGAAAATTTGCTTTGCAACAAACAGCCCTCTGCAGACCTATACACATCCTTCCCAGAGTACATTCTGACACCCCCTGGTTAGCAATGTATCTTTCAAAGATTTACTCCTGCTAGATTCTTTTAAATTCCTGACTTAGACATAGAGGACACTTAATGAATATTCTGATAAGAGATGCACTGCTTGTGTGGAAGACATCATTTAATTAGATGCCAACTAGCCCTTTACAAACAAAGAAGGCTTTTACAGATTACTTACAAATCACATCATTTCCTCTCCCATGTAACACATATGATGTCAATATATTCTTTTTCCCATCGTTTCCCCCACTTTAACGCCAAAGTCATACCTGTACTTCAGGCTCCAATTTCAGGGAATGTATCAAACTGGTCTGAAAGATTTGACCACAGAAGATGTTAAACTTCAACAACTATTTTAAAGCACTCAGAGACTGTTTCATCCTCCACTTCATGTCACTTTTCCTGCAGCATGGAATGGGGTGCAAAAGGTTCTACCTCTCATAAAGGAAATGTGATTGACAGAAAAATAGACATCTGTAATTTTGTTTCGTCCTGAGAATATTATTTTTTTCTGAATTTTTCTCAATTTGGGAAAAATATTCTTAATTCTTTACAAACCAAAATGAACCCAAAAATTTTATATATTTGTAACTAAACAAAATCAATTATTTTGGATCCATTCTTTTTCATAAGGTTAACATATTAGGGACTTATCTACTAAACAAAGGAAACTAACATTTTAAGGGGCTTTTTCTTACAATATTGCTTAAGTGACAATTCTTAATGATGTCAAAGTGAATTTCAACTTTAAAGGGACACTATAGTCACCAGAACAACTACAGCTTATTGTATTTGTTAATGAGTACAATCATTTCCTTCAGGCTTTTTACTGTAAACAATGTTTTTTTTTCAGAGAAAATGCAGTGTTTACCTTACAGCCAAGGGATATCTCCACAGGCCACTCCTCAGATGGCTACTAGAGGTGCCTCCTGGGGCAGTGCTGCACAATGTGACTGACATTCAGTGTCTTCACACTGCATGGAGACACTGAACTTTCCCCATAGATAATCATTGATTCAGTGCATCTCCATGAGGGGATGCTGATTGGCCAGGCTTGTGGTGGCTCTGGCCCTGATCTGCCTTCTTGACAGTGTCAGCCAATCCAATGCTTTCCCTATTGAAAAGCATTTTGATTGGCTGAGATCATCACTTCTGATGATGTCAGACAAGCAGGCAGATCAAGGTCAGAGTCAGCAGCTGTAGACTTGAATTAAAGTATGGTTTTACTATATTTAGGGGTGCAAGCGGGGCTAGATGTTGGTTATATCAATATAGGGTCAGGAATAAGTTTTTGTGTTCCTGACCCTATAATGTTCCTTTAAGGCCAAAATAGCTGAATTGGAAAAGTTTGGCTACTTTGAATTCTCACTTTAGTTAATACCCCTGGTAATATTGCTCTTTCAGTTGTTTAGTAAAAGCTCCCTAATTGGGTATGTGGGATTGCCATAAATAAGGGTACCAGATTATAGGCTTATCTACTAAACAGCTGAAAAGCAAAATAATGAAAAGGGATTTCATTTTGGCCTTTCACCTGTTTAGTGGATAGCTCCCTAATTTGCTACACTTAGTGAGTACCATTTTTATGGATAACCATTAGAAATTTATATCCTAAACACAACTTCTCCCTAATTTGATACACTTATGCGTGATTGCCATTTTTACGGATAAATTAGTGTGCTGTTTAGTAAATGGCTTCCTTATTTGGTATTAATTAAATATGACAATCCCACATAGGGATCTATCTAATAAACATCTGAAACACAAAATTAGTAAAAAAAAAAATCCCTTTTATTTGTGATTTTACAGCTGTGTTTAGTAGATATCTCCCTTATTTGGTACTCGATTTTTAAGAATACCAAATTAGGAAACTATATGCTATTTACAAATTTCATTTAGTCCCAAATTGTTAATTTTCAAATTGCAGAAGAAGCAAGAATTGAAAATTAACAAAACATACAGTCAGGTCCATAAATATTGGGACATCGACACAATTCTAATCTTTTTGGCTCTATACACCACCACAATGGATTGAAATGAAATGAACAGGATGTGCTTTAACTGCAGACTTTCAGCTTTAATTTGAGGGTATTTACATCCAAATCAGGTGAATGGTGTAGGAATAACAACAGTTTGTATATGTGCCTCCCACTTTTCAAGGGACCAAAAGTAATAGGACAATTGGCTGCTCAGCTGTTCCATCACCCGGTGTGTGTTATTCCCTCATTATCCCATTTACAAGGAGCAGATAAAAGGTCCAGAGTTAATTTCAAGTGTGCTATTGGTATCAGGGCCGTCGCTACCTCTTAGGCAGACTAGGCAGCTGCCTAGGGCGCCCCTTGGGAAGGGGCGCCGCCAGGAGCACCGGCCCCCCATGCTGCAGCCGTCCGAGTGCTCTGTAGAAAGCCTCAGGCGGCTGCAGCTTTGCCCGGGCGGTGCGTCCATGAGGGCGGACCGCACCGCCCGGGCGCAGCCTGAGGGGAGGGGCTGACAGGAGGGAGTGCTCAGCGCTCCCTCCTGTCACTCCCTCTCTGTAGCGTGGCCGGGCCCTGCAGCATGATGGTCCGACGGGTACAGGGAGCATCTGTCTCCTGTACCCGGCTGGACTAACAGGAAGTACACACTGAGTGTGCACTTCCTGTTAGTCCGGCCGGGTACAGGAAACAAAAGCAACCTGTACCCGCGGACCATCATGCTGCAGGGCTCGGCAACGCTACAACAAAGATGGGGGGGAGGAGAAAGAAATTGGGAGGGAACGGGGGAGAAGAAAAGGGGAGGGTGGGAGAAGAAATTGGGAGGGAGGGGAGAAATTGTCAGGGAGGGGTAAGAAGAAATTGTGAGGGGGGAGAAGAAATTGTCAGGAGGGGTAAGAAGAAATTGGGAGGGGAGGAGGGAGGGAAGAAGAAATTGGCAGGGGAGGGGAGAGAAGATTGGGAGGGGGGGGGAGAAGAAATTGGTAGGGGAGGGGGAGAAGAAATGGGGAGGGTGGTAGGGAGGGGGGAGAAGAAATGGGGAGGGTGGGAGGGTGGGAGTAAAAGAAATGGGGAGGGTGGGAGAAAAAGAAATTGGTAGGGGAGGGGGGAGAAGAAGAAATTGACAGGGGGGAGAAGAAGAAATTGGTGGGGGGGAGAGATTGACATCCATCACACACACATGCAATGCACCCCTTGCACACAGAAAAACACACAATGGATTACACACTCACAAACAATGTAACCCTTACACACAATGCATCCCTTACACACACAGAAACACACAATGCATTCCTTACACACACTCAATGCACCCCTTACACACTCAATGCACCCCTTACACACGCACACACTGCATCCTGTACATACACAGAAACACACCTTGCAGCCCTTACACATACAAACACAGATTTACACAATGCATTCCTTACACACATATCAGGACATCCCCTACACACTCCACCCCCTGTGAAAAAACTCATTGGTGGAACATGAAGGTGGACCCTGGGACCCAGACCTTGAGCTGTGTAAAGGGCCGCCCAAAAATGGAGCTGCTTCCCGTTCTCCCAGAATATTGATTTTTGTGACCACAGTTACAAACAGCCTCCAGAGAGCCTGTTGTACACCAGACCAGTGGAGCCAGACTGCAGCTAGAGCCCATCATCATCCTCATCTCGTTGTAAGTAGGCAATCTAGTATATTATTTGTGGCACTAATCTCTAATTTACCTCACATTAAAGAAACACTATAGTCCCCAGAACCACTGTAGCTTAATGTAGTTGTTCTGGTGTCTATAGCCTGTCCCTGCATGCCTTATAATTTAAACACGGCGGCACTGCAGCACTGGCGTTAGTTAACATGGCAGATCATATGGGTGGAGCATTGTGATGTCACATGGGAGGGGGGGCGGCAAACTTTACTTTTGCCTAGGGCGGAAACAATCCTTGCACCGGCCCTGATTGGCATTTGGAATCTGTTGCTGTCAACTCTCAATATGAGATCCAAAGAGCTGTCACTATCAGTGAAGCAAGCCATCATTAGGCTGAAAAAACAAAACAAACCCATGAGAGAGATAGCAAAAACATTAGGTGTGGTCAAATCAACTGTTTGGAACATCCTTAAAAAGAAAGAACGCACTGGTGAGCTCAGTAACACCAAAAGACCCGGAAGACCACGAAAAACAAATGTGGTGGATGACCGAAGAATTCTTTCCCTGGTGAAGAAAACACCCTTCACAAAAGTTGGCCAGATCAAGAACACTCTCCAGGAGGTAGGTGTATATGTGTCAAAGTCAACAATCAAGAGAAGACTTCACCAGAGTGAATACAGAGTGAAGATGTAAGCCATTGGTGAGCCTCAAAAACAGGAAGGCCAGATTAGAGTTTGCCAAACAACATCTAAAAAAGCCTTCACAGTTCTGGAACAACATCCTATGGACAGATGAGACCAAGATCAACTTGTACCAGAGTGATGGGAAGAGAAGAGTATGGAGAAGGAAAGGAACTGCTCATGATCCAAAGCATACCACCTCATCAATGAAGCATGGTGGTGGTAGTGTCATGGCGTGGACATGTTTGGCTGCCAATGGAACTAGTTCTCTTGTATTTATTGATGATGTGACTGCTGACAAAAGCAGCAGGATGAATTCTGATGTGTTTCGGGCAATATTATCTGCTCATATTCAGCCAAATGCTTCAGACCTCATTGGACGGTGCTTCACAGTGCAGATGGACAATGACCCGAAGCATACTGCAAAAGCAACCAAAGGGTTTTTTAAGGGAAAGAAGTGGAATGTTATGCAATGGCCAAGTCAATCACCTGACCTGAATCCGATTGAGCATGCACTTCACTTGATGAAGACAAAACTGAAGGGAAAATGCCCCAAGAACAAGCAGGAACTGAAGACTGTTGCAATAGAGGCCTGGCAGAGCACCACCAGGGATGAAACCCAGCGTCTGGTAATGTCTATGCGTTCCAGACTTCAGGCTGTAATTGACTGCAAAGGATTTGCAACCATGTGTTAAAAAGTTAAAGTTTCCCACTCTCCCCCCTCCTGTTTACCCTATGCCTGGAACCATTCCTGCGAGCGGGCAGATGGACGGGGGTATCTCTGGGTTCACCATGAAGGGCACCATACACAAGATAGCGGCATACGCAGACGACTTATTATTCTTCGTCAGCAACCCCTTGGTGTCACTACTGAACATCTTAAAAGCATTTCAGGAATACGGACAGGTATCGAACTTAAAACTTAACACCGACAAATCAGAAGCAATGCTCATTGCCACCGAACCGGAGGAGGCCACCCACCTACGCACGCAATACGCATTCATGTGGTGCACCACCAAGTACCTCGGTATCTGGCTCCCGACAGACCTCTAGTACCTATACACCCATAACTTAGCTCCTATCACACTACCACTCGAGGGGAGGGGGGGAAGAAATTCCCACCTTGACTGATTTACACAGACAGACATGGTACGCTGGTCTAGCCTATGCGTCTCCTGGTTCGGCAGAATGAACGCCGTCAAAATGAATCTCCTCCCCCGCCTACTGTATTTATTTCAAACGATCCCAATCAGCCTACCCACGACTTTTTTCCGACAACTAGATTCGGATATTTGTAAGTTTGTATGGCGCAACCAATCGCACAGAATTTGCTGGACTCTGCTTCACAGAACGAAGGAACAGGGAGGAACGGGTCTACCATCGATGAGGGTGTACCACAGAGCCACACACCTATTACGTATTGTCGAGTGGCATATCCCACACACGCCCAAGCACTGGATATGCATGGAAAAGGCATTGATGGAGGAGAGGATCCCGGCACTAGTCTGGAGATACGACCTCATGAAAACTACCCAAGCCCAGAACCACCCACTCATCTGAGCAACACTGAGAATCTGGAAAGCAATTTGGACGAAACTCTCTCTTACCACACTACCAGGGCCAATGACCCCGGTACTCTTTAACCCCGAGGTAGCATGGGGGCTCCTACCCAAGGATGTAGCAGCCTTTGGCGAAGCGGGCCGAACCCACATACACCAATGGTGCACCACGGCTCAAACAACTACCCGACGTAATGGAGAACAAGACTCCCAACAGGGCTAGAGAGATTTCGGTACCTCCAAATCAAGAAGTACTATAATGTCCAACAAGGGAGACATCTCTTTCACAGGCCCCTTACAGAGTTTGAGAAATATTGCGACAGCGGGACGCACAGTGCCCGGGGGATCTCAGTCCTTTACTCTAAGCTCAGGTCGAAGGTCCAGCTCGAACCAGCGAAACACACAGCACGGTGTGAGAGAGTGACGGGAATGGAGCTCACTGACGCCCAGTGGACCAAAATATATATTCTCACGCACCAGAGCTCCATGTGCTCCAAACTACAAGAACTAAACTACAAATTACTCATTGGCTGGTACCGCACCCTGGAAAGGCTCCACCGCATGCTGCCTGAAGTCCCAGACACATGCTGGAGATGTGGGGAGAGACCAGGAACAGACCTCCACATCTGGTGGTCGTGCGAAAGGATAGCCCCCTACTGGCGGGATATCCACGGAGCTATCCGAGAGATACAGGACACCGAGCTCCCATTTCAACCGCTCCAGATGCTGCTCCACCACACCCAGACACCACTCTCGCAGTATAAAAAAACCTTGACAAAACACCTCCTCATGAGGCAAAGGCTATGATCCCGAACTAATGAAAATCAGAACAAACACCCACACTCCAGCAGTGGATGGATAAAGTCAAAGAGCTACACAAGATGGAAAGGCTCACGGCAGTGATAAGGAACAACATGGAAAAATATCAACAGTGCTGGATCCCCTGGATCCTCTATCTAGCCAGAAGATAAACGGAGCAGGTAAAACACAACACGGACGGCAGAGGCCCGCCGGATCTGGGCTGCCTGCGGCCTGCGGGTGGGGATGGGGCCCGCCGGCCTTCCTCCCCACCTCTACACCCACCTATGGTCCTCCCCTTCCCTACCCTCCCATCCACACAAGAGGCGAGCCGAGCAGTGGCGGTCGGAGGCGAGGCACCATGGATAGGCATATTGACAGTATTCCAACACAGGAAACACTAGATTGTGAAGAGATGACCCCCCCACGGACTTTAGGGAAACAAACCACACACGACATCCTGCACACACTTAACATAAGGAGACAAAAATAAGCACTCCACTCGCAGACACGAAAGAACGAAATGGGACAACCAACCCCCCTCAGGAAACAGGCCTCAGCCACCACCAGACAGACAGACAGAAAATAGGCCTTACACTACTGACACAGAATACGTTTAGACTGTCTGTTGCTTCTGAATGGACACCTTTATGACCCAATGAATGCAGAGGCCCTGCGTATGTTTTATGGTGGGAGTCCCACCTTGACTGATTTACACATAAAATCAGCTCACAACCCAGACAACAGAGCTTGGGCATTACAAAGTTATTACACCTGTGTTTATTACGAAAGCCACAGTAATATGTAGAAAAAACAAATAAAACAATGACTATCTAAAGAACATAACAGAGGTCAACAAATCTGATATACCGCACTACTAAACTTCAAACACAATTAGTTATGACTCACTAAACCGATCATTTTGTACTGCTCATGACATGTAGGCAACCAAGAATATGACAAGACAATCTCGGTATAAGATCTGTCAATAGGTTTTAACTTAGCATTATCTCTGTTGTATCCATTGTCGACCTATATAGGTACCAAATGTAAGCTGATTGTTATAATTTGGAAAAATATCAATAAAAACAAAATAATTGAAAAAAAGTGAAAGTTTGATTTATGACTGTTAATCTGTCCCATTACTTTTAGTCCCTTAAAAAGTGGGAGGCACATATATAAACTGTTGTAATTCCTACACCGTTCACCTGATTTGGATGTAAATACCCTCAAATTAAAGCTGAAAGTCTGCAGTTAAAGCACACCTTGTTTGTTTCATGTCAAACCCATTGTGTTGGTGTATAGAGCCAAAACGATTAGAATTGTGTCGATGTCCCAATATTTATAGACCTGACTGTAATAAAAAAATCCTAGGACATCTTTTAACAACAAGTCTTTATTATAATCAAATGAAAATCACAAGACAATGACAGGGTTACCTTTGTTTTGTCTTTTCTTCCTTTTTTGGTTTATTGTCACTTTCATTGTGGAAATGATCAGCCTATGTTGCCTTTTATATCTCATGTAACTTGTGTGTAGATTACATTTTTTTCTTGATATTTCTGAATTTGAATAAAGCGTAAAAGAAAATTACACCTATTATTTCTATTATAACCCAGATGTAGAAGACACTTTCTGCATGTATTGTTTAAAGCAGGAGTACACAAACGGTAAATCCCCAGATGTTGTAGAACTACAATTCCCATGATGCTTTGCATGCTTCTAGAATGACAAAGCTTAATGAAAGCTGTAGTTTTAAAATATCTGGAGAACTATATTTTGGTCGCCACTGGTTTAAAGTATTTCTCAATACTGACACTCGTATCATTTTATTAACCCCCTTTTATTCAGTTTTATTTTTTCAAATGTCAACATTTTTATTTAATAGTTTTCATTACAAATTACACAAATTACTAAATCTAAACAGAATCAGACTAACAATCTTTCATACCTCCATATTTTTAAATACTTTTCTTCCTTGGAATTAATATATGTCACATACCATATAAGTCATTTGTCATTTACCATATAAGTCATTTGAATCTTCCCACGTACAGTTGTAACAGGGACTTTACAGCTCCCCCTGATGGTCACTGCTGACATTGCACCGCTGATGTACATGTTGGTTTATACAATGCTGAACAATGGTCAGATGTCAGCTGATACTGAACGGTTCCAAGTCGAAAAGTGCTTTAACAACAAAGTGAGAAAATCTCTGTTTTTTAAAATTAATTTGGGGCAAACCCAGAACATGCATTTCTCAGCCGTGGTGCTGTCATTGACACCAACATTTATACAAAATATAGATTAATGAACAGTAAACACAAAAATACAGTTTAATAATCTTTATTTGATACAGAACAGATATATGATATGCATTGTAAGTATATACATCAAAACACTATCACTTTAATTGTTTGGTTTTGATACTGTATTTATTTAAATACTTTTTCAGAATTGTGTTTTTTTATCACATTAATTTTGCATTATAGATGTTCATAATGCTATTATAACAGATTAATTAAATACTCTTTAGTTAATTTAGCACTATTTAATTTGTCTCAGGCATTAACATGAGTATAGGACCCCATGATATTGAGGTACTGTGAAGTAGTGGGGGCTTCACACGATATGGCCATGTGGTGCAACTAAATCCCCATATTTATGATTTTAGCCTTGTAAAATGTAAAACTGTATTTTTAGGTTTCCTTAATCTGTATTCTGTTTATACATGTTTGTCTCTGACTGTCCATATACTTGTCTTTCTGCTTTCTGTCTGTCTCTCTGTCTGTCCATCTCTGTTTGTCTGGGCCAGTGTATCTAGTGACTCTGTATAATGTATGTTCCAGTTTATCTGGAGTCTACGTATAATTCCTGGTCCAGAGCCTTCTGAATCTCTGTATAATGTGTGGTCCAATATCTGCTGTGTCTCTGTTTAATACCTGGTCCAGTAATTCTCTGACTACATCCCTAGGTGACCCTGGAATTCTCAGACGATGAGGTTACCCCTGGTTCAACTGTCTCCATGCACCTCACAGCAGCTCCTGGATCTCTCTGTTCCATCAAAGCAGTCGACGAAGGTGTTTACTTCTTGAATCCCAAAGCTGAGATTTCTACAGACACGGTGAGTCTAATTTACTTTTCAGATTGTATTATTTTTAATAAGGTTAAGTTAGTATTTATTTAACACTATTATCCAGATTGATAGCTATGGGATGACCATTAAATGCGGATTTTATTTACAAATCAAGTGAAAGGTTATGAATTGAGGAGGAAAAAAGGAGGAAAAAAAAACAAATATATTTATATATTTAATACATTTATAAAATGAATAAAATATATATTTAAAAGGGACACTCCAGGCACCCAGACCACTTCTGCCTATTGGAGTGGTCTGGGTGCCAACTCCTACTACCCTTAACCCTGCAGCTGTAATTATTGCAGTTTTTATAAACTGCAATAATTACCTTGCAGGGTCAACTCCTCCTCTAGTGGCTCTCTACGCTATGTGAGGACCTCCAGCATCACTAAAATCCCCATAGGAAAGCATTTAAAGCATTTTCAATGCTTTCCATGGAGAGGTCTAATGCGCGTGCACAGCATTGCCACGCATGTGCATTAGGTCTCCCCTGCCAGCGGCCACGTATGTGCAATTGGTCATCCGGCGGGGGATGAGCGTGGACAGATCCTTAACCAGCACCGAGGGACATTGGCGCTGGTCTCAGGTAAATCTCTGAAGGGGTTCTAACCCTTTCAGCAACTTGAGATGGGGAGTGGAAGGGAGAGGGGACCTGCAGTGCCAGGAAAATGGTTTGTTTTCTTGGCACTGGCGTGTCTCTTTAATAAATATGTAAATATAGATTGTTTTACTGCCCCTCCTATTTTTCCCTGAATTGGATACTTTTTCTTACTTGCTCTGTGAGCCAAATTGTGCGTATCTGTGTACTGAAAAATATATAGCTAATATTTATATTATGTATCTACCTTACAGCACACTGATTGGCCCGTTGTATTTACCCTTTTTGGTTTGCCCAGGTTGAATCACCAACTAAACCAACTGTTGGAGGTCCCAAATTAAATTAATTTTTCTGCTCAAAATGGTTGAGCCGAACCAAATTTTTGAACCATGAACAAGTCTTGAAATTACTCATAGATTGGGCTATAGATGGTATTTCACCAATGTTTAATTTATTTTTTTAAATACAATGGACTAACTGAAGTGATAAAATGCTAGCCCTCTCCTGTTTAGCCTATGCCCCATGCTGCTTATATTCTGCTCCTAGAATCCTCAAGGGAATGCAATAGTGTTAGGAATGCAAACCTGTATTCCTAATGCTATAGTGCTCCTGTCCCTAGATGTATTCAGAACCTACATTTATTTTTCCACTAAAAAGTAAGAAAATAAAAGTTCTACTTACCTTTTTCCAGCACTGAGGCTCCCTTTCCATCTCCCTCTCCATCTCCTGCAAGTCATGGCCAATCCAATGTTCCTCGTAAATCCAAAGGGAGCAGATGAAAGCAACTGCACACGAATAGCTTAATACCTCTGCTACCAGATGTGTAACGCACCACCAGCAGCATCATTGAGGCTTCCTTTAGAGACAGCACAGAACATTGTTCTGTGCTGACATATCAGTCCTGTGCAGAATTGGCATCTGACACCAGCATGTGTTCAGCATGGTAGCTTCAGACAGCCAACAGTGGTACACCCCTCTCAGTCTGTCCTTCCTGACCTCCATTCCCCTTGAGAGGAAGCAACATCAGTTGTTGAGGATGAGCCTGCAGGGAGAACTTGGCCTTGGCTCTGTAAAAAATTTTTTATTATTTTATTTCTGTTTTACATTTGGGGGTTTAACCACCATAGCAAGAGTAACAAGCTGTATATTCAATACAGTGTAAGGTTCTTAGTGACTAGATTGTGATGATGGCAAACTAACATTTGTTCTTTAATGGAGAGAATCTTCAAACTCACCCTTGTTTTAATCTTGCAATGCAGTACAAGGTTTACGAAGAGAGGATGTGAGCAAACTATTTTTTTAGTTGTGCTTAAAGGGGCACTCTAGCCACCATAACTACTACATGACAATATAGTGGCTATGAAGCCAATAGGCTGAGGACACTGTTGAACCATTTTTAAGATGTTTGACCAAAGCCTGGGGTCCTCACCTTGGCTAAAGCTAATGGTGAAGTGCCCCATCACCCGCAATTAATAAGGTAGCACATGGTCCTATATCTTCTCATTGACTATAGAATGAATATCCTGAGATCCAAGTCTAAGATATCAGACTATAAAATTGGGAAGGGGTAATGCTGTGTTCTCTGGAGTGTGTGCTCTAAAACCTAAAATAATATTCACATTTTATTTCATCTGCCAGCTGTACAATTTATTAGATTTGAGAAGTCGTTATGGGTATCCATACAGGGTTCAGGAGCAAGACCTCATCTGCTGGAAAGGCCACTCTCGATACAATAAACGTTCACTTGAAACCTTTCACCGCAAAAAACGATTCGTTTCATTTTCTCCTGAACCCAGCGCACCTGATGCATTCTCGCTCATCAAGGTAAATTTTCTATTGTACCCATTGTAGACTATTTATAATTAATAAGAGTAGGCACTGTTAACTTTAAACTTCCAGAAATAATGCTACAAACCAACAATCAGTAATGTCCTCTCACTTCAAACCTGCATGCAATATTCTCATTTTTTGAAAGTTTTTGTAACAAAATTAATTCATGAAGTAAAATACAATGTGAAACAAAGAAGTGCAACATTTCTAAACTTGATTTTATCTCGTTATCTCAATTTACTACAAGACTTTCTTGCAATTAAATTTAAAAAATAAAGATAGCCCCAAACAACTCTACAGGCTTTGCTGAATTAGTTTAATTAATATGCATTATATTTTACTTTAGTGAGATAATGAGATGGTTTCACATGATTCAAACAATGTTCTTTTCCTTGCTGCTTAAGCACGTTCATTATGGTTTGTTTGTTAATTAGTGAGTGTACCCCAAAAGAACTTTGTAACGGATCCACTATACTCCGGCTGAGTAAATCCATTAGTAGTCTCCCGAATCCCAAGTTCTGCATTGATTATAGCTCTCCTGTTTCCAGCAGAGTAATGATCAGAGCTCTTCAATCCCCCCAAACGTGAGCCAACACTCCCCTGACACTCCTACACAAACAGGATCATCCCTCTACTGGACCTGAGATGGGACTAGTTACAAGTTAAAAACTCCTCCTCTGTGCCTGAGAGATAATTGAGTAAGGAACTATACTAAACTCCATTATCTCCAGGCACAGAAAACACACATTTTAACAACACCCCAAAACTACCCCCAAAACACATGTAAACGCCACATCCCCTGATAGCCCCAATCATATCCAAAAATCACCCAGATCGGTTCAGGGTTTCAAGATTTCCATGGAAGTCATAATTTGACCGACAGCACACGAAGCTCCTGCCCAAAACAGTTCCAGAGAATCAGGGCTTGCGGTTGGTCTAGTTCAGTAGTTTAAAAACCGAACAAACTATCAAACATAGGAAGGTCACAGAACAAAATAGTACAATAAGGATGCGCCCAAAATAAATACTAAAATATATGAACTAAAATAAAATATAAAACAAAGTGTAAAATATAGTATAAAAGTATATAATTAACAAATGTCCAAAACTTATCAAAGTCCGTAATGAGTGATCCCACGTAAAAACAAAGGAAGGTTCTTTAAAATGTGGAGTAGGGTCAAATCTTCATAATGGTATGTACAGGATTCAGTGGAACATATGTGGAAAGAAGAAGAAACAGGACTCCAATGGTACAGTATGTAAATACGTTGAAAATAAAATAGTAGAATAGGTCTTACTCACAATTTTCAGAGCTGAAGATCCAGCTCTGATGTTAAGCACGTGAAGTGGAATAATCCCCACTCAAGGATATATGGAGTAGACTTCAAATGGCGGTTCTCTGGTACACGTACAACGTCCAAAGTACAGACCCAAAAGAAGAAAATAAAATATATAGTGCTCTCTGTGTTACGGTGAAATATAAAAATTTGTAAAAGGAATATTACTCACATTCTTTTGAGCAGGTATATACTGCTCACTATATGCGCTTGGGTGGTATAATCGCCACCTATGGTTTCTTTAAGCTTCTTCTGAAATTAGGCAATATACGTAGTCAGGTGAAAGACAAGAAAAGAAAAAGAAAAAATGGCAATAAAGTGTTTTATGCCAAAAATTCTTTATTATAACATAATAAAATAATATCTAAACGCGTTTCGCCACAGGGGCTTCTTCAAGTAGATAAAATGAAAAAAGGGGGGGGGGACACCTGACATACAAGGTTTATATAAGATGCAATAAGGCTATGGGTTTAAAATTCCCGCCAAAATGACATCATCAGAACATCAAAAATAGTGCAAATAGAGAAACAGTAATTTTTCATACATATATATATATAGATATAATAAATGTGAGGTAGATACAGTACTTTTAATTAAAAAACGAAGGTTTAAAACACTGGAAATAACCTATTAAGCGCTATCACGTGACGCGCGATCTCTAAACATTTCCGCGTCACGTGATGCGCGGTGGAACGCATGCGTTCTGATAGTGTGGAACGCATGTGTCATAGAAGGGGAGGAGGATTCTCCCAAGTGCTCGGGGAGAATTTGACCGAGCAGAAAGAAGGCTATCTGCTGAGAACAGCAAGCAGATAGCCTTCACAGTAAAGCACAACACCCACTGGCCGTCCACCCAGACAGACAGGCAGCAGGCTGGACCACAGGATCACAACCAGCTGTGAACAAATAAATACATATTTGTGATAATATTAAATTGGACAAACATATAAAACAATATTCAGTTAGATATACATATAGTTGTGTAACAACAATCTTATAGAGAACAGTATATACAAATATGCTAAAAAATTGAATTTATACATAAAAAAATAATAATACATAAAAAAATAAAAAATAAAAGAAATGGGATATGAAAAAAAATATATATATATTTTTTTTTTTTAAATGATAAAAAATTAAAAAGATCAAAATCAATATTCAGACCTTTTGGAGCAAGGGTTTTCACATTATATGTCCATTCCATTTCTCTTTTACCAAGAACTTTTTTAATGTCACCACCTCTCCATGGGACATTACATATATCTATGCCTAAACACTTCAGATATTTTGGGTTCTTTTCATGTTGTAAAAAGTGTTTTGAGACAGAGTGATTCTCATAACCTTTTAAAATATTCCTACAGTGTTCGGCTAATCTTGTTTTTAAATTTCTAGTGGTCATGCCAACATATTGTAGTCCACATGGGCATTCCAGAAGATAAATCACATTCTTAGTATTGCAGTGGATAAAGTGTTTTATTTGATATATTTTCTGTGTAATTGTAGATGTGAACGATGTGGTTTTGGACTTAACAATATTACTCGTACGCTTGCAAACAATGCATCTATTGCATTTAAAAAAAACGCTCGGTTTATTCAAAAAGGTGGAAGGACTAGGAGATAAGGTGCTATAATCATGTTTAGTGTAGTTACTTGTAAGGATGGACTTAAAGCTGGGTGCCCCCTAAATATAACTTGTGGTTTTTCGGGGATAATCCCAGCCAAAGTCTCATCCTCTTTTAATATATGCCAATGTTTCTTTATAATCTTCTTCATAACATTACTTTTGTTATTGAAGTCGAAAATAATTGGCAATACTGGGGCGGTTTTCGTTTCTTTATTTGTTTTATATTCAAGAAGTTCAGATCTATTGGTTGTACCAATATTTTTCAAAGTTTGATCCACATTGTTTCTGGGATAATTTTTTTGAAGAAATTTGTTGGACAGTAATTGAGACTGTTCCTCAAAATCTTGTGTGAGGGAACAGTTTCTACGTAGGCGGAGAAACTGGCTCTTTGGTATCCCTTGAAGCCATGGTTTATGGTGACAACTGGATACATCAATAACGTTATTAGTGCATACCTTCTTAAAAAAAGTCTTAGTATGGATTTGATCATTTTTAATAAAAATCTCTAAGTCTAAAAAATTAATAGAAGATTTACTAAAATCCCAAGTTAAAATGATACCTTTGTCATTATTGTTAAGATGTTGTAAAAACTGATTAAGAGAATCTTCTGGGCCATCCCAAATAAAAAACAAATCATCAATGTATCTAAAATATGTAACCAGGTTCGCCCGCCAGCCATGCTCGCCCAAACTGGCAGTGGATTCCCAATCCGCCATAAAGAGGTTAGCATAGCTGGGGGCAAACCTGGTCCCCATAGCGGTACCCTGTTTTTGTAAATAAAAAGAATCTAAAAACCAGAAATAATTATTATTTAAAATAATATTAATACCTTGGATAATAAAATCTATTTGTTGATCAGGGATATTCTTTTCAGCTTTTAAGATTTTTTCGACTGCTAAACAGCCTTTTTTGTGACAAATGTTCGGTAAAAAATAAATAACTGGGATAATGGGATGAGATACATTGAGATATTCAAATTCATGTTTACTTAAAATATTTTGGTCACGACCGTTAATTAAAAAAGAAGTTAAAATTTGTTGAATTTTAGATGTAGGATCTCGTGCTTAAAATTTGTTGAATTTTAGATGTAGGATCTCGTACTTAGCACGAGATCCAACATCTAAAATTCAACAAATTTTAACTTCTTTTTTAATTAACGGTCGTGACCAAAATATTTTAAGTAAACATGAATTTGAATATCTCAATGTATCTCATCCCATTATCCCAGTTATTTATTTTTTACCGAAAATTCATAAAGATATTATTAATCCCCCAGGTAGACCCATTGTGTCGGGTATTAAGTCTATTTTATCTAATTTATCTGAGTATCTAGACATTCTTTTACAACCTTCAGTGAAACGTATGAATTCATACCTAAAAGACTCAATGTCCTTACTCCGTTTTTTAAACGCTTTTAAATGGAAAAATACATATGTTTTAGTGACCTGTGATGTGCAATCTTTGTACACCATTATTTGTCACAAAAAAGGCTGTTTAGCAGTCGAAAAAATCTTAAAAGCTGAAAAGAATATCCCTGATCAACAAATAGATTTTATTATCCAAGGTATTAATATTATTTTAAATAATAATTATTTCTGGTTTTTAGATTCTTTTTATTTACAAAAACAGGGTACCGCTATGGGGACCAGGTTTGCCCCCAGCTATGTTAACCTCTTTATGGCGGATTGGGAATCCACTGCCAGTTTGGGCGAGCATGGCTGGCGGGCGAACCTGGTTACATATTTTAGATACATTGATGATTTGTTTTTTATTTGGGATGGCCCAGAAGATTCTCTTAATCAGTTTTTACAACATCTTAACAATAATGACAAAGATATCATTTTAACTTGGGATTTTAGTAAATCTTCTATTAATTTTTTAGACTTAGAGATTTTTATTAAAAATGATCAAATCCATACTAAGACTTTTTTTAAGAAGGTATGCACTAATAACGTTATTGATGTATCCAGTTGTCACCATAAACCATGGCTTCAAGGGATACCAAAGAGCCAGTTTCTCTGCCTACGTAGAAACTGTTCCCTCACACAAGATTTTGAGGAACAGTCTCAATTACTGTCCAACAAATTTCTTCAAAAAAATTATCCCAGAAACAATGTGGATCAAACTTTGAAAAATATTGGTACAACCAATAGATCTGAACTTCTTGAATATAAAACAAATAAAGAAATGAAAACCGCCCCAGTATTGCCAATTATTTTCGACTTCAATAACAAAAGTAATGTTATGAAGAAGATTATAAAGAAACATTGGCATATATTAAAAGAGGATGAGACTTTGGCTGGGATTATCCCCGAAAAACCACAAGTTATATTTAGGGGGCACCCAGCTTTAAGTCCATCCTTACAAGTAACTACACTAAACATGATTATAGCACCTTATCTCCTAGTCCTTCCACCTTTTTGAATAAACCGAGCGTTTTTTTTAAATGCAATAGATGCATTGTTTGCAAGCGTACGAGTAATATTGTTAAGTCCAAAACCACATCGTTCACATCTACAATTACACAGAAAATATATCAAATAAAACACTTTATCCACTGCAATACTAAGAATGTGATTTATCTTCTGGAATGCCCATGTGGACTACAATATGTTGGCATGACCACTAGAAATTTAAAAACAAGATTAGCCGAACACTGTAGGAATATTTTAAAAGGTTATGAGAATCACTCTGTCTCAAAACACTTTTTACAACATGAAAAGAACCCAAAATATCTGAAGTGTTTAGGCATAGATATATGTAATGTCCCATGGAGAGGTTGTGACATTAAAAAAGTTCTTGGTAAAAGAGAAATGGAATGGACATATAATTTGAAAACCCTTGCTCCAAAAGGTCTGAATATTGATTTTGATCTTTTTAATTTTTTATCATTTTTAAAAATTTAAAAAAAAAATAAAAAAATAAAAAAAAATTTTTTTTTTCATATCCCATTTCTTTTATTTTTTATTTTTTTATGTATTATTATTTTTTTATGTATAAATTCAATTTTTTAGCATATTTGTATATACTGTTCTCTATAAGATTGTTGTTACACAACTATATGTATATCTAACTGAATATTGTTTTATATGTTTGTCCAATTTAATATTATCACAAATATGTATTTATTTGTTCACAGCTGGTTGTGATCCTGTGGTCCAGCCTGCTGCCTGTCTGTCTGGGTGGACGGCCAGTGGGTGTTGTGCTTTACTGTGAAGGCTATCTGCTTGCTGTTCTCAGCAGATAGCCTTCTTTCTGCTCGGTCAAATTCTCCCCGAGCACTTGGGAGAATCCTCCTCCTCTTCTATGACACATGCGTTCCACACTATCGGAACGCATGCGTTCCACCGCGCATCACGTGACGCGGAAATGTTTAGAGATCGCGCATCACGTGATAGCGCTTAATAGGTTATTTCCAGTGTTTTAAACCTTCGTTTTTTAATTAAAAGTACTGTATCTACCTCACATTTATTATATCTATATATATGTATGAAAAATTACTGTTTCTCTATTTGCACTATTTTTGATGTTCTGATGATGTCATTTTGGCGGGAATTTTAAACCCATAGCCTTATTGCATCTTATATAAACCTTGTATGTCAGGTGTCCCCCCCCCCCTTTTCATTTTATCTACTTGAAGAAGCCCCTGTGGCGAAACGCGTTTAGATATTATTTTATTACGTTATAATAAAGAATTTTTGGCATAAAACACTTTATTGCCATTTTTTCTTTTCTTGTCTTTCACCTGACTACGTATATTGCTAATTTCAGAAGAAGCTTAAAGAATCCATAGGTGGGGATTATACCACCCAAGCGCATATAGTGAGCAGTATATACCTGCTCAAAAGAATGTGAGTAATATTCCTTTTACAAATTTTAATATTTCACCGTAACACAGAGAGCACTATATATTTTATTTTCTTCTTTTGGGTCTGTACTTTGGACGTTGTACGTGTACCAGAGAACCGCCATTTGAAGTCTATTCCATATATCCTTGAGTGGTGATTATTCCACTTCACGTGCTTAACATCAGAGCTGGATCTTCAGCTCTGAAAATTGTGAGTAAGACCTATTCTACTATTTTATTTTCAACGTATTTACATACTGTACCATTGGAGTCCTGTTTCTTCTTCTTTCCACATATGTTCCACTGAATCCTGTACATACCATTATGAAGATTTGACCCTACTCCACATTTTAAAGAACCTTCCTTTGTTTTTACGTGGGATCACTCATTACGGACTTTGATAAGTTTTGGACATTTGTTAATTATATACTTTTATACTATATTTTACACTTTGTTTTATATTTTATTTTAGTTCATATATTTTAGTATTTATTTTGGGCGCATCCTTATTGTACTATTTTGTTCTGTGACCTTCCTATCATTAGGGAATTGTAGGGGATTCCCTTCTGAGGAGTGCAGCCTTCACATATTGTGGCTATTTAAGCGCTGATTTTTTCTGTTTTTTCTGTCAAACTATCAAACATAGTCTTACCCTGGAGCTTGTTCACCTCATCCAGACGAACGATTTCACCAAACAGTGCCCTTCTAAGTTGTACAGAACCAAACGCAGGCGATGGTGGTAGTCCAGCGGTGTTCGGGAGTTTACGTGTCTGATTTTACTTCCAGGAACTTGACGACCAAACATCACTGCCTGCATTCATGCGAACAAGATGGCTGCCACTTCGTGATCGTTCATGCGAACAGTGGTCACCCAAACATACAATTAGAACACTGCACTTAGAATCATTACTAAGTGTTAATAGGGTTTAACAAGCTCCTGGGTGGTCTCTGGTTCGTGTGGCTGTTCGGTTCCCGAACCACACAACCCCAATTTCAGAAACAGAGCCTTTTAAAAGTATATTAGCCAAGGTCTATTGCAGGGGCCATAGTCCTGAGGCAAGAGGCTGGCCAGCAGGCCCCTCCAAGAACCCGTGGCGAGGTTCAGTTCATCACAAACTTCAAACAGTTTAATGTAACTAGGCATCAGAACTCTTACACAATCATTCACTAAAGTGATAATTCAAAGTAAATTCAAAGTGAATTTTAAATTTAAGACCAAATAGCTGAATTGTAAAAATTCTCCAAGTCAGCTATGCTTTTAGTTCAGATACTGTTGCCTTAAATTTGAAATGAATTTTGAATCCACATTGAATTCTCTTTTTAGTAAATAACCCTGTTATTGTTTGGCAGTCAAGGTAGACTTTTTTTTTTTATTTGACCAAAAGACCTGCTCGCTCCAAAGTTCAACACTTCAGGAAATTGCAGAAGATACAATATCAGGCTAATTTACTAATGCATTTTGGCATCTTTAACATGAAAGTGCTGTGTGGTAGTACATCTGGTATTAGCGCTGATGCAGAAATATATCATCCTTTCTTTTTCAGAGACTGGGGATTAAAATTCTTTCAAATGGCATTATAAGGAAGCCAGCTCAATGTCTTCATTCGCCCTTTAAGGCCAGTCAGTTTGGATACGGCAGCTTTGGTAAATATAATGTCTCTGAACAGGTTCCCACAATAGCTAATTTAATTTAAGTGTTTTAACGTTCTCATACTTTGCTTGTTATCTTACTAGGAATGTTTTTTGTCTATTACTTTGTTATTCACATAATGAAGAGAGGAGGAGAGGATTGCTCACATTTTACATAGTAATTACTTAGTAATGTTTGTAGAGAAAAAGATTGAAGTTGATCAAGTTCTGCATTTCATATATCTATGTTTCTGCAGTTGATCCAAAAGGATTGGAGAAAAAAAACGAATTTAAAGAGATTAACAGTTGTACAATGATATGAGAATAAAACACATTGACTCAAAATTGGTAATTCAATATTACTTGGCTGAACAAGCTAACAACCACCCATAATTTAAAATATACTAGCTTTTCACTAAAATAGAATCTGATAAAACCACTTCTTCAGACAGAGAATTCTTGATTTTATTATTTATTGTACTTCCTGTCCAGAACACTTTCTATGCATGACAGCGTAAATTCTACAATTTATCTTTAGGTTGAATTATAGAATTAGCTGGTAATATTTTATCTTTTTTTTGTCTACCCGTCTGTTTGCTCTGAGTGTGTTAGGGAAAAGTTACCATTAGGAGAGAATGAGAGAATAGTATTAGTCATATTTGGCTATTAACACACAGATGTACTGAATTTACTAAAATCTTATACAATGTCTGCACCAATATGTTAGGATCACTATGTACCGAGTTTATATTATTATAGGCTGAACCTGTTTTTTTTTGTCTCATGGATATTTTTTTCAATCCCTTCCGGCTCATACCATCTTAGAAGAGGAACCTCCACGGATGGTAGAGAGACCTAGGGATACGGCTTACGGAAAAGATATGTTTACTGATATAAAACAGACAATTCGGAAAAATTTACAGAAAACATGGATATGGAAATTGGTACCTGTCGGGTAAGTAACATCAGAGTTATTAGTGCTAATTTCACAATGACACTGTATCTACAGAGTAACAAACATCTCTTGTTTACAAAATGAGAACAACCCAGTGTCACATATACATAATTATACCCAGCTCAATTCATATATCTCCCATGACATCCAGTCCACATCACCTAGACACAATGGTACCCAGTCCATCTTATATCTACGCAATAACCCCCAGCTGGCCCAACCAACGATACAAGAAACCCAGAGGCAGACAGAACAAATTGTCAATGCTAGACAAAAGTGTCTGCTCTGCCATTAAGATTACTGTGAAAGAGTATGTTTTAGCAACAATAACACAGTGCTAAAACATGTCTGCCTTACACTGTTCTAGTGTATTAATATAACTTGATCTTGAATGTTAGAATTCCATAATGCTTTGTCATGTTAAATGCATGCAAAGCATCATGGGAACTTTAGTTCTACCCCACCTGGGGATCTTCCTTTTGGGTCCCCCTGATTTAAATCTTGTGCCATAAGATGATATATTTTGTTTCAGTATTATGTCTGTGTCATTTTATTATATAGTTATATCATGTTCTAATGACTCAGACTCGTCTTCTATATGACCTTCAGATCACAAATATTTCATGTATTTAATTCTATGCACAAAATTCCTCTTGTTGATAACCAGAACAAGTACAGAGTAATGTACAGTATAGAGCTTAATATATAGTATATAGCTTAATGTATGGTATACAGCTAAATGTACAGTATATAGCTTAATGTACAGTATATAGCTTAATGTATAGTATAGAGCTTAATGTATAGCATAGAGCTTGATGTATAGTATAGAGCTTAATGCTTAATGTACATTATAGGGCATGATGTATAGTATACAGCTTAATGTACAGTATAGGGCATGATGTATAGTATAGAGCTTAATGTATAGTATAGAGCTTGATGCATAGTATAGAGCTTAATGTATAGTATAGAGCTTGATGTATAGTATAGAGCTTAATGTATAGTATAGCGCTTGATGTATAGTATAGAGCTTAATGTATAGTATAGAGCTTGATGTATAGTATAGAGCTTAATATATAGTATATAGCTTAATGTATGGTATACAGCTAAATGTACAGTATATAGCTTAATGTATAGTATAGAGCTTAATGTATAGCATAGAGCTTGATGTATAGTATAGAGCTTAATGTATAGTATAGAGCTTAATATATAGTATAGAGCTTAATGTATAGTATAGAGCTTAATGTACAGTATAGAGCTTGATGTATAGTATAGAGCTTAATGTATAGTATAGAGCTTAATGTATAGTATAGGGCATGATGTATAGTATAGAGCTTAATGTACAGTATAGCGCTTGATGTATAGTATAGCGCTTGATGTATAGTATAGAGCTTAATGTATAGTATAGAGCTTGATGTATAGTATAGAGCTTAACGTATAGTATAGAGCTTAATGTATAGTATAGGGCATGATGTATAGTATAGAGCTTAATATATAGTATAGAGCTTAATGTACGGTATGCAGCTTAATGTATAGTATAGAGCTTAATGCATAGTATAGAGCTTAATGTACAGTATACAGCTTAATGTACGGTATATAGCTTAATGTATAGTATACAGCTTAATGTACGGTATACAGGTACAGTATTTAGCTTAATATACGGTATATAGCTTAATGTATAGTATACAGTGTAATGTACAGTATACAGCTTAATGAACAGTATACAGCTTAATGTACGGTATACAGCTTAATGTAGAGTATACAACGTAATGTATAGTACAAAGCTTAATGTAGAGTATACAGCGTAATGTACGTTATACATCTTAATGTACTGAATGCAGGTTAATGTACAGTAAAGAGCGTTGTAATGGCACCCCGGATATAAAAGGGGTTAAACGCAGTTTAGAGGATATTCCCCTTCCAGATACACAGGCAGCTACCAAAGACACCAATCTTCCGAACAGGAAACCATGTGAATGCCGTAAACAGCCGAGCCGGAACCATACGAATGCTGTAAACAGCCAAATAGGAAAAACCATACGAATAGGTTTACACTCCTAGCAGTCAAACTGAAACAGCATACAATAAATCCCCCCAAGAACGAGACAAGGCTCCGTTTTGGGGGTCAAGCAGGAACAGACAGAGCTGTGGGTTTATTGTTTTTATATACACATTCTTACACATTAGTACCACCCACAGGCAGGCCCGGACTGACCATCGGGCACACCGGGCAAATGCCCGGTGGGCCGCGGTGGCCATGGGCCGAGGCCGGCAGGGTAGGTCCCAGGATCTCCCCTGCCGGTCTATGCAGGGCCGGCACTATCCGAGCGCCGGCCCCGCTGTAGTCCATGGCGGGCCGGTGGGGAGATCAAAGATCTCCCTCACCGGCCCACATGCTGCATAATGCGGCCGCCGGCGGGGAGAGAGGGAAGGAGACAGCCAGGAGAGAGGACCCGGCGGAGCTCTGACTTAGAGCTCCGCCGGGTTCCTCTCGCGAGATCCGGCGCATTGCCATGACAATAAAATACATAAAAATATATAACTGGGCAGCTCTGGCATAAAACAGGTACATTCAACATATCCCCAGATAGCTTAGATCTGAGCGCACATTATAACTGAATGGCGCTCAGATCACATGCATGCCATGGAGCCATAGTCTTTCACATAGTCTTTCGTTATACGAATGGGCTCAGGCCCAGACTGGCCATCGGGCACACCGGGCAAATGCTCGGTGGGCCGCGATGGCCGTGGGGCCGAGGCCGGCAGGGAGATCACAGGATCTCTCCGGCCGGCCCCTGCAGGACCAGCGCTATCCGAGCGCCGGCCCCGCTGTGTGCCTCCATGGGCCGGTGGGGAGATCACAGATCTCCCTCACCGGCCCACAGGCACTGTTACATGCTGCCGGCTGGGGAGTGAGGGAGGCAGGAGAGAGGAGAAGACCGGCGGAGCTCTAACCAGCAGCTCCGCCCGGTCCTCTCGCGGGATTCTGAGCGTTGCAACGCAGGTTAGAGTTCACTCTCACCACTGGACCACCAGGGAAGCCAGCATGGTCCCCCTCCTCCACACAGAACGGACCTCCCCCCCTCCCAGGCTAAAGGTAAGAAGGGGGGGGGGGGGACATAACTTTTTTTTTATTATTATTAAGAATTATTAATTATAATAATATTATAATTATTAATAAAATAAAAAAATATATATTTAAAATAATTTCCCTAACAGCCCCCCAGACACACACAGCCCCCAGACACACAGCACCCCACAGATACACACACAGCCCCCCCAGACACAGCCCCCCAGGACACACACACAGCCCCCAGACACACACACACAGCACCCCCAGACACACACACAGCACCCAGACACACACCGCACCCCCAGACACACACAGCTCCCCCAGACACACACACAGCTCCCCAGACACACACACACAGCACCCCACAGACACACACACACACACAGAACCCCACAGACACACACAGCACCCAGACACACACACAGCTCCCCCACAGACACACACACACAGCCCCCCAGACACACACAGCCCCCCCACAGACACACACACAGCCCCCCAGACACACAAGGTAACCCCTTTCCACAGACACACACACAAAGTAATCTAGACACACACAGCACCCCACAGACACACACAGCGCACCCCCAGACACACACAGCACCCCCAGATGCACACAACACCCTCAGACAGACAGCACCCTCACTCCCACACATATACAGCACATATATATTATATAAAATAACCCTCAGTGAGTTAACAGACAAATAAACTTAGAAACCCAGAATGTGACGGCAGATAAAAACACCCTCACACACAGCACCCCTCTTACACAAACACGCTGCGCACCTCACACATACAATACGTCCAAATATATTTTATATATATATATATATATATATATATACAAAAATCAAAACTGAGGATGCACTCACAGGACTTGGTTAAAGTGAAAAAAGGGACTTTTAATTATTCCATGTGAAATGTACAGAAAAATCAATTTTCCATTCACATGGAATAATTAAAAGTCCCTTTTTTTCACTTTAACCAAGTCCTGTGAGTGCATCCTCAGTTTTGATTTTTGTATATTTCTGACGTTTGGGATATAGCAACCAGGCTATTAGTTCTTTCTTATTACTTAAAGGAGAGTGCCAAGCATCCTGTTTTTTTGCTATATATATATATATATATATATATATATACACACACACACTACAGCACCCCTCACACTGCACCACTACACACATTACGCTCCAGATACATGCTAGATCCCTTACCCTATATGCACTCTTAATCCTCTACACACATACACACACACACAATCTTCTATACACACTCTGGGTCCTTTACACACTAGATCTCTTACACACACACTGCACCACCTACACACACACTACATTCTTTGTAAGCAAACACATACAACACTCTAAACACACCCTCTCTACACACAGTAGTGTGTGTGTATAAGTGACACACACTACGTCACCTATACACACATACTACTGCCCGTATGCACACACTCGCTACATCCCTATAACACTATGCCCCTATACACGAACTCTGTACAGCCCCTAGCCACACATATTACACCACAAAATTGACCTATTTACACAATACCACACCACACTCTACACACAGGCAATCCCACAAGCATGCGCCAAACACATGCACCATACACTTTCCTGGCCTTTTTGTCCTCTGGTATCCCACTTGTGGAGACACCAGAGACAATTTAAAAGCAAACACAGCGCAAGCATGTTATTACATTTGCTTGCGCTGCGCAGAACAAATACAGGGCCTTTTTCTAATGCTAGAGCTCTTCAGCGGGGCTCTGCGCATTGAACCAACATGCTCACTTTCTCTGGCCCCGCCCCCCTTTTGGGGGGCCGCTCTAATTGAAAAATGCCCGGGCCTAATTTGTTTCCCAGTCCGGCCCTGAATGGGCTCCATGGCATAGCTATCTGGGGTTTCACCGCTCAAACAGGGAAAGCACCGAATGACCCGGCTTTCGTGTCTTTGCAGCGGAAAATCAAGCGTTTCAACATGGGACCATAGTCCAAAGGCAGCAGGCAGGAAACCAGGCTTCTCCAATGCACAGTGGCGAGATTGGTCTTGTCACAAGCGTAATGCATAGTATACAGCTTAATGGTGTCTTTAGTCTGTCCCTGCAGGCTTTTCAATGTAAACACTGCCTAATGAGAGAAAAGATTGTGTTTACATTACTGCCTAGTAACACCTCTAGTGGCAGTTACTCTGAAGTTCAGCATCTCCACACCGTGCATGGACGCGTTGAACGATGCCCATAGAGATGTATTGATTCAGTGCATCTCTATGAGGAAATGCAGATTGGCATTCCTATTGGATGAGATCGTCAAGTCTGATGATCTCCGTCTAGGAGGCGGAGCAGGGGTGGGGCCAACCATGAGGAGACCAGCGCGGCACTGGAATAAAGGTAAGTAAAATCACCTTTTACTTTGCTGACAGGGGAGCCATCCACCTAAACTGTCATATGATTTACATCTCTTCATGCTGTAGTAGAGTAGAGATTTAATTACCGCTTCAACTGTCACAGCCACGCAGTGTGGAGGAGGCCATTGTACCACATTACCCAAATAAAGAAACAAGTCAACAGACAATATTGTCACAAATGTACCTGCATCAGGCACCCGCGCTGCTCTCCTTGTTGGGCCTACGAGCTGAACTCTTCACGGGTCCGTGCTGCCCCGAACATTACACGCGGCCATGCGATTTGAACAGGGAATATTATACTTACCATTTGGCCTGGCGAACATCTCCCTCTAATTGTTCACGCAGGATGAAATCCATTCAGCAGTTTATGTATTCAAAATAATAATTAAATGTGATGTCACACCTGCCCTTAAAGTGACCACATCTTCCAGGCGACCCCATATTCTATCAATTTGGAGTCGCAAAGATGGCGTGGACCACTCAGAAAGTATGTTAGTCTATATAAAGTTAATGTGGGTCCTTGTTCATTGTCCTATCATGGCTTTTGCCTTGATACTTTAATATATGTATTGACCTCGGCTTGTATTTGACTTTCTGATAACAGAAACATGTTAATTCCTTTTTATTTAGATCTTCTGGAGAGGCTGTCCTCAACACACAGATCCCTGATGTCATCACTGAATGGAAGACCAAGATGTTCTGCATGGGCGACAGTGGACTTGGCCTGTCTCCACCAGTCTCCATAAAAACATTCCAGTCAATTTTCCTTGAACCTATTCTCCCAACCTCCATAGTCAGAGGTGAAAGTTTCGTTTTGAGAGCTCTGGCATTTAACTACCTGAATAATATAGCCATGGTATGTACAGGAAACACATAAAACATGCCTTTAACCATCTAACAATCAGCCTGTTTTATTGCATTAGAAAAGATGTGCTATTCTAACACTTGAATTTATTTTATGTATGACAGCACATGCTTTTCATAGGCTTTTTATATGTTACTGATTACTGATACATCTCATTTAAATTACAAAGTAGACTACAACAGTTTTTACGGTAACACACTCTGTGAATTCACGTGAGGCCAGTGGAGTGGATTCTCAGTTGTGCAAATTCCTTGTGACAGTTAGCCAATACCCTCACTCCACCAGCCAATGTCAAACCAATAAAAACTGCTTTTCAGGTGAGCCGTATCTAAGTCAGTAAAGATTTTCATGCAAGGGTAAGAGTGGTCTAGTGTGTCAATTTTTGGCGATGCATTGGAGAGCAATGGGGAGATTGTCAGTTTGACCATGCCCTGCTCGGGACTAGTCTGTAATCTAAGTTGGTCTTGGTGTTGTCTAAAAAAAACTATAATATATAATATTTGTTGGCAGTCTAAAACGTGTTGTATACCTGCACTTTTTCTGCCAAGCAGCAACCTGGTGTCACATCTAATCAAATTCAACAATTAACTAATAATAAATCAGTTATTCTGTATTATTATTATTAGTGTATATAATGTGCCAGCATATTCCACAATGCCGTACAATTGGGGAAAGCAGACAGTGCAGTACATACAACCCTGAACTGAGATCTCGAATTTGCAGTTCATTTAGACCAAGTACTTTGCTAGATAGTTTGTGATATTACTTTTAATGATAACATCGAAAGCAGTGCTATCATTGCTCCCTAAACATGGACAAGTTTAAAAATAATGCCATTACAAAATCTATTCTTACAAGAAAACCATGGTGCCTGATTCTCATACCTATAATTTAATGAATACACCAGATACTATAAATAGGTAATGGCCAAGCTCATCAGAGTAGGGTGACCACTGTTTACTAAGACATTAAACCTTCATAATCTGAGAGGGTATCTTACATGTGTGGTCAAAGAGAGATGAAACAGTCTCACAAAATATTTCATATTCTCAAACCTTTCGGGCTCTCACCCCATTCCTATACTAGAATGGTGGAGGAAAATATCCAAAAAGAAAGAAGCGTTATGGTCAAGTTGAGGCCAATGTCTTATGCAACTCAATCTTTGCTTTTGTGCGACACAACGCTCTTGAAGCATTCATCACATACCTCTCTGCTGAACTCAAAATGTTCTTATCTTGCTTCTCTCTCAAGTTATGGTACAGATTTCCATGCAGTACATGTCACTCTTTTCCTGTGGCACAGAAATATCATTTGCAGGACAGAATGTTCTATCATGTTCCCTGCTTGACCACCATGCACACAACGGTGATTCTGCTGCCCAGTCCCGTCACAGATTTCCTGTTCGTTATTGTTATGCCAGAGAATGTAGTCAATAACACCTGAAGTTTGTGGCACTAAAAGATTCCTTTGGAAATAAAGGTTGGAAGTAATAATTGAAGGGATAGCAGGAAATTTTGCCATGTCTTACGTGACATGTTGTACTATTTAAATTAACTTCTTCATCCACTTTTTTTCATTTCCCCAGATTAAATCAACAGCATTGGCCTCACCTCAGATGGAGATTATTCTGTGTGAAAACTGCAGTTACAGCCAATGCCTGGCGCCTCACGAGACCAAGATGTTTACCTGGAAAGTAAAACCACTACATGTCGGTAATTAAACCCTTCATAACTCCCCTGTTTATACAATACACACATTACCAGTAACTGCTATTTAGCTGCAGGCAACTACACATATTTTTATATACACCAAGATCAGCAGATGGTAATGGGGCAGTAACCTATGTCATCATCTCAGGATGACAAACACACAGTATCGACTGACTGACCCTTTTATTTACCATTCTATATGTTGACTGCCCCTTATATAATCCCCAAGCACTACATTCTAAATATCGAACCCCCAATTACAATACATACGTTACTATATACTGTCTGCCTCATATTGTCACGGCACAGGCTGAGCCCTACAGACAGCGAGCTGTGTCGTGCTGTCCATAAGGGGGCTTCAGTTTCTGCCTGCATTATTCTGCTTCCTGACCCCTTGCCTGGATTAAGCAGTGCCGACCCACCTGCAGCACATTTCCAATTAGGGTCAGCTGCACCTTATTAGCAGGCTGTAAAAGCCAGCCCTGCCTGGTCATTTTTGCCTATTTGGTTACTCCACTGCCAGCCCTGACTTCTGCTTCTCCACTGACCCTGCGTTTGGATTCCCCTTAATCTGTACTGTGCTTTTGGTTTTTGCCTCCTTCCTGTGTCATCTCCTGCGACTGGGCTCCAACTCCTGTTAAATTGTTGCACATATATAACCCACAAACACTGCGTCCTAAATACAGTCTGCCTGTAATATAACCCCAGACACTGCATTCTACAGACTGACTGTAATATAACCCACCAGACACTGCATTCTATAGACTGACTGTAATATAACCCCAGACACTGCATTCTATAGACTGACTGTAATATAACCCCAGACACTGCATTCTACAGACTGACTGTAATATAACCCAACAAACATTGCATTCTATAGACTGACTGTAATATAACCCCAGACACTGCATTCTATAGACTGACTGTAATATAACCCCAGACACTGCATTCTATAGACTGACTGTAATATAACCCACCAGACACTGCATTCTATAGACTGACTGTAATATAACCCCAGACACTGCATTCTATAGACTGACTGTAATATAACCCCAGACACTGCATTCTACAGACTGACTGTAATATAACCCCAGACACTGCATTCTATAGACTGACTGTAATATAACCCCAGACATTGCATTCTATAGACTGACTGTAATATAACCCACCAGACACTGCATTCTATAGACTGACTGTAATATAGCCCCAGACACTGCATTCTATAGACTGACTGACTAATATAACCCCAGACATTGCATTCTATAGACTGACTGTAATATAACCCACCAGACACTGCATTCTACAGACTGACTGTAATATAACCCCAGACACTGCATTCTATAGACTGACTGTAATATAACACCAGACATTGCATTCTATAGACTGACTGTAATATAACACCAGACACTGCATTCTATAGACTGACTGTAATATAACAGGCACTGCATTCTATAGACTGACTGTAATATAACACCAGACACTGCATTCTATAGACTTAACAGGCACTGCATTCTTTAGACTGACTGTAATATAACCCCAGACACTGCATTATATAGACTGACTGTAATATAACAGGCACTGCATTCTATAAACTGACTGTAATGTAACCCACCAGACACTGCATTCTTTATACACTGACTGACTGTAATATAACCCCAGGCACTGCATGCTATATACTGACTGACTGTCATATAACCCCAGACACTGCATTCTTTATACACTGACTGACTGTAATATAACCCCAGGCACTGCATTCTATAAACTGACTGTAATATAACCCACCAGACACTGCATTCTATATACTGACTAATTGTAATAGTTCAGTTTTGCACCGGGGCCCCATGGATTGTGTGTACGCCACTGCCCCAAGCACTGCATTCTATATACTGACTGACTGTAATATAACCCCAGGCACTGCATTCTATATACACTGACTGACTGTAATAGAACCCCAGACACTGCCTTCTATATACTGACTGTAAAATAACCCCAGGCACTGCATTCTATATACAGTGACTGACTGTAATATAACCCCAAGCACTGCATTCTATAGACTGACTGTAATATAACAGGCACTACATTCAATATACTGACTAACTGTAATATAACCCCAGACACTGCCTTCTATATACTGACTGTAATATAATCCACCAGGCACTACATTCTATATACTCACTGACTGTAATATAACCCCAGACACTGCATTCTATATACACTGACTGTAATATAACCCATTAGGCACTGTATTCTATATACTGACTGTAATATAACCCACCAGACACTGCAATCTATATACACTGACTGTAATATAACCCATTAGGCACAGCATTCTATAGACTGACTGTAATATATATGCATTCCATATACTGACTGTAATATAATCCATTAGGCACTGCATTCTATAGACTGACTGTAATATAACACCAGACACTGCATTCTATAGACTTAACAGGCACTGCATTCTTTAGACTGACTGTAATATAACCCCAGACACTGCATTATATAGACTGACTGTAATATAACAGGCACTGCATTCTATAAACTGACTAATGTAACCCACCAGACACTGCATTCTTTATACACTGACTGACTGTAATATAACCCCAGGCACTGCATGCTATATACTGACTGACTGTCATATAACCCCAGACACTGCATTCTTTATACACTGACTGACTGTAATATAACCCCAGGCACTGCATTCTATAAACTGACTGTAATATAACCCACCAGACACTGCATTCTATATACTGACTAATTGTAATAGTTCAGTTTTGCACCGGGGCCCCATGGATTGTGTGTACGCCACTGCCCCAAGCACTGCATTCTATATACTGACTGACTGTAATATAACCCCAGGCACTGCATTCTATATACACTGACTGACTGTAATAGAACCCCAGACACTGCCTTCTATATACTGACTGTAAAATAACCCCAGGCACTGCATTCTATATACAGTGACTGACTGTAATATAACCCCAAGCACTGCATTCTATAGACTGACTGTAATATAACAGGCACTACATTCAATATACTGACTAACTGTAATATAACCCCAGACACTGCCTTCTATATACTGACTGTAATATAATCCACCAGGCACTACATTCTATATACTCACTGACTGTAATATAACCCCAGACACTGCATTCTATATACACTGACTGTAATATAACCCATTAGGCACTGTATTCTATATACTGACTGTAATATAACCCACTAGACACTGCAATCTATATACACTGACTGTAATATAACCCATTAGGCACAGCATTCTATAGACTGACTGTAATATATATGCATTCCATATACTGACTGTAATATAATCCATTAGGCACTGCATTCTATAGACTGACTGTAATATAACCCCAGACACTGCATTCCATATGCTGACTGTAATATAACCCACCAGACACTGCCTTCTATATACTGACTGTAATATAATCCCAGACACTGCATTCTATATACACTGACTGTAATATAACCCATTAGGCACTGCATTCCATATACTGACTGTAATATAATCCCAGACACTGCATTCCATATGCTGACTGTTATATACCCCATTAGGCACTGCATTCCATATACACTGACTGTAATATAATCCCAAATACTGCATTCCATATGCTGACTGTAATATAACCCACCAGACACTGCATTCTATATACTGACTGTAATATAACCCACCAGACACTGCATTCTATATACTGACTGTAATATAACCCACCAGACACTGCATTCTATATACTGACTGTAATATAACCCACCAGACACTGCATTCTATATACTGACTGCCGTTAATATAATACTTTACCACTACATCTGTAACCCCTTTCATCTCCCAAGCATTGTATTGTACAGGGTGAGCAAAAAAGTAGGGTGTTGAGGAGTCAATTACTTTTTTAGAATGAACCAATTTCGACGATGATACATACAATGAATACTTAACGTATGGAGATTGGTTTGACTAGGTACAAAGATGACATCTTTTAAATTCGCTCCATTTGCTCACAAAGTCAGGCTCTTTTGATTGGATTGTTCATAACATTAGTTAATGTTTGAGGCTCTAGCACGGATATTCTCCTTGAGCTGTTCATGTGTATGCGGTTTGTTTATGTACACCCACTCCTTCAGATATCCCCACAGGAAGTTATAAGGGGCTGAAAGGTCGGGTGAACGTGGTGGCCAGTTAATCTGGAAATTCCTTTAAATTATCTGCTCGCAGAGCAGTTGTCTCAGTTTAGAAAATAAAATTCCACTATTTTTAAAAATGTTTCCTTCATAAAATTACACATGATATATAAGTTATAATATGTAACAGCAACAAAAAAAATTTAACCACCAACAAAAGTTATTTACCTGTGAAATCCTACTCTGAATGTTGGTCCACACTGTACAAATAATTGCTTGATACAATCCCCAGGCACAATATTGTATATGATGATTAATCCAAGTTTGATTCCCGATTTATCTCCAAAATATTGGATGCTATGCTGCATATTTACTGGTCATGTTATTTAAAATTTGTTCTACAGATAACTTTTCTCTAAGGTTTGTTGCAGCTTACTCTAAACATAGAAGCCATCTCTACATCAGAGCTTTGTGATGGAAAGACACCAGTGGTGCCAGAGGATGGGGCGTCCGATACATTAATCAAATCTGTGATTGTTAAGGTCAGTGCACATTGTGTCAGATCACCGCCCATGTCCAATATGAGTATCACCCAGCTGACAGTAGCTTCATACAAGCTGTCTACGTTTTAACATCACTCCAACTGGACTAGTGCTGAGTAATGTCAACATTCTGGAAAGGTTCTTTGTTTGGTCCAATCGCAAAGCTTCATTTCCCTCTAGCTTTTCAAATACCTGCTTCTGCCACCCATCTTCATAGTGATGGGATGTTTGGTACAGTCAGGGCAATAGCTTATTTACATAAAAAAATAATTTGAACTATATTGTTAAAATAATAATTGATTCTCTTCATTGACACATGAAGCAGCAGGTAAAAAATGGGTATCCTTTTGGGAAGATATATATTTTTATTTAAAGGGCTCTTTGTTGTTGGTATTTAATTCTAATACTCTACTATAAATAATTTAGTAAAGCATGCTGTTATTGGATATTAAACATGCACGGAATTCATATTGGTAAACCCAGAATTCCTTTTCTAGGTTGGCTAATGACACCCCAATGACACGGCCGGAGGTGGAGTTACACCCCCTTTATACCAAACCCCTACACATACAGACCAGATTTCATGAACAAATTACTAGCGGTCATGGTGCTTGTAGTAAACATATTATTCATGCTGTGTAATAGTACAGAGTCAGTGGAGAGGATTTTAATCTAGCATATTAATGTTTTGTTTTTTTGGAGCAGTTTGTGTGTTGTTATGGTAATAACTAATGATTTAATTAATCCTTTTGTTCTTTTGCCATTTCCAGCCGGAGGGCATGGTAGTGGAAACATCTCAGAATACAATGCTCTGCGCTTCAGGTAACCTATCACAAACACCATCACTGACACATAAAAACAGCCACAAAGTCAATAAGGGGAATGGAAGAGTTTAAGTATATCAAAGGATTAAAACATTGGATTTGTTAATACTACAAAATATGTCTCATTTCCATGTTCCTGTCGTTAATGGAGCCATTAAAAAACCCTAACGGTACTGCAAGTTTCAAAGCATGCGTGGCTCCATTTTACCAAGCTTGCACCGGGGCCCCATGGATTGTGTGTACGCCACTGCCCCAAGCAGCTTGGTAAAATGGTTCATTCTTGTGTTTAATGTCTCAAGCTTACTTTTGAGAACTTCAGCGTGCTGATAAGTATTAACCAGTTTGTGGCTTGGACTTCCTCAAGAAAAATAGAAGCATTCTCCAATTCAGAAAATAAATAACAAAATAAATTGCATTTTGTGACTCTTATAAATCTCTAAGCTAACACTTTTAGCAGCCACTAACTGCCAGTCAATAAACATTATATAATAGCACAGCACCTGGCATTGCACAGAGCTCAGCACCCATACCAACAACCAGTAAAAGAATCAAGCCAGTACCCAGGCAGTACACATGCCAGCTCAGCTAATGATTAAACAGCACGCTTTTCATTGGAAATTAAGTTCCAGAAAAACTTGATAGTTTTAGCTTTGAGACTTAAATACTGTAAGATTGTATATGTAAATTAATAAACCATCTATATAGCAGTCACCGGTATGTTAAGAGAACAAAACTGCAAATGAAATATATATATTTTTCATAATCAAGATACAACGTATAAAAGATAAACATGGCGGCATGTTGAAGATCACAGTTTACAAAGAACAAATCAAAACACAAAGTAACCCATGTCTCCTTTTCCATTCAGGAAACCTGTCAAAGGAAGTGATATCCATTAGTTTACCACCAGAGGTTGTGCCAGACTCTGCAAGAGCCGAGGTTTCTGTAATGGGTGAGGAGCTGAGCAGAGTATAAATGTCATATTAAAAACTTAGGAAAGAACCCACTATGGATGGATCAATCTGTAGCAACCCGATATGGAGTTTATTATTCTGTTTATATGACTATCTTCATCCCCTTCACAGGAGACTTGTTGGCAGTTGCTCTTCAAGGCGCAGAGGATCTCCTCAACCTCCCTTATGGATGTGGAGTGCAGAACATGATGTCCTATGCCATAAATGTGTATGTACTGCAGTATTTAGAAAAAACAGGCCGACTGTCAGAGTCTATCAGAGCCCGAGCGGAGGACTTTATGAGACATGGTGAGTGGAAGCAGGTTAGGCATGGTCAGTAGGTATTGGGCAGGCATGGGTAATTGGGATGGGCAGATATGATGAATGGAAACTGGGTAGGCATGAGATGTGGGGCTGGGTTTGGATCGTCCAAATTGATTCATCCAAAAATACTATTCAGATTTTGTCCTTGTGGCATTTTGGTTCAGACAAATTTTATCCAATTGTTTTTTTGAAAACGATTTAGACAAACCAAAAGGAAATGAAACATTTACATTTTATTGGATGCACCAATAAAGCATGTTCAGCAGGAAATAAGTAAATCATGAACAAAAGTATAGTATGCAAACCAGGAAAACAGCTGAACATATGCAGCAGGTAACCAGTAATGCATACTCAGCAGGTAATCAGCAGATCATTCTCCACAGATAACCCACAGAACATAATTAGCATGTAACCAGCACCAGTGGCGGAACTACCATGGTCGCAAGGGTTGCAGTTGTGATGGGCCCGTCTCTCCAGGGGGCCCAGCCACCCTGCTGACACCTGCAATTGTGAGTCTCTGAAGGTGTGGGTTCTGAGAAGAGCCCTCACACAGGGGGCCCAGGAGGTGGACATCTGGCCACCTTAGAGCACCCCCAAATCTTACTTGGATTGCAGGTGCTTACTTTGCCGATATATACTGCGAGGACATGATGCAGATGGGGGAGGCTGATCTGGTCGTTTCACTCTCCTCCCTTGCATGCCCTCTGTGATGCTGGGAGCCAGAATATGTCATTCCAGCCCCGGCATACTAAACAGTGCGCAGGAGGAGAGAGGAATTGCCATATTACAGCACAGCCCCACACTGGACGCCAGGGAGAGGACCCACACCACCTCTCCAAAAGGCTTGGTGGGCCTCAAAAAAATTAATTGTGTGTGTGTATCTGTCTGTCAGTGTGTGTTTCTGTCTGATATTGTGTGTCTGTCAGTGTGTGTGTGTGTCTGTCCCAAATGTATGTGGGTGGGTGGGACTTGGAGGGACACATGGGGGCTGGGTAAGAAACATTGAGGGACTATGGGGGAAATTGAGGCATGTGGAGGGGCTGGCAGAGGGAGATGAGATGTGTGGAGAGGCTGGCAGGGGGAGGGGAAATTAGACACATGGAGTGACTGGCGGGGAGATGAGACACATGGCGGGGCCCCAGTGCAGTTTTCACACCAGGGCCTGGTGGTTTCTAGTTACTCCTCTGGCCAGCACAATATACTCAACAGGTATTGTTATTCTATTCACAAAAGTAATCAGTAGAACATGCTATGCTGTTTACATAGGCGAGATGCATGCAATAATGCAAGGTTGCAATTCCAACATGGACCCAGTAAACTGAGTCTGAGAGACAAGGAAATTGTGGTAAAACTGATGAATCCGGTTAAAGTTCGGTTGCCTTGCAGTCACATTGTTGGTAAACACATACACCAGATAGTGAGCAGTCTGCAGACATGGAGAACAAATATCATCGTATTTCTATTCATCATAGGTTACCAACAGGAGCTGAAATTTAAACGAATAGATGGTTCATTCAGTGAATTTGGAGATAAAGATAAAGAAGGAAACACATGGTGAGTTTGAATTATTGCTGTAACAATGATTTTTATTCTCATTACCTTGTGTTTTATCCACTAAGTCCCATTTATAGACATCTTTGATCACCTTACATATTTTGTTTTCCTTTCTTCTGACATGCTTGTGTACCTCGTTTCCATTATAGCCAGTGGTTTCATACATTTAATTTTGTTGAGGACCATATAATCTACATATACAGCAACATGCAGTAGAGTACTGTAGCGAAACCGACCTCCTCACTGGGCATTGGAGAAGACTGATTGCCAGCCTCCTGCCATGTGACTATGGCCCCTGGGATGTATTGCCCTTTAAAGACATGATTTGGGCATAATGGATTTATGTGGGGACATACTGTGGAGTTACTGGGTGGCCACCATTTCATGTATCAGAGGCACATGGTGAGAACAATGGATGAAGCACATGGTGAGAACAATGGATGGCGGCCATTTTAACTCCCAGACACTGTTTGGACTTTTCAGCACGATGCCATCTCGCCGGTATTTGGTGCACAGAGACATCGTGCAGTGGTTTTGGACTATACAACAGGGGACACATTATACAGTAATTGTTTTTCATTTAGCCTGCATATGTTCTGTGGAATCTGCATTAAACTGTATCTTCCAAAGTACTGAATGGATCTGGGTGAATTTTGGATATGTGGTTCACCCAGATCCCCCGGTTCCAAGGATATACCTCCACTTTATGGGGTTATTGCATGTTTTGGGGTCCCTGTGATGTGTTTTATAATACTGTATTTCTCTGCCTGTGATAATTAGATTAACCATTGTGTTCAGTAATCATATCACAGGCAGAGGGGAGGATTTTGTGTGGGAGTGTCTGTGTATATTGTACGGATTGATTGGCTGTGTTTCAAAACCCTGTGGGCAGTACTATATTTGTGGATTGTGAATAAAAGAGGCTGTATGTGCCAGTCCAGTCAGTTCCTGCTTAACCCTCAAAATGAAGTGTTGTCTCATTATTGGGGGAGGATTTATTGTATGCTGTTCCAGTTTGACTGCTAGGAGTGTAAACCTATTCGCATGGTTTTTCCTATTTGGCTGTATACAACATTCATATGCTTGAGAGCATTCATATGCTTCTCCGGTTCGGTGGTTGTGGTGTCTGCTGCAGTGCTTGGAGTCCTCAGGAAGCGCTAGGAGCATCCTTCAACGGAGGTACCCAGTCGGGGTGCCAGGTGATCCGTTACATTGGTGGCAAGCAGTGGGATGGCTTCCTAGCCTTGGGAAAACTAGCACTATTACAGAGATGGAAGGCCGTGCAGCATCTCACTTTGACGCCAGGCTCCAGCAGCGACTACAGGATGTGATGCACAGTATGGAGTATCCTATCCCAGAGGAAAGAGAGACAGAGTGGAGGGTGGCGCTTCGTACCGATCTCTGGAAGGAGGACATTGGCGAAATTCGACCCTTCTGGTGCGAGGAAATCCTGACCACTAACCAGCGCCAAGCAGAACAACTAGAGCTGCGGATGCAGTTATTGGGAAACCAGCCCTCAGAGGAATGGGTAAGCGAACTGGAGATGCTAGTTGAGACTGAGGTGTGGCTGGATGATTCCTATCGGGCCCTGCGGTGGCATGCTTACCACCTCTACCCATGGCTGATCGAGTACAAGTGTATTGAGGTGGAAGACTACGATGGCCCTGGTTTGTTGTGGGATATTATTGAAACTAGTCTCTGGTTCGGAGACACTGACATTGCCCGCTTCTGGTCCATCCGAGCTGAGCGGGCAGACAACTGGAACCTTACGGAGATCGATGCCATTCAGCCAGATCTATCTTTTCTTGCCAACCGGGAGTGGGAACTAGAACAGGATTATGTTTGCCTATTCCAACGTGTAACGCCGCCTGTCTCTGACATGATGGGGCTTATTGACTGTATACCACCGGAAGCATTGAGTTTAGTTCCTCCTCCCCAGCAACCAAGCCTGTTATCAGGGGACCTTGGTACTGTACCACATACGTCCCAACCAGCCCCAGAGATGGAAGACCTGATTGACTTGTCCTGGGAAGACACCCAGCTGGCAGGTGGAGATGGGACCGAGGTCTCTCAACAGGCCCTACAGGGATGTTGGGCAGTTGGCCCAGATCCCCAGCGGCAGTATGTATCCCAGGGAGCTAAAGGTGCCGTCCTTCCTCCCCAGCGGCAGTGTGTGTCCTTAGGAGAGGAGACAGTTGGTCCCTCTCCCCAGCAGTCCAGTGAGTTACAGGGAGCCGAAGGTGCCGTCCTTCCTCCCCAGCGGCAGTGTGTGTGTTACAGGGAGCTGAAGGTGTCGTCCTTCCTCCCCAGCGGCAGTGTGTGTCTTTATGAGAGGATACAGTTGGTCCCTCTCCCCAGCAGTCCAGTGAGTCCCAGGGAGCTGAAGGTACTGTCCTTCCTACCCAGCGGCAGTGTGTGTCCTTAGGAGAGGAGACAGTTGGTCCCTCTCCCCCGCAGTCCAGTGAATTACAGGGAGATAAAGGTGCCATCCTTCCTCCCCAGCGGCAGTGTGAGTTCTTGGGAGAGGAGACAGTCGGTCCCTCTCCCCAGCAGTCAAGCGAGTCCCAGGGAGCCGAAGGTGCCGTCCTTCCTCCCCAGCAGCAGTGTGTCCGGCAGGGAGCAGAGACAGTCGGTCTCGCTCCCCAGCAGCGGGACAATATATTGAAAGGGGAGACAGTTGGTCCCCCTCTCCAACAGCAGAGAGAGTGTCAGAGAGAGGAGCTTGTTATCCCCTCTCCCCAGTGGCTGAAAGTATGTATGGGAGAGGAGCTTGTTACCCCCTCTCCCCAGCGGCAGCTTAGCCCACCAAGGGGAGACAGTAAGCTCCACAACAGTGCAGATGGGACCGTGGTCTCTGCACATGCACCACCAGGGGGTAGGGACAGTCGGTCTCCCCCTCCAGCAGCAGGGCTGTTTAGCCAAAGGGGAGACAGTCGGTCTCCCCCTCCAGCAGCAGGGCTGTGTGTCCAAAGGGGAGACAGTCGGTCTCCCCCTCCAGCAGCAGCCCCAGATCCCGAGAGAGGAGCCTACCAACTCTTCTTTTCAGCATGGCTCCAACAGGCTACTCCCGTGGTAGCGCTGGCACCAGGGCAGAGTACCGCGGGTCTCTGCCCACTCAGCAACCCACCAAGGCAGCCTATCAGTACCCCACACAGCCGTGGTGAGGCACCTGGACATGGACGAGCTAATCTTTTACCCAGGTGTAGTAACCATGTATTGTGGGTGGGCTGTATTACTGTTTGTGCTTCGTGGGTGGGTTGCTGGACTAACCAGGGCACTGACCGACAGGAGGTCAGATACCCTGTTAGTCTGTTTGGAAAAGGGGAGAAATGTGGCGGAACCAGCCTCGCCACTTGGCATTGGAGAACACTGATTGCCAGCCTCCTGCCATGTGACTACAGCCCCTGGGATGTATTGCCTGCTCTCCTGTACTGCTGAGGAACTAGGTGGATTTGGCTATGGAGCTTGTGTAGTGCCCTCTGTTGGTAGCAACAGTAATATGCACTACCTGAATAGCAAGACTGGTAATTTGCATATTCGGGTAGATTTGCATATCGCTAATTCTGCATGCAGGAGAGACATTGTGTTAATTATGGTCTTCCCCACCCATTTATAAATATGTATTTATGTTATAATAAGTCACTGTATGTTGCCTACTATGATTTGACTGTTTGTAATTTTATTGAATTTTCACAGCAATGTTAATGTAATGACCATATGGGCTAGTCCGAAGTAAAATAAAGTTTTAGACAATTCTACTTCAGCCTCAATTTGGAGTGCCATCTCTTATTGGGGGAATCTGCTATAATGGATTGCTATGCTTGTCATACTCCCTTGCTAAATCACTACTAAGCTCTTGTAAGGGCTTGTTCCTGCATTGCTCTCTGGAGGAGTCTGTGGTGGTTATGGTGTCGGCTGGAATGTTTGGAGCCCTCAGGAAGTGCTAGGAGCATCCATCAATGGAGGTACCCAGTCGGGGTGCCAGGTGATCCGTTACAAGTACCTTTTTTCAAATGTTTGTCCTGGCTAACTGTAAAGGATGGTATAATGAGAATGCTATACAGATCTCCAATAAGAGCTCCACAGGAGTCCAGAGAAGTATACTCAGTCATATTGTGTAAATCCAACATTGGCTGGAGAGTCAATAAACTTGCCTCATTAGGTCTGTGGAGCAGTGGTTTGAATCACACCACCTCTAGTGGTCCAACCAACCAGTTTAGGCATCAATTTAATATTGCTATCATGTTGATATATAGGTTTTCAAATTATTGAATATTTATTAATAAACATTTATTTATTTTGAAATATTATATCAATAATATTCTTCTTGATCCAAGGAGAAATCTGTCTGCCATTCTGGGGTCAAGAAGGAATGTTTTCCTTGTATGTTACAAAATTGGAAAGCGCTTTAAACTGGTTTTTTTTGGGGGGGGGTGCCTTTTTTTTTTTTTTTGCCTTTTTTGGATCAACAGTAAACAGATTTGAGAAATAATATTCAAAAAAATTTACATAGTGGTTTGGATGATATACTCTAAAACACTCCAGTGTATCTCCTTAACCCACACCAACAACCATTAACAAACCATTAACAAACACTAAAAATATGGGGTGGAGCAAAATGAGCAGTATATGTATACATACATACGTGTTTCAAATAATAAATCTGCAAAATATGATGGAGACAAGATAATAAGGCAAATAAGTCAGTTTAAAATTGTTGTTTCCAAAACGCATTTCACCTTTCCAACTGAGGAAGCCAAAAGGCGGAACGCGTTTTGGAGACAACCATTATCCCTAAGTGGACTTTGCTGTTTTTATCTATAATTTTTGTTTTTATACTGTGTTGGTAATACATTACGGATTATTATATCCATTTGGTCTTACTTCGGGAATATCCAGTTGCACAACTACCAAGCCAAGGATAAAGAAACAGAGAGCTGGATTCCCTTTAAAGATCCACAGGCACTTTTCCATCACAGCCAAGTGAGTTTTTGGCTCCATTCTTGTGTGTGCTACATATCCCCATATCTATAGATCTATTTTAAACTGACATATTTGCACTATTATCTTTTCTCTTTTATCTATTTTGCAGATTTATTATTTTATACACGGATGTATGTATACATATACTGCTCATTTTGCTCCACCCTATCTTGTTAGTGTTTGTTACAGATTTAAGAGAAGCTGTGTAGCAGACTTGTTCCCCTCTCTGTTTGGTTGTCCGTACCCCCCATGTTTGTTTCTCGAACGAAGACACGTTTCCCCCTTTTATACTCTCCAAACACCGACCACCCCCTTGTTAACTTCAAATAATTAATTAGCTCAAGTACTTTCCCTGGGTGGCAGCCATTCGAATAACCGCTCACACGTGCTCTAGGTCAATGGCGGCCATTTGTCTCCCAAAAGCAGGCAGCGGTACATGGTCGGCAAGCGTCTGGAACTCATTTCTGCTAGACGATCCCACGAACCCTGGGAAAACTGTACCACTGCCTGCTCTGCTCACAGTCAGGAGAGTGATGTTCAGGAGAAAGATACTACCAACTGTAGGGAGCATTCGCTCTCTAAGAGCCAGGGGGAGCATTCGTTGGTGTTCGCACAGGAATCCCAAAAGTTGACCGGACGCTGCCTCTTTTTCCCTGGACTGATTTGGGCTACCATCTTGTGGCTGGATGGTCAGAACCCAAATGGCGATTCCATTACACTGAATGAATCTGAGCGCTATTTGGACAACTTGGGCGCTCAGATCCGGGTTATGCAGGGATATAAGACTTGTGGGATTCCTGTGTAGTTTGTAGTTTTGGGGTGTTTTGTATATTTTCTGTATGGTTCCCTGTACCTGAGAGCTAATTGAGTTACCGGTCTTTGACTCAATTATCTCCCAGACACAGGGAGACCTGAGAGGGGTTTGTGTTATTTTGTATGGAAACCTCATGAAATGGGGTCTGTGCGTAAGTAGCCGAGTTTGACACAAACTTTGGTTGTACACCCAGAACTGTGTGTTGTCCAGTTACTGGTGAGGGATAGAGTTATTCACACTTCCGCACCTTGTTCCAATTACCACAGATCCAGCGGAGAAAAGTCCTTGTCAGGATTAGAGCTACGCTACAGGCTGAACTTGATATCTCTTTTCAACATATGTAATAAAGATATAAATATATATATAAAAATCTTAAAATATTTTACAAATAAATACATTATTTAAAAATGTTTTCCAAAAAATATTAAATCGAGGCCTTAGTTTTGTAGACCACAGGGGTGAATTGATACATTGTGAAAACTCTATATAACTGATATATAATGATCCATTGTTTTTTTGGGGGGGTTGTCCATTCATTCCAGGGCATAGTAATATTAACACTAATACAAGCAACACTATTCCAGATTATTTAGTTTCAGCAAGCTCTTTTTTGGTGTCTGCAAGACAATGCTCCCCATGCGTTTTATGCTCTATACTATCATTTGACAGTAGTGCGGAAAAAACTTGACTGGTTGCACTAAACTTTGATATTGAAAGATGTTACTTGTATTATATTGTAATACTCTATATTTCCCACTAACAATCACACACAGATCACCTGTTTTCTCTCATTGCACTAGGCTAAACGCACTTGTGATGAAGACAATGTACGCGTCTTCCCGATACATCTCTGTTGAGCAGAAGCACATTAACGATATAGCCAAATGGCTCAAAGAAAACCAGCTCCCAAGTGGATCCTTCGCTTCCAAGGTAAAGCTTTTCAAGGAGTCTCTAAAAGTAAGTTTCATAATAGTGTAGCATAATAAAATGAAAGGTATAGAGAAGCATGGAAAGTGAATCTCACACACACAAAGCAGTGAGGACAGTGAATGACACACAGAGCAGTGAGGACAGTGAATGACACACACAGAGCAGTGAGGACAGTGAATCACGCAGTGAGAACAGTGAATCACACGCAGACCAGTGAGGACAGTGAATCACACACAGACCAGTGCGGACAGTGAATCACATGCAGACTAGTGTAGACAGTGAATCACACGCAGACCAGTGCGGACAGTGACTCACACGCAGACCAGTGCGGACAGTGAATCACACACAGAGGAGTGAGAACAGTGAATCACACGCAGACCAGTGAGGACAGTGAATCACACGCAGACCAGTGAGGACAGTGAGTCACACGCAGACCAGTGAGGACAGTGAATCACACGCAGACCAGTGCGGACAGTGAATCACACGCAGGCTAGTGCGGACAGTGAATCACACACAGACCAGTGCAGACAGGGAATCACACGCAGACCAGTGCGGACAGTGACTCACATGCAGACCAGTGCAGACAGGGAATCCCACGCAGACCAGTGCGGACAGTGAAACCCACGCAGACCAGTGCGGACAGGGAAACCCACGCAGACCAGTGCGGACAGGGAAACCGACACAGAGCAGTGAGGACAGGGAATCACACACAGAGCAGTGAGGACAGAGAATCACACACAGAGCAGTGAGGTCAGAGAATCACACACAGAGCAGTGAGGACAGGGAATCACACACAGAGCAGTGAGGACAGGGAATCACACGCAGAGCAGTGAGGACAGGGAATCACACACAGAGCAGTGAGGACAGGGAATCACACACAGAGCTGGGACCACACATAAGTTTTGTGTTCCTGTTTTACAGTGACTGTAATTTGTTTCTTTTTTTTTTTATATACTAGCGAGGAATTCATGATGACGTCAGTATTACTGCATTTGTGGTTGCTTCTCTACTTGAGTCTGATTGGCCCAGAGAGGTAGACTTCCTTATTTCTGCTTTATGTCCGCTTTGACAGCTCTCCGCTGTCCGAATAATGTATCTATGTGCATGATTTCCTTTGTTCTCATCAATTCTTCCTTTTGGAGACTATCCAGATTACTGTTTTATTTTCCTACGGTTTATCTGCTATCACTTGGCCTGCCCTTGTTTGTCTTATTTGTCTTCATTGCTACATAACATAATAATACTCTTGTTGTAATGATCAGCCCTTCAGCTAGCCCTTCTCTGACAGTCGCAACGTCCTCTCTCTCTCAGGATGAAATGTTGAAGAATTCAATGCGATTCCTGAAGGCATCACTACCACAGGTGGAACAGCTGCACACCAAGGCTCTCCTTTCCTACCTCTTCACTATGTCTGGAGATACAGAGCTAAGAGAGGGGCTCCTGGAGGAACTGTATGAGAAAGCTGTTACTAGAGGTAAACAGTTAAAATTAATATTACTGAGTACATTAAGAACAATCAACCTCTAATGCACTTCTCCCGGTAAAGTCATGTGTCTAACCCGAGCCAGGTTAAGATTACCCAGGGTCCAGAACATAGCCCAGTCTCATTGTTGAGCTCTGGGCTATGTTCTGTAAATAGAGGCAGTATTGTTAATGTGATGGCTGAGCATTGTGTATGGAGGTGCCTGAGAGCTGTATGTAGAGGGTGGGCTGAGTGTGCCTGTGTGTGTTGTGGGGAGGAGGGGGAGTGTGTGGGGAATTGTGTGTATACCCCAGGGGTCAAGTCCTGGGGAAAAAAGTGTGGGAACTCACCCAAGATTCTACCTTTAAAATTACACTCCTATGCATATAGTGCAGTGTAGGGTGTGTATAATGAATGTAGTGTGTTTGTAGTGAATGCAGAGTGTGTATAATGAATGCAGTGTGTTTGTAGTGAATGCAGTGTGTATAGTGAATGTAGTGTTTTTGTAGTGAGTGCAGTATGTATAATAAATGTAGTGTGTTTGTAGTGAATGCAGTGTGTATAGTGAATGTAGTGTTTTTGTAGTGAGTGCAGAGTGTGTATAATGAATGCAGAGTGTGTATAGTGAATGTAGTGTGTTTGTAGTGAGTGCAGAGTGTGTATAATGAATGTAGTGTGTTTGTAGTGAGTGCAGTGTGTAATATAAATGTAGTGTGTTTGTAGTGAATGCAGTGTGTATAATGAATGCAGAGTGTGTATAGTGAATGTAGTGTGTTTGTAGTGAGTGCAGAGTGTGTATAATGAATGTAGTGTGTTTGTAGTAAGTGCAAATTGTGTATAATGAATTTAGTGTGTTTGTAGTGAATGCAGAGTGTGCATAGTGAATGTAGTGTGTTGTGAGTGCAGAATGTGCATAATAAATGCAGAGTGTGTATAGTGAATGCAGAGGGTGTATAATGAATGTAGTGTGTTTGTAGTGAATGCAGAGTGTGTATAATGAATGCAGTGTGTTTGTAGTGAATGCAGTGTGTATAGTGAATGTAGTGTTTTTGTAGTGAGTGCAGTATGTATAAATGTAGTGTGTTTGTAGTGAATGTGCAGAGTGTGTATAATGAATGCAGTGTGTTTGAATGTAGTGAGTGCAGAGTGTGTATAATGAATGTAGTGTGTTTGTAGTAAGTGCAGTGTGTAATATAAATGTAGTGTGTTTGTAGTGAATGCAGTGTGTATAGTGAATGTAGTGTTTTTGTAGTGAGTGCAGAGTGTGTATAATGAATGCAGAGTGTGTATAGTGAATGTAGTGTGTTTGTAGTGAGTGCAGAGTGTGTATAATGAATGTAGTGTGTTTGTAGTAAGTGCAAATTGTGTATAATGAATTTAGTGTGTTTGTAGTGAATGCAGAGTGTGCATAGTGAATGTAGTGTGTTGTGAGTGCAGAATGTGCATAATAAATGCAGAGTGTGTATAGTGAATGCAGAGGGTGTATAGTGAATGTAGTGTGTTTGTAGTGAGTGAAGAGTGTGTATAATGAATGCAGTGTGTGCGTGTGCTGGATGATGTGTGTGTGCGCGCTGGGTGACGTGTGTGTGAGTGCTGGATGATGTGTGTGTGTGCTGGATGATGTGTGTGTGTGCTGGATGATGTGTGTGAGTGCTGGATGATGTGTGTGTGTGTGAGTGCTGGATGATGTGTGTGAGTGAGTGCTGGATGATGGGTGTGTGAGTGCTGGATGATGTGTGTGTGAGTGCTGGATGATGGGTGTGTGTGTGCTGGATGATGGGTGTGTGTGTGCTGGATGATGGGTGTGTGAGTGCTGGATGATGGGTGTGTGTGTGCTGGATGATGGGTGTGTGAGTGCTGGATGATGGGTGTGTGTGTGCTGGATGATGGGTGTGTGTGTGCTGGATGATGGGTGTGTGTGTGCTGGATGATGGGTGTGTGAGTGATGGATGATGGGTGTGTGAGTGTTGGATGATGGGTGTGTGAGTGCTGGATGATGGGTGTGTAAGTGCTGGATGATGGGTGTGTAAGTGCTGGATGATGGGTGTGGGGGGGAGCATTTTTTTTAACTTTATGTGTCTATATTTTTTTATTTTATTCCTCCCTCCCTGCTTCTTACCTTGTCAGGGAGGGGGGAGATCGCCTGGTGGTCCGGTGGTATGCTGGAGGGAGCCAGCCGCTGCACAGAGAGGCCATCACACGCTGTGTTCCCTCTCCAGCTCTAACTCTCGCGAGACTCGCCTGTGCGGAGCGTTGCCATGGTAACAGCCGCGGGTCTCGCGAGAGTTATAGCTGGAGAGGGAACACAGCGTGTGATGGCCCCTCAGTGCAGGGACCAGGGCCGGTCCTGCAGGACAGGTAACGGGAATGGCGTTCCTGCTGTGGAAAAAGTGCGGGAACGCCGTTCCCATGCGTTCCTGCAGGACTCGAGCCCTGGTATACCCCCTGTTCCAAATTATTATGCAAATGATATTTTTCTCATTTACCTAAATAATTTATGTAAATAACAGTCAGCATAATTCTCATGTTACCAACTATTAAGAGTACAATTCAAATTTTATTGAACCAACCTCCTAATGATAACAGTATTTTTTTTAAACATAAAAATCTTACAATGCACTGTTCCAAATTATTATGCACAATAAGTTTCAAAACACTTTATAGGTTGTAAAGAACTGAAAATTGGCATTTGTTGTGTTTGCAGCATATTTACTGAAATCAAAAGCTATTTCAATCAAAAAAATTTTAACTTTTTAAACATTTTAACACGTCACGTTACATTTTAACATAGGACCCCCTATTTGATAGCAGCTTCACAAATATTGCATCCATTGAACTTGTGAGTTTTTGGACAGTTTCTGCTTGAATTTGTTTGCAAGATGTCAGAATAGCCTCCCAGAGCTGCTGTTTGGATGTAAACTGCCTCCCACCCTCATAGATCTTTTGTTTGAGGATGCTCCAAGGGTTCTCAATAGGATTGAGGTCAGGGGAGGATGGAGGCCTCCTTTTATCCCCATAGCAGCCATTGATGCAGAGGTATTCTTTGCAGCATGAGATGGTGCATTGTCATGCATGAAGATGATTTTATTCCGGAAAGGATAGTTCTTCCTTCTGTACCAGGTCATCTTTACACCTTCGGGGAACGTAAAGGGGCCGACCAGCTCTCTTCCCATGATTCCGGCCCAAAACATGACTCCACCATTGCCTTGCTGACGTCGCAGCCTTGTTGGAACAGGGTGGCTGTCCACCAACCATCCACTTCTCCATCCATCTGATCCATCCAGGGTTGCACGGCACTCATCAGTGAACAGGACTGTTTGAAAATTAGTCTTCATGTATTTTTCTGCACAATGCATCCTTTTCTGCTTGTGAGCATTGGTTAGTGGTGGCCGAATAGAAGGCTTATGCACAGTTGCAAGACTCTGGAGGACTCTACACCTTGATGTCCGTGGGACTCCAGAGGCACCAGCAGCTTCAAATATCTGTTTGCTGCAATGTAATGGTATTTTAGCAGCTGCTCTCTTGATCCGATGCATGGATCTGGCAGAAATCTTCCTCAATGTGCCTTTATCTGCACGAACCCGTCTCTGAATCTCAATCAGCCACAAATCTCTTAATAGTCATGCTTACGTTTTCGTGAAATATCTGTTTTCATAACTCGTCCAAAGTATTGAACTATTTCACTCTTTTCGGCAGCAGAGAGATCCTTTTTCTTACCCATATTGCATGAAAATGGTGCTCTGCTTAATAATGTGGAACACCCTCCTTTAGTAATTTTTCCTTAAATTGGGCTCACCTGGCAATCTAATTATCACAGGTGTCCGAGATTGTTTTCAGTGATCAAAAGAGCCCTGAGACACAATGCCATCTATGAGTTAAACTGAAAAACAAAATATTTAATCTTTGTGACACTTAAATAGAATTTGCATAATAGGAACAGGGTGTATATATGGAAAGGCTGAGTCTGTGGGCGGAGCCTTAGTTGTGGGAGTGGATATTGCTATAAATACACAGGTCGCCCCTCCCTCTGGGCTGAGACTGTCTGGGTCAGTACAGAACCATCTACTTCCAGTTCAAAGGTCATCAACACAAACTGCCTCCAGGCAAGCTGGTCTTGGCCTAGTGCAGTCCATGCAAGTATTCATTTTACCTCACTAGTAAACAACAGCCTCCTACCTCATGGAGCACCGCCGTGTCCGGCCCAGGCAGGTATTCATTTTACCACACGCTAGTAAACCACAGCCTCCTCCCTCCTCCCTCATGGGGCATCGCCGTGTCCGTCCCAGGCAAGTATTATTTTACCTCACTCTAGTAAACAGCCTCCTCCCTCATGGAGCACCGCCGTGTCCGGCCCAGGCAGGTATTCATTTTACCACACTCTAGTAAACCACAGCCTCCTCCCTCCTCCCTCATGGGGCACCACCGTGTCCGGCCCAGGCAATTATTCATTTTACCACACTCTAGTAAACCACAGCCTCTTCCCTCCTTCCTCATGGGGCACCGCCGTGTCTGGCCCAGGTAAGTATTCATTTTACCACACTCTAGTAAACCACAGCCTCCTCCCTCATGGGCACCGCCGTGTCTGGCCCAGGCAAGTATTAATTTTCCCACACTCTAGTAAACCACAGCCTCCTCCCTCCTCCCTCATGGGGCACAGCCGTGTCCGGCCCACGCAAATATTCATTTTACCTTACTAGTAAACAGCCTCCTCCCTCATGAGGCACCGCCGTATTCTGCCCAGGCAGGTATTCATTTTATCTCACTCTAGTAAACAACCTCCTCCCTCATGGGGCACCACCGTGTCCAGCCCAGGCAAGTATTCATTTTACCACACTCTAGTAAACAGCCTCCACCTTAGAAGCTCATGGGGCACTGCTGTGTCTGGCCCAGCCGTGGCTGTCACTACTCACACATTTTTATTTTTATTTATTTTTTTCTCTACAAACTTTGTTGTTCATTTTGGATATGGCGAATTTCACTACTAATGCAATTTCAGCCTATTTCAATGGTACGTAGCATTACAGCGATGCCTCAGTTAGGTTCATGCTTTTACTTATTTATGTGGCAAGGTGTTGCAACAGTCCAAACTTGGGCCTGTACATGTTGTTGAGGAAAAATAAATATAATCTTTTTATATGCATTCTCTGTATACTAAAAAATTTAAAAAGTCCTTATCCTGTTTCAAGGGGAATATCTTCTAAATGTCTAAAAAATCTTATTACTAGACAAACTCAAACTCTTAAAATTTATCATATGCATTTCAGTTGCCACCCTGTTTTTAGTTTATTTGTTGCAACTGACTGCCTAAATGTATGTCAGGCCCAAACTCGGGCCTATACATGTGGTTAAACAAAAAACCAACAATGTGTGAGCGCTATAGAATATAAAACGTTCAGTATGGCGGCACTCGACCACAGTGATACAAAAGTGTACACAGAGTATAGACAAATGTTTACCAAAAAGATTGCGCTAAACTGATGGAAAAGATCTGCAAATATAAAAAACACATAGAATAGTGCAGACTATCTGGACCAGACAATATATGTGAATGGAGGGTGTGGAAGGAAAATTCACATTTACCAGAGCCCTATCACCCCTGGCTCTGGGTTTGCAATGCTCCACTTAAGAGGGAAGACTCCCACACTGTATCAACTCCAAGTAGTGTGCACACTGGAAGCTGGTAGTACTTTGCAATATAGGACAAAGAGAGGCAGTGTAGCGGAGAGCTGGTATTTCACAGGTTATCTCCACTAAAGATCCCAGTGAGGCTCAGGAACAAGTAATACAATCCCATATAGCAATAGTCACCACGAATATCCCAATATAGATCCCAATGACTGGACGACACACAGCATCAGGAGCAGAACTAAACTTTTAATCACACAACCTCCTTTTAAAGGTTTCTCCCATGCAAGGGAGGGATTCACATTAATTTGTACACTAGCCAATAGTGTAATGGTTACCTCCCACACATCTCCTACCCTCAGTGTGACACATAATCCACTTATACATATTGCTGTTTTACCCGATTTCTGGATGTACCCCCAAAACAGGGGTACCCCCTGGTAGCCCTGATCTGGGTGACCAACATATTCAAAATTCACCCAAATCGGACCAGGGGTTCGGGAGTTAGGTAGAAGAGGCAATTTGACCGACCGCACACGAGTTAGTATCCGAAAAAGGCTCTATGTGTTTTGGCCTTGCGGTCGGTCTTTGTTCGGGAGATAAAACATATAAAATTACTTGCCATCCAACGTTAAATCGGTATTCGTATGAATTCCCTTATTTGGTACAATTAGTTCACCGAACGAAGGGCTGGTTGGCCCATCCGTTTGGGAGTTATGGAGCTCTGGAGGTCTCAGCGGTGTTCGGGTGATTGAGTGTCCGATTTGAGTTCCAGACACTCGACGACCAAACACCACTGAGATTTTCTTGCGTAAAATGGCTGCCGCCACACGGTTCGTATGCCGAATGGCGACGACACAGATATGTATACAAAGTACCGATTGCATGGTCAATTAGCTTGCGGTTACAGAGTGTGAAAGCCTAACGAGGTGCACACTTCTCTCTGGGGTGGTCTGATGGTTCGGTAGTTTTAATTCGTATGGAACATGGACTAAAAACTACCGAACAATTGTAGAGGTGAATACAGTCTTTTGTAGTGGGGGATTCTTCAGAGTGGTGTAGATGCGTCTTTGTACATCATATGAAATGAGAAAATAACAACTGATGGAATAGTATGTCCTGAAGGGAGTAGAAGCAATAAAAGAATATATGGTCCTACTCACGTTTTCAAGAGCTATGGACTTAGCTGTAGTGTTGATAACGTACAGTGTTATAATCCCCACTTATGGGATACGTGAGGTCTTAGTATTCTTTCTTGATTAGGGAACCATATGTGGAAATAAAAGCGGGAACAACAATGGTGCTCAAAGTATAAAATGCCAGAGGTGAGAAGATAAAAAACCAAGTGGTTACTCACATTTAGTTGAACAGACTAACTGTTCAATGAATACAGCTTGAGTGGTATAATCCCCACCTAGGATTCTTGGGAGTAATATCCTCACTGGAAAGTAAAAACACTTCTGGTGCCGGATAAAAGGATGGTAGTAGTAAAAAAGTAAAATGATAATAGTAATAAAAAGTAAGATGGCTAACTCACAGTAAGAAAGTGGCCAAAATAACTTTATTTAAAACAACATAGTTTAAAAAACCACAACGCGTTTCGCCCTTAGGCTTTATCAAGTGGAGATCAGAAAGTACATCCTGTTACATACAGGTTTATATAGGCAGTGAACATATTAGAAAATGGCGCCAAAATGATGTCATAATTTTATTTTTTTCTTCAAAAGTGCTAAATGTTATATGTGTAAGTGAGTACATACCTATATGTGAAACATGTGATAGTTTAAAATTAAAAACAAGGTTTTATACTCACAATACCTTACATATTATATTTAGATAGAACAGTCACATGATCGGTTGCCATTTTTTTTATTTATTTTTTTCAAAAGTGCTAAACTTTATATGTATCAGTGAATACATACCTATATTAGAAACATGTGATAGTCTAAAATTTAAATTAAAAACAAGGTTTTATACTCACAATACCTTGCATATTATTTAGATAGAACAGTCACGTATATAAGTCACATTATATAAATATGTACTTCATGCACAAAATAATTATAGAAGATAATAAAATATGAGAAATATATTATAAAAAATTAATTATAAAAAATTATAAAAAAATATTAAAAAATTAAGAACTCTACATTAAGACCTTCGGGGGTAAGGGTTTTTAAAAGGAAGACCGAGTGCATTTCTTTTTGTCCCAGTAATTTTTTGAGGTCACCTCCCCTCCAGGGTAATTTACATCTTTGGATCCCAGTACATTTTAAAAATTTAGGGGCTTTGTTGTGTTTAATAAAATGCTTTGAAACAGAGTGATTAAGGTAGCCTTTGATAATATTTCTACAATGTTCTGCTAACCTTATTTTTAAGCATCATGTGGTCATACCCACATACTGGAGGCCACATGGGCACTCCAATAGGTATACAGCATTCTTAGTAGTGCAACATTTTAAATCTTTGATAGGGTATGTAATACCTGTTTTGTTTGAGGTGAATTGTGGTTTTTTTGATGTGCTGTTGTGGTCAGTGGATCTGCAGACAATGCATCTGTTGCATTTGAAAAAACCTTTAGAATTTGATAAAAATGATGGATTGCTTGTATTGGCTTTTTTTGTATAATTTTTAGTAAGCATTGTCTTTAGGTTTGGGGCCCCTCTAAAAATGATATGGGGTTTATCTGGGATGAGTGTCTTTAAAATTTCGTCTTGTTTTAAAATGTGCCAATGTTTTTGAATAGTTTTTTCACAATTTTATTCTTATTGTCAAAGTTAAAGATGATCAGCATGGATGGTGGGTCTTTATTTTTATTCGTATTATATTCTAAGAGCTTGAGTCTTTCTTTTTGTTTCACTGCTTTGAGGGATTCTTCAAGCTTTTCTTTTGGGTAATTTTTACTGATAAATTAAGCTTCTAGTGTTCTAGCTTGTTCGTCGAAATCTGTATTAAGGGAACAGTTCCTGCGAAGACATAGGAACTGACCTTTAGGGACCCCATCTAACCATGGTTGGTAGTGGCAGCTTGATCTGTCAATGACTGTGTTGGTGCACACTTTTTTAAAAAAAAGTTCTAGTGTTAATATTCCCATCCTGGATAAAAATTTGGATGTCTAAAAAATTTATTAAATCTTTGCTGTGTTCTGATGTTAAAATGATGCCACTATTGTTGTTGTTTAGATGGTTTAAAAAAAGTTTAAGTGAGGTTTCAGGACCTTTCCAGATAAAAAACAAGTCGTCTATGTATCTAAAATAGGATACTAGGTTTGCTTTCCAGGGGTGATCTCCCCAGATTGCTTTAGACTCCCAATTGTCCATAAAAAGATTGGCATAACTTGGTGCAAACCTATTACCCATAGCTGTGCCTTGTCTTTGAATGTAAAAAGTGTCTAAAAACCAAAAATAGTTATTTGTTAAAATAATTTTTATCCCTTCTAAGATAAAATGAATTTATTTTTCTGGAATTTTATTATCCGTTTTTAATCTATTTAAAACTGCTTCACACCCTAATTCGTGGGGGATTATGGTGTACAAAGACTGGACATCACAAGTGACTAGAATAAAATCTGGATGCCTGGTAAAATTTTCTAAAAAACGTAAGAGAGACATGGAATCTTTTAAGTATGACCTCATAAGTCTGACTGATGGTTGTAATAAAATGTCAATATACTCTGATAAGTTTGATAAAACAGAATTGGAGACCATAGGTCTACCTGGTGGATTGATCTCATTCTTGTGTATTTTTGGTAAAAAGTATATAACTGGAATTTTTGGATGAGGTATATTTAAATAAGCAAATTCTTTTTTGTTGAGGATATTGGAATTTAAGCCTTTTGTTAAAAATGATATAAGGGAGTTTTGGATGGTATGGGTTGGGTCTGATAGTAGCTTGTCATATACTTTGGGGTCATTAAGCTGTCTACATGCTTCTTTGATGTACATTTCTTGTTAGAGTATAACTAGGCCGCCCCCTTTATCGGCTGGTATGATGACTATTGTGTCATCTTTTTTAAGATCTGTGAGAGCTTTTCTTTCTTGAAAGGTTAAGTTATATTGGTTATATTTATGATATTTGTGGTTGGTTTTTCTGGAGGTATTAATTTTTTCTAAGTCTTGCTTTACCAAATTCTCAAAAACTTCTATCGGGCCAGATTTGAAACTTGATGGGTAAAAATTAGAGTTATTCTTAAGGGTGGTGTTTTTCACTGGTATCTCGTCATTAATAAATGGAGGTGTGGGGGAATAGTTGGTCTGTCCCTGGTTAATAGATTGATTCTCAATTCTGCTGGTAAAAAATATTTTTAGTGTAGCTTTCCTAACAAACTTATTTAAATCTAAAAAGGCTTGAGGACAGCCCAATGCCATCCGCTACAGGCAGGACCTCTAATTGAATAGTATCTCAAACAATTTATTATAACACAAAGGTTAAAAACTCTTACTTAGCGAGTTGTGGGTTATGCTGACATAGCTACCCACATAGGAGCATAAATACAGCAAGCAAAAATTTTGTAGAGTCACTTCTGGGTTTCGTCCGTCCCGATCATGTGATTACTTCCAGGTCCGCCTCTCCAGTGACGTATGTGTGACGCCTTTTGCCCGCATACCCAGGCTTCCTCTGACAATGTCATGGTCATCCAGCCCCTTCTGTTCTTTCATTGGTCGGAGGGCATGGTTTCCTCGTGGGGTACTCACTTGATTCCTTCTTTATGGGAGTGTAAATTAGGAGCTAATGTCCAACCTACTATTGCACATAAATGCTTAATCTAGCAAAAAAACATTCAGTTAGGGGCTAATGTAAAACCTACTATTGCACATAAGTACTTGAGCTAACAAATAGGAACATATATTTGTTCCCTTCCATACTGAAACCCTATCAAAATAGGCATATTAAGGGGCTGTGTTCCAAAATTCAAGATAAATTCACATTTGGTATTTTTATACAGACATACATTTCAGGTTCTTATAACTCCAGGTCTATATAGTGGATGAGAGGTAATGATCGCCATCTAGAGCTCCACAAATCAAAATGATGAATTAAGTATAAAAATCAATCATTTAAAAAAACAAATAAGAATACATGTAATAAAAAATATTGCTCTACTACCACTACTTACAATGTGCGGTCATATGCCCCACAGTGGGCTACATGCCATGTCCTAATTCGAAACCTCATTTGGGCATTTCATTTGCATTACATCGATCTTACAGGGGTTGCATACTACCCCACTACATGTTACTGGCAACATATCTATCCTGAAGAACCTCATTTGGCCAATCTCATGGGGTAGTTGTAATCCCTCCATTATGTACACTATATTTACCTCACATTAAGCACTTTGGTTCACCTATATCTATTTAGACAAGTTTATTCTATCATATATCCTTCATATTGAAACTGCTTACAGATAGCAAGGTTGTGAGTAAATGCTCTCTTGGTCTTGTTTCAGGTCCAATGCCTTCAGACGCGGCTGTGCTGGGCCTTCATTTCATTCCCATCATATGACTGATATGCATAAGTACCTTTCGCTGCATGGGGGTTATATGTATATACCACTCTTTCTTACAAAATTTAATTGCACCACTTATACTCACTAGGCCTAAATAGCCCTAACTCTGCCTGCAAAACTCCATGGTACGTTAATCCCTTATTCTATACATTGTATCTTTACTTCACATACTGTCACTTTGTTCTTGCACAGTATTAGCAATTTTATGTCTCAAGTCAACTACATTGAGACACCATAGAATCTATTGTGTTGGTTGTATACTTGCCATCCTTTGCCATGGGCCTTATAGTCGGCCTCCACTGCATGCCATGTCATCATCCTTCTAGCCTAACTAATAATTCTACCTTTACAAATGGACCGGACCAAAAACTAGGTATTCACTATTGGCCATTTCACAACACCCGCACCTTGGCATGCTTATACTGCTTTTGTTCATTCCATACATCCGTACCCCTCATGCAGCCCTATTTCTCCATCCAGCAGCTCAGGACTAACATTGAGCACTCTGCCTTCCACTACAACACCTCTACACATGGCCCTCACTAAGCATTCACTCGATATGTTTACACATGGCCCTCTACGGGCACTATGGCAATTTCGGCCCCTCATTTGGGCAATTACATACATAAATTTTAGCCCCTCATTTGGGTAATTACATACATCAATTTCCTAATATACGAGGGTCAAAGAAATACAACCTTTCATACTACATTCCAATATTACACTTGGCCTCGTTAGGCCCACACAAGTCTTTTCCCTCTCTTGGCACACATCCGAGAACCTGATACCTATCACAATGCATTTAACATATCCAGGCTTCTTCGGTCTGTCACTATTTTAACTGTTTAGTACCTCCACCTTAAGGCACTTGCTAGTTCTGGTATTTCACTTCCTGCAGTACGCTATGGGATTTGATGTGATGGCTGTGGGGTTTTCAGGGTGTTCTTTCGCATACACACATCAGGTCCTTCTAGTGGAAGGATGTGCAGAGGGAACTCATGCCTAAATTCGGTACAATCAGGTATCTGGTACCAGCTTTTGATGAAAACTGTTCATTTTCAGTTACTCCACATATCTGCACTGTTATGTTTTATATTAGGCCTTTTTGTCACTATGCCACTTGCGGCTAGTTATCCTCAACTTGATAATTTGGGAACCGTACCCTCACCTCCTGACATACTTCACAGGGGTCTTGTTGTTCAATTATTCTGGTCACCTCCTTAATGACCTATATCATTATATAATGTCTTACCAGGTATACTTTATGGCAACCATTGCATATCTGGGGGCATAGTCAACTAAGTCATTTATCACACTGTTCAATTTCCTTTGGATAGTTTGGTAACAGATATTAGTATTTTGGGTTCTGGGCTCCTTGCACTTACTTTACCTACCTTACCGGCAATCTGTTGCATTTTCACTGGTGTTGGTGTCGTAGTTCTGAATTATGAACACTAAGTTCTTGGGTCTCTCTCTCTCTGGTTGGATTTTGGTTTTGAATCTTGGCAAACCTTTTTTCTTTTCCCCTTTACTTTCTATTCACCTGTTCTGACCATCAACTTCTAGCATAGCTTTCATTTATCTGCCAGGTGTAAATCTTATCATGCCACATTTATTATTTTCAATTTACGTTTTTTTAAGTCACGACGTAAGTGACTTGCTTTACGATACTACCTCCCTTCTTACAACCACCACTTGCTCTGCAAAACTTGTCTTTAGCTTGGTCTGGCTGTTAGGGTACCCTAAGTGGCCATAAGTAGTTTTTGGCTTCTTGTGCTTTGCACTCTGGGCTCCATGCTATTATGCTGAGTGCAGCAAGCCAAGGGCTTCAATATCCAGATAGTTCAAACATACATAGGCTAGCACTCAGTCATTCAAAGATAAAAATTTCCTTACTTTTTTAAAAAAATGATTAAAACGTGGATCGATGTTTCAGTCCCAGTTCGGGGCTTTTCTGAGGATCAAAGACCCAAATTCTTCGATTAAAACCTTTATAAAGACGGTTAAAACAGACATGGAAAAAGCGATAAAAAAATCCTCCCAAACACCATCATAATTAGACACGGGGAGAAAAGCTGGCCCTACAAGATCTAATGCAAGATTCAAACACTATTATCCGGCCTGCGGATAAGGGAGGAGCCACTGTCATCCTATCGTACCACAAATATCAAAAAGATTTGTCGCCAATTAAATGACACCAATAAGCCAAATGGCATATGATTTAGGTGAAATGGCAAATGATTTAAGCCAAATGGCAAATTATATAAACTGGAAAAATGATCAGAGTTGTGGCAATTGACATTTAATGTGGATAAGTGCAAGATAATGCATCTTGGACGTAAAAACCCAAGGGCAGAGTACAGAATATTTGATAGAGTCCTAACTTCAACATCTGAGGAAAGGGATTTCAGGGTGATTATTTCTGATGACTTAAAGGTAGGCAGGCAATGTAATAGAGAAGCAGGAAATGCTAGCAGAATGCTTGGTTGTATAGGGAGAGGTATTAGCAGTAGAAAGAGGGAAGTGCTCATGCCATTGTACAGAACACTGGTGAGACCTCACTTGGAGTACTGTACGCAGTACTGGAGACCGTATCTTCAGAAGGATATTGATACTTTAGAGAGCGTTCAGAGAAGGACTACTAAACTGGTTCATGGATTGCAGGATAAAACGTACCAGGAAAGGTTAAAGGATCTTAACATGTATAGCTTGGAGGAAAGACGACACAGGGGGATATGATAGAAACATTTAAATACATAAAGGGAATCAACACAGTAAAGGAGGAGACCATATCTAAAAGAAGAAAAACTACCACAACAAGAGGACATAGTCTTAAATTAGAGGGGCAAAGGTTTAAAAATAATATCAGGAAGCATTACTTTACTGAGAGGGTAGTGGATGCATGGAATGGATTCCAGCTGAAGTGATAGAGGTTAACACAGTGAAGGAGTTCAAGCATGCGTGGGATAGGCATAAGGCTATCCTAACTATAAGATAAGGCCAGGGACTAATGAAAGTATTTTGAAGATTGGGCAGACTAGATGGGCCAAATGGTTCTTATCTGCCATCACATTCAATGTTTCTATGTGATATGTATTCTAAGCTCACCTTTGATCCGATGTCAAAATTCCAGAAAATAATTAAAAACCACATTGATCTAGGGGTACAATGTGAGTACCTGGATATGAAAACAGTCCAATTCTTATTCGTTGAACATCCTAAACACCCGGTGATGTACACATTACCCAAGATTCATAAAGACCCGCAAAACCCTCCAGGAAGACCTATAATGTCAGCCAGAGAAAGTCTACTAGAACTGATTGTCAAATATATTGATCCCTTTATCAAGGAAAGTGTCATGGCACTGCCCACCTGCCTACGAGACACAAGACCTTATTACTAACATCAATCAAGTGTCTTCTATAGAAAAAAAATTCCTCCTTCTAACTATTTATGTGCAGAGCCTGTACACTATCATACCACATGGTGATGGTGTGCAGACTTTGAGGAACGTTTTAAGTGAATCAAAACTATATGAAAGACCTCCCATCAAATATCTCATGGATTTCTTTATTGCTCTTTCATGCAATTATTTTAAGTTTGAAAATAAATTATTTCTCCAACACTCAGGGACGGCAATGGGAGCGCCATGGCACCATTGTATGCCAATGCGTTCATGTACATATTTGAGCTTACATATATCTTACAGAAATATGGTAAACATATCAGGCACTATCATCGGTTTGTGGATTATATCTTTTTGATCTGGACAGGTACTTCTGAGGAATAAGAACAAATGGTAATGGATATCAACCAACAAACACTTTGTAGTGTTTTAGCATGGTTGACACTATTATGTTTTATTTTTTGAGACCATTGCTGAGGTTGAATACATGACACATTCCTAATGCATAAATTTGCATGAAATTACACAGTTAATGTTATGCCGATACTTTAATTTGTATGTTTATCAGTATCCTAGTAACAACGCCATCACGTTCAGATATGTCACTTCATGTTGAACCGTCGATCGAATATATATGTAACCCCTTCTATGGATTAAATACTCATTTATTATTGGAATACCACAGAGTGCATATCTTTTCTTTGTTATCAGATATATCTACAATGCAGGATTGCACCAGGGCAAAATCATACCCATATACTAAAATAAAAGGTTTTTAATGATAAAAGGTTTTAAATCATTTAAAAAAAACTTTAAAAAAATTATTGGAAAGGTCATAAATGCAAAATTGTTAGCTCCAAATAAGGCTTTCATCAGTTCAGAGTGATTTATTATAATCAATTTTAGGCTTAGAGGGAGTAAATACATTTTGGTGGCTTTCACAAACTTTAAAAACCACTGAAAATATCAAATTTGGAGATTCAAACATTTAGCAATCCTGAAATGAGAGCATGTCTACCAAACAGTGAGGACATATCATATCAGACATTCTACATCATCGACACAAGAGCACCTCCCATCACAGACCTAAAAAACAGCATAGATTTTGGCCTCCTCAAACTGATACTATCCTTCGCAAGCAGTCTAATGTACCATTCATTGAGAAATTCGTAAGCGTTGTCAAAGGAATCATTTTTTTTGATGGCGAATGTATCAGTCACTTAAACTCACAGGCAACCTCAATAGTGCACCCGCCAAGACACATCCCTGTCGCATTATGCAGTCGCCTTTAAGAAGGACTTGAAAGCGTGGAGAGGCAGAGTCTCACAATCAGGTTCGGGTACATTAAATGTTCTGTAAATCTTTATAAATTGAATAATACCTATAAACTTAGGGAAATAAACATCCAATCAGGGGAAGTGTACCTCAATCAGAATGTATAAAATAAGGCAGACAGTATCTTGGTTCGAATGGCAAAATGAACATAGTGAAAATAAAGTGGCCATTCATGGACTCCCTTCCTCATTTCTTATACCAGTGGAGCTCTCCTGATGTAAGTATCCCTTTGTGGGATTCTTTACACCCCTTTCTCCTATTTCCTGCATATTTTGGAGGGGTACCCCCTTATTGGAGCTCCCTGTTAGGTGGTTACAGTGGTGCAGCTCACGGCCCCTTGACTAGTATCCGGACTCCTGACCTGCACTCTGTTTACTTTATCTCTCCATTTTGTGTTATTTGCATATGTAAGTTCCCACCAATCACATAGCAGTATTAGAATTCTGGGATGAGTGTTTACCCCATCTAGTTTCAGTTGAGTCAGACATCCTCTCTGTGAGCAACAGTTATTTTCACCTCTCTGATGTATTTGATAAACCGACACCTGTTTACATACACCAGGCACCCGGGCTTTACTGCTAAATATGCTGCATTAACGACAACAAAACATTACAAAGTCCCTTGGTGTGCCGGTCCTATTTTTTTTAAATTGGAGTGTGTATGTTGGGTATTCTGCTTATTTATGGGTGCTGCAGTCGCTTTCTAGAGTTGTAACTGTGTGTATGTGGACTGTTCTATTAGATGTGTTCATGAATATAGTGTGGTATTGATGTATGATATCTATGAATGTGGGCTGGTTGTGGTATTGTATGTGTGGATGATATGACACATAGTGTGTTTGTTGGTGTGTGTATTTGTGAGGCTGCTTGTGGTATTGCATGTGAGCCTGTTTGTGGAATACAGGGAACTGGTGGTAGGCTTAACACAATATGACCGTGTTGTGGAACTGAATCCCAATAGTTGTTTGCTGGCATTGGCGATTTTAAATAGCCTTATAACATTTAGAAATTTATTTTATGAGTGTGCTGTTCCTTAATCTGTATTATTAAAACTAATTCATGGTATTTATTTTCCAGATGGACAGGTCTACTGGTCTTTTAAAACAGACTCATCATCATCCAAGCCAAATTCGTTAGAAGTAGAGGTAGCATCCTTTGTGGCCCTTGCCCATCTTTCCATGGAAGCCCCCACTAAGAAAGACATCTTCAATGCTTCAAAGATAATTTCTTGGCTGTCCTATAAGCAGAATCCACATGGGGGCTTCGCTAGCACACAGGTAAGCAGCGTATAGATTTGTAACCTACAGTTCCACTGGCATGTCTGTTACATCTTTTATATGTTGACAAAATTATGTAAACACATTTCCTGTAGTCTTTCCAGACCCAGGAATATGGTAACATTCCCAATGCTATAGTTTTCTCTTCTTTATTTAAATTCAGGGCCCGTTAAATCTAAATAAAAATTTTGAGAAAAAGAGTATTACTTACCTTTTTTCCAGCGCCAAGATCAAGTTCTGCAGCCAATTGTCCTGCCTCTCGCAATATCACAATATGCATATAATGGTCCAATTTAATGTTCCTTATAGAGGAGCACTTGAGTTGCTTGGCGTTTTTATTGGAGACTCAGTGGGAGAACTTAGTTCCCACAGCAAATGCACCTCTACTGGATGTCAGGTAGAGATAGAGGCAATTTTTTTGTTTTTCCGGAAAAATTGTTGAAGCACATACACAAGTAAGATGGTACATATGAGATCAAAACAATACAGAAACACTAGGACTAAGATGATAATTGTGTTGTGACACAATGCATTGTGCCATGCTTAGTAAATACAGGCCATAATGTATCTCCTCATAGACAAAGCATAGATATCTGATTTCTGAAGGTCAATTAAGCCCACTGGTTAAGAATAGAGAAAGAGGTGGAAAGTAAAAAAAGAAGGGTGGGCGGTGAGAAGTACATAGAATACTCTGCCACAGTCTGCTTGCCAATTTGTCAACACAGCTTGAAAGCGTTTCAAGTTTCGTAGGTTTTATTTGACAAATCTTCATATTTCTTAGTGATGCAAAGTATGTCAGACATGGCTTGGGTATGTGGGGGTTGCATCGATTTCCATATGTGTGCAATAGTTGTGATGGCTGCTGTGATAATATTGAGGATAAGAGATATCCTCACTCCCTCTACCTCTGCTTGGAGCATGTTCAATGAATATATCTCTGGTTCTAAAGGGAGCACATAAGTGGTTGTGTTCTGGATCTTTTGAATCTTCAGCCAGAATTGTTTTTCAAGATTGGACAAGACCAGAAGATGAGAGGGAGGAGTTATGCCAGTCAAAGGGATGTTGTTGCTCTTGCTGCTTCAGTGTGTCAGTACCCCAACTACCTCTCCATATTTCCTAAAGAGACCCTTTAACTGTTGTAGGGTTATGTTATACTGAGGGTGATGTCATCAGTAAATAATGGCAACTTGTTTATCGAATCGTTCAGAGTGGCACCTTGAATTTCTGGAGTGTGTGTGATTTCTGAGATCTGTGATTCTAATGCCAGAATAAACATTAAGGGAGAGAGTGGGCATCCTTGCCTAGTAACATTTTGAATTGTGACAGACTTAGAGAAGAATCCGAACTTTAAGACCCTTGCAGTTGGGGATTAGTATAATAACTTGACGACTTTTATAAAAGGTTCAGGTAAGCCAAAACGTACATGTATTGCCAATTTGGCATCCAATGCAAGTAATTGCATCGGAGTGACTCTATTCCTACTTGCCTCAACCAAGGATAAATCTCCATGTGTTATCTGAGACTTGCCATCCAGGGAAAAATCCCACTTGTTCCAGTAATTTAATGTTGGGTAATAGGTGGCTGATTATGAAAGCCAATAGTTTGGCATACAGTTTCAAGTCTGTATTTAAATGAGATTTGGGTCTGAAAATGGGGAAGGAGGTGGGAGGTTTACCCGGCTTCGGTAGGGTAATAATAGTAGTCTCAAACATGTTGTAAAGTTCCTTCTCAGGCATCGGAGCATACTCTGAAAGCTAGTTGAGGCTCTCTGAGAGGCAGTTTCAGACACAGGTGAGCTTGCCCTCCAGTGGACACCATCTTGCCTAGCAAACATTTTGTCAAAACGCTGAAACACGTGCCTTTTTCCCCAGGTGTACTCGGGGGCTTGTGGGAAGACATTATGGTCTCAGCTAATTTTAGCTTGCATCTACAAAAGTTTTAGGATTGCCGTTCATTTGGAAATCTGGGTCTGTATTTGTACGGAGTGATACTTACATGTGTCTGCTCTCTGTTGCACTTTTGACACACCCCCCCACCCCCCCGACTACCTGCAGGGTAAACATTGCAGTATTTACTAAATGATAATGCTTTACATTGCAGAGTTAAAGGTAACAGACCACTGCACCCATACCATTTTATTAAGATCTGGTCTGGCTTTTGGGCACAAAGCAAAAGCAAAGCACTATTAGAGCTCACATTATCTGTTTTCAGAATGATATACTAAGATTCCTAAAAATAATTTATTACTTCTACAGTTTATTATCGTATGAACCATGTGGAATAACACGACTAATTTTTTGTAGGACACATTGGTGGCATTTCAGGCTTTTTGTCGTTATGCTGAACTAACCTACACTGGACATATAGGTTTAGAGGTGACTGTAACTGGAGATGATTGTCAATACAAGTTCTCGGTGAATGACACAACTCGACTCCTGCTGCAAAAAGGATCTCTCCAGCAGATACCGGGAAACTACACTATACAGCTCAAAGGGGAAGGTTGTGCATATGTACGGGTAAGGACATGTATGGAATAGGTTTCATTTTTACCATTTTCTTTGAGTGAGGATTTTTAGCTGATCCAGCTTACTCTTTGGCATATTTATACATTAACAAAAAGGCATTTTACTCTAAGCACCAAAACAGCGTTAGTTTAATAAAGAAGTTTTGGTTTATAACTCATTGTCACGGCTGCTAGTGTGGTCCAACACGCAGAAACTATGTAAACATATACATGCAAAAGGAAAGGAAATAAAAGGACAGAGCGTAAACCGAACCTTAGAAAGGCCAGACTAATACACTAGAGATAGAGAATGGTCAAAGGGAAAGCCATGGTCAAGGAAGCCAGAAATACTCAGATACCGTTTAAACAAGCCAAGTCAGGGGAACCAGAATTCGGAATAACCAGGGAAAAACCAAAATCAGGATACCAGGAAGTAATATTCACAAAGATAAACACACTCTAGGGAACCAGGAACAGGAAACCACGACAGGGCAAGGTACTGGGGAGAATTAGGGATTAAAATATCCCTCCCTAGGCTCTGATTGGTCAGAGGGTGACCTCTGACCCCAGAACCTGCGCTGACGTTGTGACATCACGCGCGCGTTCGTATAATTTTGGGGGGTGGAGCCATGGATGGACGCGACCTCATGGTCAGCGCCATCTTGGATTTCCCCGAGTGGCATGGAGGAACTGTTCCCGGCTTGCCGCTGTGAGTTGGTGCGGTCGTGCCGGTCGGGCACGGACGCACATGGTGGCGAGCCGGGGGCCGTGACACTCATGCCCGTGCAGTCTCATTGTTTAATCCACTGCTGTTTATGAGTTACAGTACTGTGAGTATGCAGGCTGTGTCAAATGGCCCTTGACTTTGACTCACACAACCTCCATAAAAAAATAGAAAATACAGCATAGTTTGTTTCCTTTAGTGAACACACATTTTATTTCCTATCTGTTAACTGTACTCTAATAAAAAACAACCGGGCTGCTGCAGGCTCTAAAAGGCAAATCACAAAACAGGAGATAAGAAATTCTGATTTACACACACTGCTCAATAAGAGAATCCAGAAATGTACACTCTTTAAGGAAGAGAGTAGGAAGGCTGTGTGAGTCAAAGGCAGGGGAGGTGTGACTATATGGACGAATAGAGGGACACATAACGAGACAGGTGGATAGATAGATGGATGGATGGGTGGCTAGATAGACATATGTTTAAACACACAGATATATGGACAGATGGCTAGAAGGATGGATAGTTGGATAGACTTGTATTTGGTGGTTGTGATTAACTTGTGTTCTTTTAGCAATTGTTCAGACAATGTGTGTTATCGAGCACCTTATTAACTATTACAAAACTCTGCAGACCATGCTGAAATACAATATGTATTCTGCCGAGACAAGCCCAATGTTCGACCTTCATGTCAATACCACTACGGCAGCCTGCAAGGACCAAACTAAACTATGTTTCCACATTAACATTTGCACACGGTAAGTTACAGTGAAATAGTAAAACATCAGTTTTGGAAGAGCTCACACTGGAGACAGTACAGTATGATCTAATTCTTCATTCATTGTTTTAAGCTAAATTTTAAGTAAATCGTCTGTTAGTATTTGTCTTGTTTACTGCCCTATGTTTTGCTAAATGTGCCTGTTCTAGGTATATTGGGCAGCGGACAGAAACTGGCATGGCGTTAATTGAAGTTAATTTACTCTCCGGCTGCAGCGCCGATATAGAAACCATAGCCAAGGTAATACAGGGAATGGGGAATAATACAGGGAATGTGGGGTAATACAGGGAATGGGGGATAATTCAGGGAATGTGGGGTAATTCAGGGAATGTGGGGTAATACAGGGAATGGGGAATAATACAGGGAATGGGGAATAATACAGGGAATGGGGGATAATACAGGGAATGTGGGGTAATTCAGGGAATGTGGGGTAATACAGGGAATGTGGGGTAATACAGGGAATGGGGAATAATACAGGGAATGGGGGATAATACAGGGAATGTGGGGTAATTCAGGGAATGTGGGGTAATTCAGGGAATGTGGGGTAATTCAGGGAATGGGGAATAATACAGGGAATGTGGGGTAATACAGGGAATGTGGGGTAATTCAGGGAATGGGGAATAATACAGGGAATGTGGGGTTAATACAGGGAATGTGGGGTAATTCAGGGAATGTGGGGTAATTCAGGGAATGTGGGGCTAATACAGAACATTGGAACAGTAAATGAGGTATCTAGCACAGGATAAATATAAATGCATGGCAATGGCCCGGTGTAATATAGGGTATAAAAATGCGTGTGGTAACCAGTATAGTGGGTATAATGATGCTGTGTGGAGGGTTGTTATCCAGTTGGGTTAATGATTTTTGTCCAGTACAGAGGGTGCTATTATATGGAAAATGACTTACTGTTATAAACCTTGTCATGTAATATTTTAATATGAATCTGTTTTATATTTCAATCATTTCAGCTTGAGATGAACAGTTTGGTAATGAAGACTGAAGTCAAAAAGGATAAAGTTATCATTTATATTAATGAGGTGAGCTGGTCGGTGACATGGAATATCGAGACACAGACAGACACAGAGACAGACACAGAGACAGACAAGAGACCAGAGGCTAAACCAGAAACTTAAGAATTTGCTGTCCCTTTTCATCTTTATTTATCTCTAAACTTTTCACAACTCTCAGTTTTTAACCCCTTAAGGACTGAGCCAAATGTACACGTTGTGAACGAAACAAAATGTAAACAAAACCTGGAATTTGCGCTACGTGTCTGTCCAACCGTAATTCACCTCTTTCATATTAAATGCACCCACCCTTATTATGTATCATTTTATTCAGGGGAAACAGGGCTTTCATTTTATATCAAATATTTAGCTATGAAACATAATTTAATATTAAAAAAATTGGAGAAAATAAGATTTATTTAGATTTATTTTTAGTTCTACATGACATTTTAACTGTCAATGTCTTAATACTGTTTGCTTTTACTGCAATAAAATACACATATTTGTATTCAGCAAAGTCTCACGTGTAAAACAGTACCCACTATGTACAGGTTTTATGGCGTTTTGGGAAGTTACAGGGTCAAATATAGCATGTTACATTTGAAATTGAAATTCGCCAGATTGGCTATGTTGCCTTTGGGACTTTATAGTAGCCCAGGAATTAAATTTACACCCATAATGGCATACCATTTGCAATAGTAGACAACCCAAGGTATTGCAAATGGGGTATGTCCAGTCTTTTTTAGTAGCCATTTGGTCACAAACACTGGCCAAAGTAAGCGTTAGTATTTGTTTGTGTGAAAAATGCAAAAAAATGCAATTTTGGCCAGTGTTTGTGACTAAGTGGCTACTAAAAAAGACTGGACATGCCCCGTTTGCAATACCTTGGGTTGTCTACTATTGCAAATGGTATGCCATCATAGGGGTAATTTTCATTCTTGGGCTACCATAGGGTCTCAAAGGCACCGTAACCAATCTGGCGAATTTTAATGTGAAAAAATGAAACACAAGCCTTATATTTGACGCTGTAACTTTTGAAAACACCATAAAACCTGTACATGATGGGTACTGTTGTACTCGGGAGACTTCGCTGAACACAAATATTAGTGTTTCAAAACAGCAAAAAGTATCACAGCAATAATATCGTTTGTGTAAGTGCTGTTTGTGCATGAAAAATGCTTTTGAAACACTAATATTTGTGTTCAGCGAAGTCTCCCGAGTAGAACAGTACCCCCCATGTACAGGTTTTATGGTGTCTTGGAAAGTTATAGGGTTAAATATAGTGCTAGCAAATTAAATTCACTTTACTTTCGGCATGTGTTGTCAGGCAGGTCCCGCTAATTGTAATTAATTAAGATACCTAATTATGTAAAAATATTACATAAATATATATGTAGAATTAATATATGTATATATATATATATGTATGTGAATCTATATGTGTATATATATATATATATAATTTTTTTTTAAATATTTTTATTTATGTATAGGTATATATATAGTGATATATACGTATATATTTATGTATGTAGATATATATATTATTTTGTTCTACGTGTATTTTGATATAAATATATACATATATATTAATATCACAATACAGTTAGAACAAAATAACACACATCTATATATTTTTTAATAATTTTTTTAATTATTTTGTAAATTTTATTTTTTAACGTATTTACATATTAAATTTTTTTATATTATATATAAATATATATATAACAATAATTATATATATATTTAATCAGTATCAGTCTACGTGTAATTTGATCTTAATATATATATATATATATATATATATATATATATATATAAAATTATATATATATTAATAGTAAAATACACCTAGACAGTGTATGTGTGTGTATGTATATGTGTGTATATATATATACTTAGATCATATATATAATATATATATATTTTTTACACTTTTTAATTTTATTTTAATTTTATCTTCAGCCAGCAGGGGGACCACCTGTCATTACAGGCAGCCCCCCTGCTGGCAATGCAGGAGGCAGCCTACCTGGCCATGTGATTGTGGGGTCCTCGCAAGGACCTCACTCTCACATGGCCGGGGGGCAACGGAGGAGGAGGATCTAATGCGGGGGGGGCTCCCTGGGAGTCCCCCCCACCGCGATCGCCGGCGTGGGACCGCCGGCGACCGGGTAAGTAAGAAAAGACCGGAGGGCGTACAATTACGCCCGGCGGCGTTTAGAGCCACCTAAAATAGGGCGTAATTGTACGCCCTCCGGTCTTAAGGGGTTAAAATGTAAATTGCAGATTTTAGGCTCAGACAGTTTAATTAGTAAAATTCATATATATAACTTATTTAGTTATAACTTATTTAGTTTTATATAATAATTTAGTTATTAAGGTATTAAAGGAACACTATAGTCACCTAAATTACTTTAGCTAAATAAAGCAGTTTTAGTGTATAGATCATTCCCCTGCAATTTAACTGCTCAATTCACTGTCATTTAGGAGTTAAATCACTTTGTTTCTGTTTATGCAGCCCTAGCCACACCTCCTCTGGCTATGATTGACAGAGCCTGCATGAAAAAAAACAAAAAACTTTAATCACATACAGGAGGCTCTTGCAGGGTCTAGCAAGCTATTAACATAGCAGGGGATAAGAAAATCTTAATTAAACAGAACTTGCAATAAAGAAAGCCTAAATAGGGCTCTCTTTACGGGAAGTGTTTATGGAAGGCTGTGCAAGTCACATGCAGGGAGGTGTGACTAGGGTTCATAAAAAAAGGGATTTAACTCCTAAATGGCAGAGAATTGAGCAGTGAGGCTGTTGTTCAGGTGACTATAGTGTCCCTTTAAGGTAAATGTGCAACTTTGTAATCAATTACTGACAATTCCTGTATTGTATTTAGTGAATATCTCTATAGATCTCTCTGTCTCTCTATGATTCCTGTTCCTTTTACACTATGTCTCTATATATGTTTTTGTGTGTCTGTCCATATTCACATTCACTCACTGTCTCTCTGTATTTTTATGCAGCTCTCTCATCAAACTGAATGTTTCTCGTTCACCATAATTCAAGATATCCCAGTGGAAAATGTGCGCCCCCAGCTGGTCAAGGTGTTAAATTACTATATGCCAGGTAACAAAATGATTATTAAAACTCCTATATACTTACATGCTGACTTCTATGCTGCAAACGAAAAACAAAAAAACTAAGATTAAAAACAAACAGGATTATGGGGGAATTGGTGCTGTGTTAATAAACCCATTTCAGCTACAATAAACCAAATGTAATGTCGGCTTTGCACTTCACAAAATATCAGCAAACCCAGGTGAAAGCATGCAGTGATTCTATTTGCCATACCCACATTCTATGCTATAAGAAAAACATGATAACAAATCATAGTGTAGTGTATAGAGCACAAAACAAAGATATAACACATTATTCAGAGCCTTGGAAAAATTGTCTCTAATCTATAGCAGCGTAGAAAATTAAATACTCCGACAGTATAAGTAGCCAAGACAGGAATACTGAGACCAGGTCCTGCTCCCTCTTCTCCGTGATTTGACAAACAACTGCTCAAATGACAGCAGAAACACAGAAAATGTATTGTGGAAATGCAATACTTTACAATGAATAAATTTAGCCACAGCACAATGTGTTTCAACCATCCATCTAGGGCAGGGATAGTCAACCTTCGGCACTGCAGATGTTGTGGACTACATCCCCCCCATAATGTTCTTACACCTATAATGCTGGCAAATAATCGTGGGAGGTGTAGTCCAAAACATCTAAAGTGCCAAAGGTTGCCTATGCGTGATCGAGGGTCTTCCTCGGGTAAATATGAAGTACTAAGTTCCATTTTTTTACTCCCCCATGCCAAAACTACTGCTTCCCAGATTTATGGTGGCCAGTATCATCTAGACAAGGCTAGTAGGTTAGATCCTGGTATTCTGAGTCCTGGTCAGAGCTTGCGACAAAAGCTCAGTGAGGGCCAGTGACAGGTTAACTATAGAGCTGCATTCATTAACAGATTGTCATTGCATTCTTCCCTTGCAGATGAAGAGGCCTACGCAATGTATAACCTACCCAACTAAGAGGTAAGTGGAGTCCAATTTAAAAAGTTATTAACAAAGTATGAGATCGCAAACACTGCATTAGACAATAAGCAAAGTATTAGAGCGCAAACACTTTGTTAGAGTATAATCACAGCATTAGTGCGCACACACTGCTTTAGAATGTGTACTCAGTGTTAGAGTATCTACATTAGAGTTAGTAGCCAGTATTAGAGTGTCAATATAATATATATACCCACGTGAAATAAGTGAACTATAATAAAAACATATACAAGAGTACTTAACTTCAAATCGAAAACAGCTTCCCAGGGGGCCTTCCCAACTAGCACCCCCTTATATGACAAAATATGGAAATATACAGAAAATGGGATACAGCTGTATATCTGCTAAGAAAATGAACACATAGTGATGTACTATAATGTACAAATTATCACTTTACTACTGATAGCAGTCACAAGAGGTCGGAATATAGAGCACCTCGAATCAATCCTTGAGGGACATATAGCTGTTATCACGTCCACCTCCTTTGTATCCGGGAATCACTGGTCCCCCCACAGAATACTTCTCAAAGATCAGGATAACGATTATAAAAATATATTTGGGTCACAATCAGCCGATAAAAACACAAGTCATATATATGAAATTTGTTAAGAACGGTCCAAGATTTAATGTATATTTTGTTTTCTGTTGTGCATTGTTACAGATTGCACATTGCATTAACTCATTGTGGTAATTCAAGTCTAAAACACTCTGCTACATTGTGTTTTATGTGTTGATAGGGAGAAGGGATGTCTCTTGAATAGAAATGGGAAGCCAACAGGCACGAACACGTTGGTGTCCAGAATAACATCAGAGTAAATTACAGCTTTTATGTTTATTTTTTGGTAAAGCAAAATAACAAATTGTACATGTTATCACTTTCCATGTCGAAATAAAAATATATTTCTATTCATAATAAATCGGTAACAAATTGTTGTGGTCGTGACCTAAATATGAATATTAATCTCTTAATACATAATAATTAAGCAATACGGAACAACATTAATATTTTTATAATTCATGGTATTATGGTCGAATATGTGGATAGAAAATACACAAAACGTTGTAATATTAAATGTATATTTAATATAACTATAACAAATAAACAGATGCTAGCAGAATGTCAATTTACTACAATAATGATAATACAAAACTACAACATATTACTTACAAAAGGTTGCTACATGTTACACAACATTTTACTTACAAGGCCCCAGCCCTTTGGCTGGGGTTAAGTCAGAGCTGGTACTACATCTTAGGTTCAGTCAGTTACAGGCAAAGAGACAGAGTTTTCTCCTCCATCTGGTTTTTATTCAGTGTAAGTAGGCTGGCCTGTGATGTCACTGCCAGAAGCACATGTCTTCCTACACACTCCTCCTAGTGGTGCCCCCAAAGCATTACACTAAATATGCTTTATTTATGATGTAAAGTCATTAATTAATAAATACCATTACACAAATCATAAAAGCTTGTCTTTACTTTAACTTTATAAAGTGATTACAGATTGTAATACTCTTGGGAAAAAATGATTTGGAACTCAGCTGCAGGTGAAAAAATAAATTGGATACTGTCACTTTAAGAAAATATATTTTATTTAATTAAAGAAAATTTAACCTTGGCAGTCTTCTGCAGCAATAATATTTAAAGTAACAATGCATGATAAATGGAATCTGGTTTAAGTATAACTTCACAAGAAAGTAGTAATTGGTTGAAAATGGAAATAAAGAATACTTCATTAGCAACACGCAGTATAGTCCATTAGACTTAAAGAAAATGTTGACAGAGCAGGTGATTCCTGTAGTACAAAGTAACAGTCTTTTAACATTCTGGTATGAGTAGTGGTTGTAGTCATTAGACTCCAATAATAATAATTAACATTTGAGTAATGTGGCAAATGATATATTCAATAGAGATAGTGAGTGGAATCCCAAATGGCAGACTTCAGTATTCCTTATCCTTCCCAGATAACATAAGAACCAATTAGTTATTGCAATCACTGGTGAACTTATCTTGCCTTCCATGAATGATGGGAGTTGACGTCCTTTCCAGAGTAGAATGAATTATGGTTCCCTGAAGTAAGTGGAGAGAGGGAGGAATCCAAAGTTAAGTCTGTTCCTTGAGAGAAGAGCGTAGCCAGGATCAAAGCCAGAGGTCCATTACACAGGTAGTCAGTTTAGCAGAGCTCTGTAGCACAGCCGCAACAATGTCGCAAGTAGCGAGAGCACATCAAACCACAAAGATTGAGCACTTTAGATGGGGTCACGACTTCCTATCGAAGGGAAGCGCGTGGCGTCGGACGCATGGGCGGAGACTGATTGGCGAAACCTGGATGTCATGGAGGAGTTCCGAGACAATATGGAGAAATCCTGACACAGATGGACGTTTCTCGTCTACAAAAACCATAAAACACATTCTTTGTATGAGCAACTTGCAAAACCAGTGTCTAAATGTTAAACTGTTTGTGCGTCCGTTTTGTCTTTGTGCTCTTGTGCTTGTTAGAACGTTAACATCATCCTCTTTTTGGAAACACTATTTACGTATAATATGTCACACCTTTTCAAATGCAACACAGCAAGGCGGGATCTTCATTTTACAGATCGTCCTCTGGTCAACCTTGTGGCTGATGGAGAATCCTAAACTGTCCCCGTGTGGTCATGGGTGCATGGTGCTTGGATCTGATATCATTAAACATGAACTCAAAAAGGAACAAAAATAAAACTATGAAACCCAGTGTAAGCATGAATTTTAACCACAAGAGGGGGTTAAAGTACAAAGTGACTAATTTGAAAAAGAAGAAACAATGTTTACCAAGTTATATAGTTACTGTGTTACAAACTCTACAACAATTTATACTGAGTTTTGCTATCATCCCTCACTAGTAAATGGACACTATATATCACTCATTTCATGTGCTTATTTAACTTTTACGCCATATTCCCCATTTACCAGAGTACTGTTTCTGCTCTGTTTATTAGAACAGATCTACCCTGATACAGTCATAGATGATTTTTATATTAGCTTAGTTGTTCTCCATACATTACAGACTCTGTATCCCAATCTCACAAAGCAGGCTAATTAAAAATGTCAGAACCCTCTGCACATAGTTCAGATGTCTTCAGGGTAATTGTCGGCTAAAAATAATATTTTTTAATAAACGTTTTAAATATATATTTTTTGAATATTACAAAACAATATATAAGTATTTAATTTATAAAAGAGTATAGCAATATATCAATTAATATCAAGATATTGACATATCTTTAAATACTTTTTTAAAATTTAGCCAAAAATATCAAATCAAGAGGCCAAAATTATTAATACCAATTTAAAAGAAAAATCCAAATTTTATCCCGCTCACTGCAAATCTGCACCACTTGTCATGTTTGAGAAACTTGTCATACAAGACTTAGAAAGAATCAAACCTACCAAATTCGACACTCATAATCTAACACAAAGTGAAAGAGTAGCAATCAAACAACTACAGGATGATAAGACCATAGTAGTTAAACCAGCTGACAAAGGGGGAGGCCTGGTTATCCTATCCAGTACTATGTACATTGAGGAAGCCAATCGACAACTCAATGACACTCAAGTTTACGAAAAATTATTATCAGATCCAACTGCCAATTAGTGATGTACCGAACGGTTCGCTGGCGAACGGTTCCTGGCGAACATAGCATGTTCGCGTTCGCCACGGCGGGCGAACATATGCGCGGTTCGACCCGCCCCCTATTCGTCATCATTGAGTAAACTTTGACCCTGTACCTCACAGTCAGCAGACACATTCCAGCCAATTAGCAGCACACCCTCCCTAGCAGACCCTCCCACCTACTGGACAGCATCCATTTTAGATTCATTCTCAAGCTGCATGCTTAGTAAGAGGAGGGAAAGTGTAGCTGCTGTTCATAAGATAGGAAAAGCATAGCTAGGTTAGGGATAAGGGTATGCTTTTTTTGGATTTTTTTTTTCTATCTAATGTAAATGCACTTAGTTGTCTGCCACTGCTGCCAGCTTCTGTGTCAGGCTCACAGTGCCATTTCCCCAGTCAGTGCCACCAATTACATCTGGTGTCACAATAGCTTGGATTTAAAAACAAAAAACTTTTTTCACTGTTATAGATTGAATAGCAGTCAGTTGTCTGCCACTGCTGCCAGCTTCTGTGTCAGGCTCACAGTGCATACTGTGCCCATTTCCCCAGTCAGTGCCACCAAATACATCTGGTGTCACAATAGCTTGGATTTAAAAAAAAAAAACTTTTTTCACTGTTATAGATTGAATAGCAGTCAGTTGTCTGCCACTGCTGCCAGCTTTTGTGTCAGGCTCACAGTGCATACTGTGCCCATTTCCCCAGTCAGTGCCACCAATTACATCTGGTGTCACAATAGCTTGGATTTAAAAACAAAAAACTTTTTTCACTGTTATAGATTGAATAGCAGTCAGTGTCATAAAGCGGGTGTGTTACGCTAACAGTGGATACGCTGACAAGTGCCACTAATTAGATCTGGTGTC